GTTCAAAATGAAGATGAAAATTATATCATCATTATGCGGTTTCTAACAAGCAGGATTTTTTTTTTTACAAAAGTAGAAATTCTGAAGACTGTTCTAATTATTTTCTATATGGGGACTTTCAAGCTTCAAAAACAACACAAAAGCAACGTGCAAAATTTAAAATCTTATAAAGTCATACATTTGTGTGAGGAACAGATTGAAATTTAAATGTATTTCCATTAAATGATACAGTGAGCTGTGAACTGCTGCAAACAGATTCATTGAATCAATGAGTTGAACTTGAGATCCAGGCCAGTTAAAGACATTTAGATGGTTTGTGAACTAATCAGCAATGAAATAAAGATCCAAGTCCAAAGAACAAATTGAATTGTGCATTTGCCATCCCTACTTCTTTCATGAACTTCCATGAGAGTGATAAGAACTGCTAGGGTAAGAATGAATAAATTTACACATTTCGGTCTGTTCCCCACACTAAGTCATCGAATGGTTTCAGAAGACTTTGATTTGTGGAGTATTAGAGCACAAATTTTAAGCTATTGTCTGTTCCACATGTTAATGCATTAACTTCTTAAAATTCAGCTTAACATTTTGATGGCAAAACATTAAACACAAACGACTGTATTTGATTTAGTAAATATGTCATTTCATGGTTGGCCTGCAACTATTAAAATCATTGTATTGTTTCATAATTGTATTAGTATGTGCTTATAAGCTATTTATTATTAAACTGTAAGGGAGTCGTATATTGTGGATATTGCAAATGAAAGAGCCATTACTATTCATTAGCATGAGGGAAACCAGGAAACTTCACGCTGTTGCTTTATTACACTCATTTTTTGTTCAGATTAAGCTTCTGACGCAGAGGGTCTCTTCTTCTTCACACAATCCCTGCTCATCTCTTTATATTTTAGCATGCAAACAGCACATGTTACCACATCAAAGGGATCGGCTTGTCCAAGATGTAATCCCAAATACAGGCTCTGTGTGTGTGAATACTGAAGGTATACCACAGTAAACGCGCGCACACACACACAAAGATCCATTTTATTAAGGGTTTTCATTTATCAAAGCACTCCTACTGTTTTCACATTACTGTCTTTGTGTGTAAAAGTCAAGCACATTCTTGATGTGCACTTACATAGTCAGACTCATAAATGCAGTAGACGGGCTGGTATGGTAAGACAGACCCAGAGGAGTCTGATTCAAAAGGTCATTTAACACCTTACGGAAATCGAATGTGACTCTGCATTAAAGCAATGGGCCTGTGGATAGACTTGGACATTCAGTATTGTGTGTGTGTGTGTGTGTGCGTGTGTGTGTGTGTGTGCGTACATATTTTTCTATCCCGTTGGGGACTTAAACCTGAATGCACACAGACTCGTGGGGACTTGTGTCACTGTGGGGACCTAAATTGAGAAACCCATGGGTGAACACGCTTATAAATCATACAGAATAATTTGAAGAGTTCAGATGCAAAAGCCTCTAAGTGCCATTTGAAATTTTCTTCTAGAATGATAATTTTTATCAAGCTAGTATATTTAAGTTCATTAATTTCACTTCAATGGGGATGAAGATTATCTATGAATTGTCATTTAAGTGAAATTACTGAACTTAAATATACTACAAGCTTGATAAAAATGATCATTCTAGAAGAAAAATTCAAATGGCACTTAGAGGCTTTTTCATCTGAACTCTCTTCATTTATTTTTTTAATGTAAAAATGCAGAATGTTTCCTGTGATGTGTAGGTTTCGGAGTAGGAGCAGTCCAAGAAAGAGGATAGAAAGTTTGTACACTTTTAACCCAATTTTGGGAAAAATATGGACAAACCCAGCCATTGGGTTACATTTTTAACCCAATAGCTGGGTTTTTCCATATTTTACCCAAAATTGGGTTAAAACAACCCAGCATTTTTTTAGAGTGTACAGTATAAAAACGTGATGTAAAAAAAAAAAACTATGATCACTATAAGACACCTCATTAGAACTGATTTGTGAGCTCTTTCTCAGGGACACCAGTCCTCGACATATGAGTTTAAGTAATGGTTACTGTTTGCTAAACCATTTATTTTATTTATTGCCCTTTTGCATTTAAAACTTAAAGCAACCTTTAAGTTTCATATTTTCAAGATTTGCTTGAAGGTAGCTGCATTGGTCCTGTCAAACCTGCTTATCTTATGCCTTGCAAATTTACTAAAGGATAAAGATCTTCAAACATTTTAACAACAGCATGACCATTCTGGCTATTTAGAGTATAAACTGAACAATCATCATATTTAAGAAGTGAACATGTAAAGATGTAAAAAGGAGGTCGAAGTGCTTCCAGGTGGAATTGCAAGACAGCAACTCTTTTGATATTATTGATGTGCTTTTTGGTAATCGTTCAGTATTTCTTAGCCGCAATATTTGCCACATGCTACCCAGTAGGCAGTGCTGCTCGTAGAGACAGTGCATGTGTCTGATTAAACACGAGACTGGCACTCAATTAATATGCTAAGGCTCAAAAAAATGAACATACACACACAAAATCACTGTGAAAAAGAGAGAGGAGCTCATGAGGAGCAAAGCTAATGATGTTCTTGTCATGTCCAATCAGAAGCTCTTCCTAGCAGATCACAGCCATAACAGGCCAGCTGACGTTTATGTCACATTTCCTGTTTCTGTGACGCAAGGAGTCAAGTTTTGAAATATAATATAAAATAGTGTCAGTATGAAATATCAGTCTACATTTCCAAACATTACAATCTTTTGCCATTAATTGTAATATCAAGAGTTGCGTCGCACAGTAAAGAACTTATCTGAAGCAGAAGGGAGGAGCAGCAACTGGCTGTGGTTGAGACAGAAATATTCTGTGTACATTGCACGGATGAGGGGTGGTGTTTGGGCAAATATTGTGTTTGACCATTGCCACTGAACCTACTTTAACGAAGACAGTGGGGCACGACAGCCTTAGTCAAACGGGTTGCCGCATATGGTTGGGTCGCGGAGAGATTGTGAGATTGTGATTTGGTCACATGTGAATTACGGGGAAGGAGCAACCTCAGCAGCAGGAGGGATGTAAAGGTCAGTAAGATGGGCTGAGTTGAGTGGGGGACGGAGGGGGGTGACTCTGAGATGCCAGAGTCACTGTCGAGCCCTCTTGAGGTGTCGTGGACAATTCGACGAAACACTGAGGACGGAAGGTGCCCACTTGAGATGTCCCCTACTCGGCTCAATCCAGACGGTTGACGTGTTGGTCCACTAGGGAGAACATACTGTAGTTGCAGCTGTTGTGTGTGCTGACGCGGCAAGTACACTGCAGCTGTTAACGCTGGACAGAAGGAGATTCACATCATCATAAGGAAGGAAGCGCAAATGGATGGAGAAGCATAGTGTAAAGCTACGCCTAAGTTTGTGCTTATCTTGGCGAAAGTCGAGTACAAATCAGCATGAAGTTTTAACATCTACTCTCGTGTAATGGAAATCAATATTTGGTGTGACCACTTGCACATAATTTTTCAGGTAGCTTCTAAATGAATTTGAAAATCCTATCAGCCTGCTCTAGAGTTTCATGCCAAAACTTGGTATTTCTCTGGATTTTTTCGGTCTCATTTTTACTTTTTCGTGTAATCCCAGATGGACTCAATGATGCTGTTGTCAGATTTTTGTGCATTGTTGTCACTGTGATTGTATACAAAAATATCACTGGATTATTTATCACAATCAATGGAAAAAGGAATGTTTATTTGTAAAATGTAAACTGATATTTCATAATGACACAGCAAAAGATATAAATAATTAGATTTTTAAAATTAGATATAGAAGGCCTGTAAATAATTGGCTTAAACCCATTTTGTTTTGGTGAACATACTAACGTGCCTAAGACTTTTGCATAGTACTGTGTGTATAGCCTATATACTATTATTATTGAAATTTTACTAGTGAGTATTTATAAAATTTCTTCCATTGGAAGCGTCTCATTGTCACCCAGATTGAACCAGAAATTTATTTAATATTCCGTTTTCTCCTTCCGTGTGCTCCTCAGCTCTGGACCTTTATTAAAAAGTCCAGAAAAATGTCTTCAAAGCTGATATCAAGTCTAGACATCTTAGTGGGAGGTGAGCCCCCTCTGAGACACTTATGAGAGCAGACATTAGAAACAACATAATCAGTGTATAAGAGGGACTTGACTTTGAACATCTCCTTTGTTAATTCAGTAAATCCATGAAGACATGCATAATTAAGCATAAGAACACTAGAACATATGTGATATGAAAAAATATGACGCGAATGGAATCAAAAGAGGTTCACAGGAACTGAATCATGCATCTTCTAAAATGAATCAATGCCCAAGCATAATTTGTCAGATGTCACTTGTTTTGATAATTTATTATCTTATGCGAATATGCAAATTCATACATGTTGAAGTGTGGCTTAAATGTCCCAAGCCATTTATGGTCAATACTTAGCAGTACTCGTACTACAGTATATAATACTACAGCATACTCTCAAAGAAAAGGTACAAAAGCTGTCACTGGCATGATACCCTCTCAAAAAGTACTAAAATGCACCACTTAGGGGTAAACGAGGTACAAATGTGTACCGTTTGAAAGGGTAACACGTCAGTGACAGCTTTTGTATCCGTTTTTCCGAGTGTGTCATATATGCACGGATGAGACAGGACACAAAATAATTGTATTGATTCTATGTCATAGCTTGCATGTTTTGCATGGGAAAAGAAGAAGTAAACATCCATCAGTAAAGAAAGCCCGAATGACTCAGCACAGAAAACCGAGATGGAGAGAGAATAGAGCCATGAAAGAAGACATCCCGCTCTCTTGCATTATGCATCTATGAAATGGCTTATATGTCTACATTTGTCTTTGTTATAATATTCTGTATGCGAGAGAGAACGACAGAGGGAAAAAAAAGATTTGTTGTGCTCATCATTATGAACACAGGTGCAAGTGTGTGTGAGTTTTTCTTGCAGCAAGAAGTGAGTAATCAAAAATCCCAAACATACCTTGGCTTTGTTCTCACAGACGGCAAGCTCATCCTGCTCTGAAATGAACTGTCAATCACTCCGCGCACAAACGCATCCTGAAAATACCAGAAAAACACAACCTTAGGAAGTCTGATTACAGGTAAATAAAGTCATTGTGATCATTTTTAAACATCTAATATCCAAGTGCCCGTAAATGACTATTTAACACCTAAGACACCTTTCAATCCAGGCCAACTATTAGGAAAATGGATGATAATGAGACAATGTAATAACAATGGGAGAACAAAGCATGCTCTTTTTAGCCTTGTGTCTCAGGTGCTTTTTTCACTCTCTTTATTTCTCTCTCACATCACTGTATACACAAAAAGCAATACATGCTCACTTTTAGATAAATGCTGGGCCTAGACACTTCAAAATGATTAAACTTGAGAATAAACTTTTTACCATTGTATCATGTGTATAATATTATCTCACTCATAGTTCATGCAAAGGCAAAATGAACAGAAACCTATGTTAAAATGACCGGATGTTTCCTGTCGTGGTAAGAATCCATCAGATACAATATGATCAAATGGCTATGATGTTCATTGGAATGAGATAAGAAATGAAATATGGACAAAGTACAGTTCCAAAGAAGAAGTGTGCTCATGTACCTTATTGTGATATAAGTGGCATAATCATAAATAAGTCGATCCAACTGAGCTGAAAACAACTCTGTGGGAAGCACCCCCTAAGATGTTGAAACACTATATGTCACAGTCACTCACAGCATTCTGCTTTCTAAACGTCGAAGAACTTGTGATGTGAAGCAATTGTTAATTTTCTGCTTCACATTGCGATATACAAAACAATAAAATCGTCTTATCACAGATTTGTATTAATTAGAATGTTTAATAACTCTTCTTTCAATTGTATTTGTTCATCTGGTCCTATGCTTTGCCATTTTTTCGTTTTAGATTATGGTTATGTTTAAAGAGCTACTGCCCCCGTGTGGTCACCAGCCCTTAACACAACTCTGCCTTATCCACTGCTGGAATGAAGTTTCTATGCTATAAATTCCTGTGCTATTAATATATTGGGGATATTACTAAACATTTAAACAATGTAGCCTCATCCAGTGACAATAAATAATGGTTTCTCAACCAATAACAATAAAATTGTTACATAGTACATGTAATGGAGGCCAGGCAGTGCTTAACGACTATGTGACTTTACTACAGCATAGTCACTTCTTCTCTCTTTGCAATATAAACTACAACCTTTAAGGTATCATAACACATTATCAGAACAGAACAGAAATAGGGAAGGGTTGTTTGTATTGGCCTCTGAAAAAATCCACTAAGACGTAATGATATTATTGTTGAATGTTTCCCCCTTGTATTATTATCAGTGTAGTATAGATTTATTTGTTATTATGAAAGTGTTTACTTGGTTTTAGTTTCAGCTCTAAACAACATTTCACTTTAGAGTTAAAACACAACACACTCTTAAAAAAAGACTACACAAAATTATTTAAAGATAAAAAAGGTTTTGAGTTGCAAATGATATCTTCACTTTCAGTTGAAATTGTCCTGCGACATTAAACAGTATGACGTGATTCAACTGATTCGATTCATGTGAAATGTAAAAGTTGAATATTAAACAGCTGGAGCAGGTCCTTCTGGTGGCTCCCTATTAGCCCACTCAGACTTGGTTCCCAGAACTCATGCTCCTTGTGACAGTCCCTCCTTGGCCCATTGCTCTGAGGAAGGATCTTCTGACTCAAAGACAGGGCACCCTATGTCCGCGTCCCCGATGTCTGGTCCCTGGACAGGACGCGGAGGTTCTAGGTGAGCTACCCCAGAGGTACTTAACACCATCACTTCAGCACAGGCGCACTCCACGAGACATGTGGAACCTGTTCATCAAGTGGTGTTCTTCTCACCAAGAAGACCCCCGAAGATGTTCGATAGGGTCCGTGTTTCCTTCTTGCAGCAAGGGTTGAAGCGAAAGCTGTCTCCATCCACCCTCAAAGTACATGCTTCCGCTATTTCAGCATAGCACGACCACATATCATGGTCGTCAAGTTCCTTAGGGGGGCGAGGCGATTAAATCCTCCTCGACCCCCCTCCATACCCTCTTGGGACCTTTCCCTGGTGCTTCGAGCACTTCAGGATGCTCCCTTTGAGCCACAATCATCAGACTTCAAAGCTTCTTTCCATGAAGACTTTGCTGCTGGTTACACTGGCCTCTGTCAAGAGGGTTGGGTTGGAGACCTGCAGGCATTTTCAGTTGATTAATCGTGCCTAGAGTTCGGGCCAGGTGACAACCATGTTGTACTGAGACCCTGGCTACAGTGCCCTACCCTAGGTTCCTACAACTCCCTTCAGGTAGTGAACCTGAAAGCGCTGCCCCTGTAGGAGGCAGACCAATCCCTGGGTTAAAACTAGCTTGTCATCTCTTAGAAGTAAAAAGACATTAAGTTAGTTCTGTTCAGCTTGTTTGGACCCTGCTTATTGTAAAACAGTATTTGAAATTCAGTGTTTCTGTTGTGTATTTAAAATTTCCATTTATAGAGCAAATGACTGCGACTGTCTGTTTTAATAAACGTTGAATAATTACTTAGAAGTCACTGTCCTATATTCATGCTTTAAAAACGAAAGAAACCCACTGTACCTGCGCAAACGTGAGTCGAACTGCCACAAGTTATTTGCACATGCGCAATATGGAAAAATCCGCATGGGCTCCACAAGGCTCGGGAATATAAGCACGCGCGCGCGACTCTTGCAGGAGCGAAGTTCACAGCGCTGCTTTACTGCGCGCTCCCGCGCTGGAGATCTCCGTGCCGTCTCCGCCTTTCCAGTCTAAACTCGCTTTGTTTCGTGGGACAAACGCCATAAAATGGAAAAGATATATAGGTAAGAAGATAATAAAATTCAAATAATTTCACCAATGACTGTATAACTGATCTATTTGTTTACTTGGGAGATTTGAAACTTAAAATAATCAACAACAAAAAAAGTGCCTCTGAAGTTGCTACAATTGTCTTTAATGGGACAGACAGAAAACTCATAAAAAAAATTCTATTCAAACAAAATGTATTTTTCTTCAATTTAATGATATGCCATTTAAATGAAATAATACTAACTTTTAAACAGACCCCATAGAACAGAGCTTTCTTTGTTTCAGTGCAGATGTAAGCCTATTTAGTTGTGAATATACAGTATTTATTCATGTGCCGTGGATATATGCATCATCATGCCATAAATATCGAATCCTTCTTAAATTTAGGAGTAAAATGGAGGAGAGCAGCTGCATTTGGGCCAATAATAGTGCATATATTTCTGTATTTGCTTTAGTAACACTTTGTAATAATAACTTTAACTTATATGTTCAATAAATCATAGTGTGCACATTCATACAGTGGTGTCCAAAAGTTTAAGTACATTTAAGTTTCATTAGAAATTATATTATCAATATTATATGGGTGAGTATGTGTGTCTGTGTGTATTTATAGTTCTGGTAGTTCTGATTAAGGGTAATCTGGATTGCGTAATCATATTTCAAAAATGAAATACTTGTAATTAGATTATATTACCTTTTAAAATACTCACAATCAGACAAGGCTACTCTATTTTAATAATTACTTGAGTACATATTACTCACACAATGGCCCATTTGTATTCATAATTTAATGATGCTAGATTTTTACTTTATTTATTTATTTATTTTTTGACCAATCGCTTGTTTGGAAAGTCCTCAAATTTAACAAAGGTTAAATCATGCTGCTCTTATGTCATGACAAGGTAAATATTTCATATTTTTAGTAAGGGTTTTATTTTGATGATAGTTTTATTGTTTTGTTTTTTTAAAGTTACTTTACATTTTTATTATTTAGATGATTAGCTTTTCGTCAACTGCAGTTACCCAGTTGGGAAACACCGGTGTAATGTAATGTTTAATGCATTTCAAGTTGTCAATAACAAAAAATATGATGGACTATAATGTCTTTCTCTTTGTATTTTTATATCAATATGGTACAAAATATTCCTATTCAAATCAATGTGATTAAATTAGGTCAAAAGTAATGAGTCCAAACATATTACCTAAAATATGTAATGCTATTACGACTGTTACTAACTAATTTGCATCATGTAATTTGAAATTAGTAACAGGCTACAATTTGTAAGTAATCTACCCAGCACTTCTTTGTATTCATTTCTTTATTAATTGTTTGGCTGCATGGAAATAAAATGAATGACTTTATAACTAAAGACCAGCTTCCATAGCAAGACAATGTCTCAAAAAGCAAAGGCTTGTCATATTTTTCTGTTTACTTTCACATTGTGTAAAATTTGTGATGACATAACTGTTTTTCTGTCCCAATAAACATTGTATTTGTCATTACCATAAAGGTTAATCCAGTGTCTCTGAATGCCAGGATAAATTAAAAAAAAATGTCTATTGTGCACATGATAAGGCCAGGGGAGTTCAAATTAATCCGATTAGGGAATTATAGCATTCCAAAACACTTGATCGAAATACTACTTATGTTGTAACTGCTTCCCATGTTGAATAAGCATTGCATGGCTGAAATGTTTGAAATGGACAATAATAATTTATCGGTATTTGGGATTAGAAGTGAAACAGAAAGTTTTCACTTGTTAACATTAAATGAAAGACTTTTGGGGAAATTAAGTGATATAGGCCCAATTGTAACCCTAAAACATTATGGGCCCTTTCATACACTCGACGTAATGCAGCGCCAGGCGTAAAGCGATTTTTTTCAGATGGTCCTCACTGCAGGAAACGAAATTCAGGGGGAGGATTTGGATCCAGATCCAACTCCTCTCACCTTACATATACCAGAACCTACCATCTCGGCCCCCTGATCCCTAACCCCACCCTAATCCTACCCATCTCGGCCCCTTGATTCCTAACCCCACCCTAATCCTGCTCATCTCGGCCCCCTGATCCCTAACCACACCCTAATCCTATCCATCTCGGCCCCCTGATCCCTAACCCCACCCTAATCCTACCCATCTTGGCCCCTGATCCCTAACCCCACCCTAATACTACCCATCTCGGCCCCTTGATCCCAAACCCCACCCTAATCTTACCCATCTCCACCCTCTAATCCTATTGCAACATATAGCTATATATATATATATATATATATATATATATATATATATATATTGTTATTGTTAGTGCACCTAGGGGATAGGCACACACAGCAGCACACAAACATGCAAAATATAAAAAAAATGTAAGGATTACAATGTAAAAGATTAATAAAGATATGGTGGAATCCGACTTGTCCCGTAGATGGTCTGCTCAACTGGCATTTAAAGAGAATGGGAGATGAGACTCTAATTGGTTTATTGCAAGTAAAGCCCAAAACATACGCATTACTCATAAAGAGAATAGGGACAACACTTTTACACCATAGGCTGGGTGCCTGACCATTTTTCCCGTCGTTAAACTAGCAAAAGTGGATTCGGACACTTGTGCCGTGCGCTTTAAAAAATCATGAGCTTAAATCGTTAAAATGGGCTTTTCATGCCTAAATTGAAATATTCAGTCTTGCCTCTGTTTTTTACCAAAAGGGCAAGGCAAACACACCATACGTATAGAGCTTTGATGACAGTGATACAAACACATGGTACCAGACTGCCTCATACACTGTGAGCAGGTTAATGACTGACTGATCAAAGGTCTGATGGGTGTGATCCTTACATAGACACAATTAGACAGGTACACACACACAAAAACACTGCTGCATTTATTTTAAATATACTCATAAAAACAGCTCTTAGACTGCTGCAAGAACCATAGAGGCCATAGAGAGAGAGGATATTCGGAATGAAGTTTTACATATTAAATTGAAAAATAGTGGAATGATCAAGATAAGTGTATAAATCAAGTTGTTATCTTTGTATTTATTTAGTAATAGGGAGGATATTACATTATTTACTTAAAACGTTACAATACTGAAGTCTCATACTAGCTTTTCTCAAAAGATGGAGTTTTCTTTCGCCACAAGAGAGCGCAGTTTACAACAATAACAAAGGCGTAGGTTTATGACGCACTGATGAGCTGAACGATGGGACTTGCTGTCAAGCTGATGATGGATCTAGCTGTTTATGGATGAGTGCAAAAACACTCATGTTTTTTAACATTACAGTGGTATGGAGCAGGTCCTGATTTCTAAAGAGACAGATATCACACGCGAGTCCCGCGGATATAAAGGAATAAGGATATTTAACATTACAGTAATTCTACAGAACTAACGTGCAGGATTACTCAGGTCAGTTTATTATATGAATTATAACGCAGCCCCGCTTCACTTGGCTTAACGTCACACTATCACACTAATGTGTGTTGGAAGTTATAATGTTATACTACGTGTTTGTTCGTTTGCTATTCGAAACTAGCAGAGTAAGCTAGATCAACATAACATACTAGGGTGACCATATTTTGATTACCAAAAACCAGGACACTCGGCCCGGCAAACAGATGGGCCTACACAAATGATACTCGAGGTTTACTCAAAGATACCTTATTAATTTCAATACATTTAAAGTAGGTTATGCCTCCTCTGTATGAAAATTGTTATATTGTTATATGAAAACAGGACATGTCCTGGGAAAACAGGACAGCTGGTCACCCTATTGACCATATTCAAACATTTCATCATGTTGAGCTAACGTCATAACATTGATTTGTTTTATTTACATTTGCTCACCTGTCTAATAAAGCTGTCAACTCGTGACTCGTGAAGCTCTGTCGAATCCAAGTTAGTCGTGAACGCATCTTAAAAACTCCTTGTTTGTCCCAAAGTCTGCTTGTGCTTGCCATGGTCTATGTTTGATAACAAGAACTGCGTGCCGCTAAACGTTACACACGACGCAGACGCAGTTGTCCACGTCTGTCTCCATGGTTACGTCGGAAACCGAGGATAGCGCCGCGGATATTGCGTCATTGACTTTTTTTTTTCCGAAATTGGGATTTCTCTGCAATAAAAACTATTTTGGGATATTGTAAGTATACAACTGTAGGAAATATATCAGATTGTGCAAGTGATTTTTGAATATTTTAATAGAAAATTCTTACATAGGCTATTGTACCGTGCAGTTGATGGAGATTTGTGGGATCCCAAAGATGTCAAAGACATCCCGATCTGGTGACTGTGGGGGCCATTTTAGTACAGTGAACTCATTGTCATGTTCAAGAAATCAATTTGAAATGATTCGAGGCTTTTGTGACATTGCATTATCCTGCTGAATCAGAGTATGGGTACATGGTGGCCATAAAGGGATGGACATGGTCAGAAACAATGCTCAGGTAGGCCGTGGTATTTAAACGATGCCCAATTGGCACTAAGGGGCCTAAAGTGTAGGCTACCAAGAAAACATCCCTCACACCATTACACCACCACCAGCAGCAGATTGTGAAATAATCAGACCGGCCCGTCTGGCACCAACAACCATGCCAAGTGTTCAGGAGATTGTCTTGACCAGGACCACACACCTACATTGAAGCAGCTGCCATGTGATTGGTTGATTAGATAATTGCATTAATGAGAAATTGAACAGGTCTTCCTAATACTCCTTTAGGTGAGTGTATATCGCAATGACATGGTCTGTCAACAAATTACAGTACAAACAGTAAAAGCATAAATGTGAATCTTGTCCAGTCTTTTGCAATCAAACTCCCATAAAGGTGTAATCTACAATTTACAATAATTGTCATCAAAATTTTTTACCATAGTTTACATCAGAACATCCCTCCAGAGTACACTGTTATATTCACAACATGACTAAGGAATTTGACGGTCTTATCCGTACACAATGACACAATGACTTGTCATTCTGATGGCACTGGCATGTTCATTGACACAGATACTTTACTTTTCTCTACTATAGAAACAAGGTTTAATATAGATAGACAGACAGACAGACACTGTAGATATATTGATAGAGAGAGAGAGAGTTGTAGTTACTTTTTTATAATAAAAAGTTATAATTTTCTTCTTCTCGTCTTTATTTCCTCAGAAACGTCTAGCTTTTGCAAACTCCAGACAAGCAACTTTTTGCCAATCGTTCATCATCATCCTCCTCCTCATCATCACAGCCATGGAGACAGTGGTGATCGTGGCCATCGGTGTACTCGCCACCATCTTCTTGGCATCATTTGTGGCGCTGGTGGTTGTGTGCCGACATCGTTACTGCCACCCTCCAGACTTTCTGCACCACTTTGATTCCAAGTATGTACCTGAGTGTACACTACAAAATAAGACATGGCCTCATTCATTCCCACACTCAGGATTAAGCAGGCATCACCAATTTGCATGCCAATTCTGAACTATGAAAATACCTCTACTCTTCTTTTTTTTATATTCTAGACCTACAGTGGATTTGATTGGAGCGATGGAGACTCAGAGTGAACCATCAGAGCTGGAGCTGGATGATGTTGTCATCACTAATCCTCATATTGAGGCCATACTGGAGAACGAAGACTGGATCGAAGATGCCTCGTATGCCTTCTCTCCACATTCACGTTCACAACCATAGTATTTTTATCAATACTTATATTCTGCTATTAACACTTTACTGATGTGTCTTTCTCTCAGTGGTCTTGTGTCCCACTGCATTGCAATTCTGAAGGTACATTTTGTGCTCAAATTTCAAGACCCAATTTTATAACATCATATAATTAATTTTTAAAGACATGGATAATTTGGGGTCAGTATGATTTTTTTAAATGTTTTTCAAAGAAGTCTCTTACGTTCACCAAGGCTGCATTTATTTGATCAGATAAAATAAAAACATCGATATTGTGAAATAAGATGACAATTTCAAAATAATGGTTTTCTATTTTATTCCTGTGATGTCACAGCTGAATTTTCAGCACCATATCTCCAGTCTTCACATGATCCTTCAGAAATCATTCTAATATGATGGTTTAGAGCTCAAGAAACATTTATTATTATTATTATCAATGTTGAAAACAGTTGTGCTGCTTAATATTTTTTTGTGAAAACCTATACATTTTTTAAGATTCTTTGATGGATATAGCTCAAAAGAACAGCATTTATTTGAAAAGAAAATCTTTTGTAACATTATGAATGATTTGCTGTCACATTTGATGCATCCTTGCTGAATCAAAGTATTCATTTCTTTAAAAACATCTTACTGACCACAAACTTGACATGAACTGTACTGTAGTGCAAGTATAATAATACACAGCATTGCTTGGGTTAATAAAAGGAGCGTCTTGATTCTGTACAGATATGCCACACTCTCACAGAAAAGCTAGTCGCCATGACAATGGGCTCTGGGGCAAAGGTCAAAGCACCTGCCAGCCTGAATGACATCATCACCGTGGCCAAACGCATCAGCCCTAGGTAAACAGTTTGAGGAGTTGATATGACACAATGTTGATTGTTGAGTGTTGATACTGACACGTTGTGCCATCACAGGGTGGATGACGTGGTTCGATCCATGTACCCTCCGCTGGACCCCATTCTTCTGGATGCCAGGTAACTTCATATGCTAGCAGGGTCTATTGTACTGTATGTTTAAGTTTCTGCAAAGTGCATTGACTTTGCCACATTTTTGTTTGGACCAGGGCCACAGCATTACTATTGTCGGTCAGTCACTTGGTACTGGTTACACGAAACGCCTGTCACATGTCTGGCAGCCTGGACTGGATCGACCAATCACTGCATGCAGCCGAGGATCACATGGTGGTGTTGAGAGAGGCGGCTTTAGCCTCTGAACCAGAGAGAGGTTTGCCAGAGAGAGAACAGTCAATCTGAATCACACACAAGACTTTGGCAGGCATACTGCATGTACATACACTATTATGAATGCGCCTGTAAAGAATTAGTGGGCAATACCTCAACATATCCATGGTGTGAAAGAGAAAGGCAACTTAGTTTCCATTGTTTCTTTCTCTCTTTCTTTAATTTGATCTGTTACGTTCCAGTTTAATCTGTGGTCATACTGTCAGACATTTCCTCATGCTGGATTCAAATGTAGATACTAGTGCTAAACAATGCCTGAGACAATCAAAAACATGAATGTATAAACCAACTGCAAAATGTGCTAAATGCTATTGCTAAGTTGGTTAACTAAACCTTTTATAAACATAATAATATTTACCTTTTCTTTCTTGTGTCTCATATTTAAAGGACAACTCTGGTGCAAAATGAACCTTTGGTCTAATAACATGTTGGTACCTAGTCGACCGTTTTGTTTTTCTGAGATTTGTTTTCATGATAATCGAATGTAAAGAGTTTTATCTCTAAAAACTGTTTAGCGTATAATGCTAGTATATAGGGCATAGAGTAATGAAAAATAAAAACGCTAGTTAATACCACTAACAAGGCTCAAAATAGCCCCACACTAACACAGTAACATAATGAGGGTCTCGACCAGACCAAGTTTGTTGAATTTCATACAGTTCATTCAGCTCACTTGGGATGTCGTTCGTGGTTCACCAGGTCGAGACACTCATTATGTTACTTACTGTGTTAGTCTGGGGCTATTTTGAGCCTTGTTAGTGGTATAAACTAGCGATTTTTATTTTTCATTACTCTATGCCCTATATACTAGCGGTATACACTAAACAGATTTTGGAGATAAAACTCTTTACATTCGATTATCATGAAAAAAAATATCAGAGAATGGTATCACTACGTACCAACGTGTTATTAGACCAAAGGTTCAGTTTGTGCCGGAGTTCTCCTTTAAGTCTAGATGGTTCAAATTTTCATTATAGCATCAATAGTCACTTGTATTTTTTCTCTTTAAAATACAAATACAAATTCTGGTTCATTTTCTTATTTCCAGTTCAGTCTCATTTGCACTGCAGAACAGTTTGTATATAGTATATATTCACAATTCTAAATAACATTTGCATAATATAATCACATGTTAAGTTGACATAGTACTTTTGCATTAGATTTCTCTTATTTTGTCTCTCTCGTGGTGTTTACACTACGGTCCAAAAGTTTGGTTCGATTTTTTTTTTTTTTTTTTGAAATATATATTTTAAAGTCTCTTATTCTCACCAAGGCTGATGATTAAATATAAAGTAAACACACTAATATTGTTAAATATTATGGCCATTTAAAATAACTGTTTTCTATTTGAATATACAATGCAATAATGTAATTTGTTCCTGCATAGTTCAGGATTATTTGATAAATAGACAGTTTTTACTGCCAATTTTATCAACTTAATGCTACCTTGCTGAATTTATACATTTTTTAGAAAAAGACAAAAAGACTCCAAACTTAAACAAGTCTAAATAGCTGGATGTGGATTTCGCAAAAGCAAGCAAAACTCACATTCTTTTGTCAATCTGCTATCTAGATGTTGCCTGCAATTTTTGACCAGTCACATGAGTCTAAATCCACACTAATTCCCTCCCTCAAACTCCCACTACACTTTACACGTTCAGCAGTTTAATCTGTGCTCATACTGTCTGACATTTCCTCATGCTAGATTCAAATGTACATACTAATACTAAACAATGCCTGAGACAATCAAAACCATCAATGTATAAACCAAATACAAAATGTGCTAAATCGTATCCTGTCATTTTTGACCAGTCACATGAGTCTAAATCCACACTTATTCCCTTCCTCAAAGTCCCACTACACTTTACACTTTCAGCAGCTGCACACACATGCACACACGCACACATACAATAAATATGTGTAAAGATATCATATGTGTAAAGATATCTAAATAAAGATATCAATCATATAAGAATACATATTAGCATTCTGTTGTTGACTATCAGTATTTCCCCTTTTAATTCCTATTGCTGTGGTTTGGGATTTTTTTTTTTCTTGTTACTGACATTTCTTGTGTGTTCCTCTATTTGTTCTTCCATTCTTGCTCTGTTTATGTATTTGATATTTGTAAAGTTGAATAAAAGTTTCACAGTGAAAAGATTTCATTTTGTTTTATTTTAAAATAAACATTACTAAATTCAACTGTAAGTTCAGTAAAACAACCAGATCTTTATTCACATGTCCTGCTTTGTGTTGAGAGGAGAGATAAAAGGCAGACGGGAAGAGATAAATAAAGCGGGAAGAGAAACAGCTGCGATGGAGGATGGGAAGAAAAACATGGAAGCTATTTCTCAAAGTCATAGTTAATGGTTCTGTCTAGCTTTGAACAGAAAGCTTTTGGCCAAAATGATCACTGGGCATTAGACATGATAAGAAGCACCAGACCGAAAAAGACACACTCACACTTACAGTTACACTGTACACATGACTGCCATCAAGAACATGTTCATCTTACAAACACATCTTTTTTAAAATATCGCTTCATGTTGAGCCTATAGGTCACAGTGCTGCTGACACTCAGTAAAGTCCTTTGCTTTTCTTCAGGTCCATTTTTTGTAAATCTGATAGACAGTTGTAGTCATTCCATGTCATTCCTAAAACAGCCTAAAACAAATAAACAGGGCAGTTACTTCAACCTCTCCTGATGTGTTTATTTTTCAAGAAGATCGTAAGATACGATCACACCTAATAGTTTACTTGATATTCGCCTCTATTTTCTTAATCAGGTGAGCTATAATTTGATTGGCTGACTTTGAAAGCCAGACTTTCATTCATTATTTATTTATTTATTTTCATTCTGCTTGGAAACCAAATTGTGTTTTTAAGATTTCGTTTTATAAGACTTTAGTTTGTAGTTAACTAGACATCCACAAATTCTGCTTTATTTTTATTTTTTTTATAAACTACTGTTCAAACGTTTTGGGCCAGTAAGGTTTTTTTTTATTATTATTATTTTAAAGAAATTAATAGTTTTATTAATTAAGGCCATATTAAACAGATCAAAAGTGACAGAAAAGACTAATCATGTTACAAAAGTTTTATTTTTTAAATAAATGTTTATATTCTTTATATTCATCAAAGAATCCTGAAAAAAAAATCATCAAGGTTTTGACATTAATATTAAGTAGCACAACAGTTTTTAACATTGATAATAAGACATTTTTGAACAATATTTTACAATATTACTGTTTTTTTTTTCAGCAAATAAATTTAGCCTTGGTGAGCATAAAATACTTTCAAAAGCATAAAAAACTTACTGAGCCCAACATTCTGAATGATAGTGTACTACATGTCTGTAAAATTATGTATTAAATTAATTAAATAACTAAATTTGTTATTACTTATTAAATATCAAAACAAAAAAACTATTTAAAATAAAACTGCTCTTAAACAACATGTAAATGTTTTGTATTTATTTTTTTGCTTTTTGAAGGTTTCGATATGCAAGATTCAATTTATATAAATGAAATATCTACATAAAATACAATTTTAGATTCAAAAATAACTGACGACAATAAAAAGCTGGTACTGCTAAACTCAACCATACTGTAATCTATATTCCCCCGGTTTCAGACAAGGCTTTAACTCATCCCAGACTAAAATGCATGTTTGAGCTGTTTTAACTGAAAGCAACTTGCACTGATATATCTTAAAACATGTCACTGCCATTGTTTTGTCTCAAGGTACACAGCAGTGTATTATTTTTTCTAAGGCACATTTATAAAATCTACTTAAATATCCCACTTGAACTAAAACCTAATCCTGGCTTAATCTAAGCCCTGTCTGTGAAACAAGGCCATTGTGTTTTAGCGTTAGACCTTGAAATCCTGCGGAGACAGGTAGTTCTCCAAGTGTAAAGGATCCACTCCCTCGGGTAAAGGTCTCTTTAGCAGATCCTTAAGGGGAAACTGGGTCTTATTAAGGGCTGCAAGAGCATCCTGCACCAAAGTCAGCTTTTTACACACTGTGCAGTCCTGGAAGAAAACAAATATTTAAATATTAGACCTCAGTCTAAATCATGTAAGCACTCACTCATGCACATGATGATGATGTCCTCACTCACTTGGACTCCCCGTGTCAGTCTCATCTCCCATGAAGGAAATATATTAGTAAAGGTGAGAGGCTCTGCCCCTTCATCAATCAGGTATGCCATGGGAGGTCGTCTAGGATTTCTCTCTGAACACAAAACACCAAAAAGAACCTTACAAAAGAGAAACAGCAGGCTTCCGAACAGCATCTGAATCCAAACTCACCTTTGCAGTACTGTAAGGCAGTCTCCATGGCGCACTTCTTCTCTTTGTCCCAGTGGGGGTGCTGTGAGACTGAGGCTTCACAACTTTGCCATAAATACACCTCCAGATAGTTATCCAGCAGGAACAGTGCTGCCAAGAGAATGTTACAACACCACAGCCGTGTGAGGAAAACCACTAATGCACATTACATTCAGTTTGACCTATTTTTTTTCTGTTTGTCTGAGAAAACCAAAGTTATGTATCTTGTATAATTGGGAGGTTCACAGTTGTGAATCCACGTCTAAAATGATCAACTTTATTCTTGTTTCATCTTTCACACTGTTTATAGTTCACCCTGAATTTTGAATGATTTCTGGGTAGTGAGGTTTCAGATTTGGACAAGTATGATTTGATGGCATGCAACGAGCAAACAAGTTATTTTAAAGTGCTCCTATTATGCTATTTTAATGGCTTCTAATTTGGATGTTGTCTGGATGTGTCCTACAACAGGTTTATATGTATCCACTCTGGTTTGATTGGTTAGGTGGGCCAGGTTGAACAAAACGGCCATTGCGATAGCTGAATTTCAGCTCCGAAGACTTCCTCAGCACTTGTAACAAACAGTAGTGATGGTGTCAGTCATATCAGTTGAAGTACAAGACCTCATCCTCCTTTGGAAATGCATGCAAAGTGTATTTGGTTTTGGAGAGCATTATAAACAGCGTCTTCTCGACATGTCGACAACACAAACCAAACTCTTCCAGGCCTCAGCTACAACAACAGTTTTTGAGGGCGGGTCAGAGTAGTCGTTGTTCACTTGCAGCAAATGAAATTCATATGCAAATATGTTTCAAACCTATGGATATTTGAGCAGGAAGTAACGCTGGAATTACCGACGACTTCACGGAAACAATTCTGAAGAGAAAACGCGAAAGTGGCGTTGCGTTATCACTTTTTATTCTGCGTTTAGACGAGCGTTTTGTGTGGGAAATCCGCGTGCATATGGTGTAGAGCCAGACCGATATATCGGTAGGCCAATATTATCGGCCGATATTAGGCATTTTCCAAACTATCGGTATCGGCAGTTATAATGGCCGATAAATTAATATTTAAAAAATAAAATAAAAATGGACGAAACACGCTTGAACCATGTCATCAGTGTTGGAGTTGTATAGTTTGTCCACCAGAGGGCACTCTACACCGTTCCTGTTGGCAATCTAAACACTCATAGACTAGCTAACCATAAAGCTAATGCCAATATCATCGGTCTGTTCTGTTGTGAAAATAAAAGAAACAATTTTCTTTTTAAAATGCATTATCATATTACATATTATTTTAGTTAAAACTCATAAATAACTACAAATAACTAATGTTAGGAAAATCTGTTAATGTTTTGTTGCGCGTTTCTGAAAAAAATAAATAAATAAATAAATGTCGTCCGATATATCGGAATATCGGATTTTAAAACCTATTTTTAAAAAAATATTTGTATTGCTATTGGCCTTCAAAATCCTTTATCGGTCGGGCTCTAATATGGTGACGCAAAAGTGTGTGAAATTCAATGTAGTATGCACTCCAGGTGGCTAGGTGGCAATGTGGAGCACACTGCCAATGTGGAGTACAACCTTCACTGTCAAGCAGACTTTTACATTTTTACCCTTTACACTGGAACGCGGAGGTGGAGTGTTTTTAAGATTTCCACTCTGGACGGTGGTTTCACTTTTTTGCGTTTTTAAGCCCCCAAAATGCCATCGACGTGTAAACAAAAGTCACATCCAATAAAATATATGTACATTTTCACCCACGACCACGAGCGTTCTCATGTAAACAGGGCCTAAGGCAGCACAGAATCGGTTCTTTCTTTTGGAAGAAAATAACTCCATTTATTGTGCACTTTTATTTTTGAAACTTTGCAGACCCTTTACAATCACAGATATTTTACACAATACATGAAAGGTGATATCTGAAAAAGCATAATTGGGGCACTTTAATAAATGCTTGTCCATCTGATCAATATTTCAGTAAGTCAACACTTTCATAAGTACGAAACATTGCTTTGGTGTTGAAAGTTAACCTGTGGTTAAGTGTAGTGTGAAAAGCCTTGTGTTTCTAAGTGAACTTGCTTGCTCTCACCTGGATGTGGCACAGAATATAACTTATCCTGGAGGAAAGGCATTGCCATAATTACTCCACTAACATGGGAGGGACTAATGAACTCCGCCCCTTCAAACGTTCCTGATTGGGCACTCAGGTGAAAAAGGCGGGGGGTAAAGTGAAATTTACCAGGATCTGAAAGGAATACAGGAAAAAAGAAGGTTGCAAACATTCATTGCACGACAGAGAGAGTTCACACATGGTTTATCATAGTTTGTTAAACATCACACCTTGTAGCATGCAGTCATATGACTTCTTGTCCTGTGGTCCAATAGCATTCCAGAATTCTGCAGGCTCTTTCCCCTCCTCCACTTCCTGGACATTCATAAAGCTGCCAGTTCTCAGACTCAGCTCAGGTGGGCACCTAACCATTACAATCAATCACATGAAATCGATCACAGTCTGGCAATGTGCATCATTCATCATGAATATAATGTTAAAGGTGTGGCTCACATCTGTGTGAGGCGTTGGACGGTCTGCTTGGCCACCTGACGTGCTTTGCTGTGGGCTTTGCAGCCATGCCAAAGGTAGATCGCCCCCTGCTGGCTGTTCAGCAAGACCAATGAGCCACGAGACCTCAGACTGGAGCAGGAGCAAGGGACCTCTAACAGACTGCCTTCTACAGACACATCCCCCCTCACACAGAACAGAAGCCAGCCTCCTGAAACACATACCAAACCTATATTGTCAGATGTAATAAGTGGATATATAGTAGAGAAGAGGATTGGATTTTTCAATGACCAGACCTGTGTCTCTGTTGTGTTTTCTATAAATGACCATCCCTCCCTGGAACAGCTGCAGAAAACAGGCTGGCTCCTCCCCTTCTGTTACAAACACCTGAGAACTACACTGATTGGTCAGTGTTGGTGACAAGTCCCGCCCACTGGCATTGGAGTGCCGCCCCTTCCAGATGAAAAGAGCAGATCGTTCCTGACCTCTTGCCATCTGATCCCCTGTTAAATAATAGGGGAATAAATATACAAAGTATTTAAATTCTCAAACATACTCATTTTCAAAAATGTTAATTTTAATATGTATAAAATATACACTATATATGAAGAGTTCAGATGCAAAAGCCTCTAAATGCCATTTGAAATTTTCTTCTTTAATGATGATTTTTGTCAAGCTTGTATATTTAAGTTCAGTGATTTCACTTAAATGGCAATGATAATTACCAATTAATTGTTATTTAAGTGAAATTACTGAACTTAAATATACAAGTTTGACAAAAATCATCATTAAAGATGAAAATTTCAAATGGCATTTAGAGGCTTTTGCATCTGAACTCTTCATATACAAATATATTATATATATATATATATATATATATAAAATTGTTATGTTTGTATGTTGTGTCAAATAATGTCACATTGTATCAATTATTAACAATATAAATTAAAGAAATGAATACCTTTATTCAGCAAGGATGCATTAAAGTGATCAAAAGTGACAGCAATAACATTTATAAAGGCATTTATAATGATGTACCCTGGAAAATACATTTATGTGTCTACGTCCATACAAAGTTACCTCATGTTTTGTAACCGAAAGTTTGAGGTTATCAGCTTACTCTGAGTAAACTTACCCAGGTGAGTCGCATAATCTGCATTGCCCCCTTGTTTGTCTGTTAATTTTTTTGTATTGTTATTTAATAAACATTATTGCTGCAGTTAGATCCTTCCTACACAGCTCTCATTGCTGACACTGACTGTGACTAAAAGATTGCAGGAGTGAGGAGAAGACCAAATGTTTGGATAAGTCCTGCATATGTCACTAGAGAGAAGTCGTTTTCACCGGATGGTCCAGTTATGACATTTCGGTTGAACATTACAAGATCAAAACACACAAAATGAAACATATGCAACACATACAAAATCTTTAACATGGACAGAATTTTTATCTCATGCTGACTTCAAGGGATAATTCACTTTGAAATTAATTTTTGATATGTTTTAGCTTACCTCAAGGGCATCCAAGATGTAGGTGTCTTTGTTTCCACAGTATTTTCAATTTTGACATTTTTAGGTCAAACCGTTGTTGTCTGTCAGTCATATAATGGAGGTTTATGGGGTCCACTGTGCATGAGCATGTCCAAATTAAACATGATTTAATGACTCGTAAATGTAAGTACACACTGATGGCCTGAGACGCGAAACGAGCGGTTTGTGTGAGAAAACGAACAGTATTTATATTGTTTTTACCTCTTGTAATCACAGCCACATCCAAGTCATCTGAGGGTGGGGGCGCTTCTATCTGGGCAAGCACCGGAAACCCCCGGAAGTGATCTCTCGTGCGTGTACGTCATTCATTGTTTACACAGAGATTTCAGAAGTGTTATCCTTCACTGTGAAGATCTAAACATATTTAGATATAGAGGGAATTGCAATGGAAGACGATTTCGATATATCAACAGACAACGTTGATTTTTTTTTTCGCAAGAGATCACTTCCGGTGCTTTCCGGTGCTTGCGCAGAACTTTTTGTTTCGTGTCTTAGGCCATCAACGTGTACTTACATTTACGAGTCATTAAATCATGTTTAATTGTGACTTCTCTGTGCATGCTCTTTGAGGTGGACCCCCATAAACTTCCATTATATGACTGATAGACAACAACGGTTTGACCGAGAAATATCAAAATTGAAAAAACTGTGGAAACAAAGACACATACATCTTGGATGCCCTTGAGGTAAGCTAAAACATATGAAAAATTAATCTCAAAGTGAACTATCCCTTGAAATAAAAAATATATGCGAGCATTAACTCACCTAACGCTGTGAGGCTGTAAGTCCAGCGTGTAGCGTATGTGCAGCCCTCACTAAACTGTCCCAAGCTCTCTGGGGCAACCTCACACTCCTCACTCTCTGAAATAAGCCACGATTTCACTGCAAGTGTGCATAACTCCACCTGGCGACCATCACTCAGAGTGACCATGTCTCGTCCCCTACGTACATCCACACCATCCAGAACGATTTTTGACACCGCCGAGAGACAGACTCCACCGAAGAGAGCTCTGGCATCACATGACCACTGCTCAGGTGACACTGGCTGAGGAGATGACATGAGTGATGGGGTCTGTAGAAACAACAGAAAAGATTATAGAGCTAGAAAGAGAGAGCATAAAATGATTTAAAAGTGAACTCTGATCACTAGAGGGCTGTAATAATATTTAAAAAATCTGTTTCAGGGGCGGTTCACGCAGAATGTTTTTTTTTTCTATTCCACTGCGCCACTATTCTATTGTTTTTCTATGTAAACACATGCTAGATGGACGTGTTTGCGCTTGAGTCTTTGCAGCGCCTCGAGCACGACATGGCGTTCTATGGATGTGGTGCTCGCGTTTTCCAAAGCAAAAACGTGTTCTGTGTGAACGGCCCCTAAGGATGATGGAAGTCGTAGTTAGGGCTGAACGATATTGAAGAAAAGTGCGATATGCGATAGCTCGTTAAATAATGGGATTTGCGATACGATAATGTACTAAACAAATGTAAAAATAAAACTGCTTAGTCATCACTGTATATAAACATTGATTCTTATTAAAGCTATAACAGTTATTCAGTGAAGAGCAGTGAGTGATTTTCTCTTTGTCTTTTGTTATTTGATTAATAATAAAAACACAGATGGCAGCAGGTTTATTAGGCTGCTGTCACTTTAAGAGCCAAGGCACGGATCCAACCCACATTGACGGAGAGTGTTTTGTACCTATTTTGTTGATAATCTATATGTATCTATGCTGAACCTGATTACCTTCGGTTAATTAATTGGGTTAATTGATTGTCTTTGACCCAAGTTGATTGATTGATTGTTCTCTGATTTAAGGTGTGGTTTCATCTATAATCTTTCGTCATTCTCATTGTGCGTGTTACTTGGCCCTGAAGACCATCTGTTGGTCAAAACATGTTGGCTTGATACTTTTTTATTATGAAATAAGCCAGTTCTAATAAAGGCTTTTTAATCATCACCTTCTCCTCATCCGTTCATTGAGTGCCTGGGACCTGCATGTTGTTTCAGTGGATCCTTTCCCTATCCCAAGAGCACCTATCACTGATTAACTTCACCTGAGCGCCTGGTTGAATCTCTTCATTACGGATCCAATATACTGTTACACATGCATTTTATACATTAAGACAAAACTGACTGATTACGTGGATACTCACCAAGATGGCATTCTGATATAATTTTGTGTGTATTTGGCCATGTAGAGTAAGTTAAGGAAAATAACTGATTTCAGAATCGCACGTTGTCTGAGATGTGTGTGCGAGTACGCCTCCGCGGCTTAACTCTTTTTAACATTACGCATATCCCGCGCATGTAACAATCATGTGTCCAGTCTATTCTCTGCTATCTGCGTCAACCTAAAATTTGGACATTGAAGTACTAAAATCCTTTATTGATTATTTAGATATATTGTGCAGCCCTAGTCATAGGTATAAAAGAGGAACCTGAGATATGTTTGTTATTATAACATGTAGTACTGTATATGTAAGCCTCCTCACCTGCTCCTCCTCTTGTATGAAAGGTTCGATGTGATTTTTGTTCACTTTTGTCTGCTCAAATGAGTTAGCAAACTTCTCTTTGAACAGTACCGTCTCATTTTGGTCAAACACACGGCCAAAAAGTGCCCAGTCTGGCCGTCCAGTTCCCTTCCTGAAACACACAAATAAGTACATTTATTGGTGAATACCAGCAATAAGCTTGGATTTCTCTTTCTGCTTGTATCCTAAAATTAAATTATGATATGAAATTATGATTATAATCAAATTATGATTATGAGGATTCTTTGAAATATTATGATTAATGATATAAGTTATCATTATTCCTTCAGTATATATATATATATATATATATATATATTAGGGCTGTGCAAAAATTAATTGCGATTAATCGCATCCAAAATAAAAGTCTGTGTTTACATAATATATTTGTGTGTGCTGTGTATAATTATTTTGTATATAGAAATACACACACATGCATGTATATATTTAACAAAATGTGTTATTCATATATAAAATATTTATATTTATATAATATAGATTATGTATTTATATATATATATATATATATATATATATATATATATATAGAGAGAGAGAGAGAGAGAGAGAGAGAATTTAAGCGCAAATAATTCTTAAATATATACATGCATGCATAGGTTTTTATATATACAAAATAATTATATTCAGCACACACAAATATATTATGTAAACACAGACTTTTATTTTGGATGCGATTAATCGCAATTAATTTTTGCACAGCCCTAATCTATATCTATATATACTATATATATATATATATATATATTGTTCCACTGCTAATATATATATATATATATATATATATATATATATATTAGCATTAATATAACCGTTATACGTTTTACATAATTTATACATTCATACAAACTTACGTTGTTTACGCAGCTTAAGTGCTGCAGTCATTAAAACAAAGGAGACAGAGCAAACACTAAGACGTTCTGATATTCATATTAACCGCTAATTCAAGTTGTTATGCTGATAATATAATTCTTACTCATTATAAGGAATGCAAAACAGAAGCATTTTCACTAATGGACTTTTGGAGCACACTGTAGCTGGATATGAGAAGAAGAATCTCCCATTACAGTGAACCTACTTGGGAATGCGGGCACTGCCACCAGAGGGATCCAGAGGGTTGATCCTGCAGTTGCTGTAGTCATACGCGCCGTCCCAAACCTGCTGAGCCAGCTGAAGGGCCAGTTTCCTCTCACTGGGACCGACGTCTTTCCCATGCCACAAATAGAGCTCGCTGCCGAAGTCAAACAACAGAGTCTGAAACGGAAAAAGCACTGTCAATAGGTGTAACCAACCACCTTAAACAGCATGTGTAATCACAAGCAGCAATAAAGTGCATTATAAAGTCCATGTCATTTATTCTTTAATAGTATATAGCTTGAGATCAGGACCTGAGAGGAGTTCAGTAGAGCGAGGTGTGGTACGGCAGCCCAGGCCTGCTCAAGGGGGCTGAATCTGTCCCCCTGCAGCCTATAAATACAGTTTGACTCTGAAATGGCTCTCTCATAGTGCTCATCCTCATCAGCACTGTCTGGACCTGGAAAGTGATACGCCCCCATAAACATACAAATGTCATTTGAACAGTTTTGGGAAATAAAAGTGTTGTTTTTGATGAGATATTTCATGTGGGGTACACAGTACGGCTCTTGCCTTTATACTGGCTCTGTCCCCCGAGAAGCTTCCAGAACTCTGCTGCCTGCAGGCTGTCTGTATTTACACCTTCATCAAGGTGAACGACGCCCGTTGCTTGACAACCCATATCCCTCTGGGTCACAATCAACGAGGCCATTTCAGATGCCTAGAACACAACCTTAGTCAACATCCAGGAACTAAATCCCAAAATCTGATTGATCTGAATCTGAGCAGAATAATAATAAAATAATTCTTAATTATTTAATTAAAGGTGCAATGTGTAATATTTCTGAGGATCTATTGACAGAAATGCAATTTAAGATCCATAACTATGTGTTCAGTGGTGTATAAAGACCTTACTCAATGAACCGTTAAGTTTTTATTATCTTAGAATGAGACATTTATGCTACTTAACCGCAGACATCCCCTTCTATGAAGGTCGACATATTGTGACGTCATGTTTCTACCGTAGCCGAAAACGAACAAACAGCGCTACAGAGCGCGTTTCATCACTACCTTGAAAGAGAAGCCACAGAGATCTAGAAGCTAGCCATAAACATCGTGAGTATTGAATTTTCCCTTGTTAGTGGTGTAAAATATGTAGTTGGATTGTTTCATGTAACTTAGTTCTTCTCCCTTGCTGTGTTATGGCTTTTTACTATTATTATATTAAATTATATATTAAAACCCTTGATCCTCACCTGACTATGACTTTGTAAACTTTATCCATGATGGACTGTGGTACAGAAACAGTGAAAATGTTACACAGTCTTGGCTTACTCTGGCTATTCTCTGCTGTCTCAGACGGCGATATGTTTGTCCCGTTTTAGCGAAAAGAGAGGGGTGAGCAGTGGGCTGAGCCATTAGTGCAGTTCGCAACCGAACCACTAGATGCCACAAAAATCTACACACTGTACCTTTAAAATGTATTCTTTAAAGGGTTAGTTCACCCAAAAATTAAAATTAAGTCATTAATTACTCACCCCCATGCTGTACCAAACCCGTAAGACCTTCGTTCGTCTTCGGAACACAAATGAAGATATTTTTGATTAAATTTGAGAGCTGTATAACTACCACATTGGCTCCTAAGGGACTGCCTCTTGACGGCCCAAAAAGTCAATGAAGAAAATGTTTAAATATCCCAAGTGACTACCGTGGCTCAACTATATGTTTATCAAGCGACGCGAATACTTTTTGTGCGAAAAAACAAACAAAAATAACGAGTTTATTCGACTATTTCTTTTCTTCCTTGTAGGCCAGAAACGAGACTTCCTTAGATTTCCACGACGCATGCGCGAGAATTGCGATCTGAAGTAGTGTAAGCTGGTGTAAGCAGATCGCAATTCTCGCGCATGCGTCGTGGAATAAACTCGTTATTTTTGTTTGTTTTTCCGCACAAAAAGTATTCGCGTCGCTTGATAAACATATAGTTGAGCCACGGTAGTCACTTGGGATATTTAAACATTTTTTTCATTGACTTTTTGGGCCGTCAAGAGGCAGTCCTTTAGGCAGCCAATGTGGTAGTTATACAGCTCTCAAATTTAATCAAAAATATCTTCATTTGTGTTCCGAAGACGAACGAAGGTCTTACGGGTTTGGTACAGCATGGGGGTGAGTAATTAATGACTTAATTTTTTATTTTTGGGTGAACTAACCCTTTAAGTTTAATTTATTACAATTATTTGAATAAAATAAAATGTATTAACAAATAAAAACATTCCCAAGTATTTCATATTTTATTCTACACCTAGAATATACTGTTGAGGATGTGACAATACTTGCACTGGCTCACTCTGTTTCTGTGTGAACTGATGGTACCTTTTCTCTCTCGATGGTGTTGGAGAGTTTGCCGGTCCAGAGGAAGCAGTTTGAGGGTGTGACCAACAGAAAGCAGTCGCCACTGTTAAGAGAGTGTGACACAGGCTCCACCAACCGCACCTGCACCTGCCTCCATCCTGGATAAACACACACATGCATAGAAAACATTACCTGCATTGTTCTCACAAGAAACTCTCAGGATCTTATGGAACTTCCAAGCACGCAATCTTGAAAAATCAAGTGTGCTTCAATGACTATTACCAACAATGTAGAATTTTACAATGTATACTACCACTTGAAAAAGTACAGGGTATGAATTTTTAAAAATATTTTTATTTAGCAAGGATGCCTTCATTTTAACAAAACTTTTGAACTTTCTATTTATCAATTCTTTGTATTCATCAGAAAATTCATTCTATTAGAAATGTATAATGTTGCAAAAGATTTCCATTTCAAATAAATGCTATTCTTTTTGATTCTATTCAACATGAAAACAATAAATGTTTCTTAAGGAATAAATAACATTTTAAAATATATTCAAATAGAAAACAGTATTGTAATAATATTTCACAGTATTGCTGTTTTTATTGTATTTTTGATTAAACAAATGCAGCCTTGGCAAACATAAATACTTATTTCATAAACACAAAAAAACACTCTAGTGTACAGTAAAGGCATAATATTCTGAAGAACATTAGATGAATATTAGAAACATTATCATACCTTTAACCTGGATGAGCATGAGTTGGTTGTATGGCACTATGGGTCTGCTCACTTTTCCAGAGGAAGTGACATCAGCTGGTGTGCAGTTAGAATTTTTCATAGCTTTAGGGAAAATAAAGATGAAAGAAGTTTGATGATGCTAAATATGTTGAAGACATTTGATTAATCATGATAAAATATTTTTATCATCTGACTTTAAAACACTGACCAGGAATATAAAACAGTTTTAAAAAAAAATTAACCTGTATTATTCTCTACTTCACTGTTTTCTTCAGGCTGCATGAAATCCTGCTGGATATCCTCTCGAGCAGCAAGAGCACGTAATGGATTCCTCGAACCCTGAGTCCTGCGGGACGGCCGTACTGAGCGCCTGTGTTCAGCTACAGCTGAGCTCAAACTAAACACACACAAAGAGCATTAAACCTGTATCTAATGACATTGAGAAATCCCTCAGATATACATGTACACACAGACGCTGGCTTTACATTGGCATGTTGGTCTGACAGAGAGTGCTGAGATCTGGCTCTGTGTCTCCTCCAGTGGTAGGACACGCTGGCAGTGAGCAGGGGTCAGAGGTCATGACCTCTTTAGCCATCTCAGTACCAACCATCTGACTTTCTTGGACTTCATTGGTGCAAATGGTTTGTGTTTCTGTAAAGATTAGTTTGGGAGAGTCTTCCTCCTTACAGATTTCCTGAAATAACAGAATACAGAAAGAAATTAATTAGTTGATATTCTAATATCTAATATAACATTATTTATTGTGACTGCAAAGCTGAATTTTCAGCATCATTACTCCAGTCTTCAGTGTCAAAATTTGTTGCTCAAGAAACATTTCTTATTATTATCAATGTTGAAAACAGTTGTACCACTTAATATTTTTGTGGAAACTGTGATACTATTTAGGGATAGGGCCTACACTACAGGATTCTTGAATAGAATAGAAAAGAAACATCAAAAGAACAGCATTTATTTGAAATAAAAATCTTTTGTAACAATTTTACAACAGTCTTTACTTTCACTTTTGATCAATTGCAAAAAAATAAATCTTTTAAACAGTAGTGTATGAATAGCTTAAAACTACCTTGTCTCTCCCCGTCACCTGTGGTTGGTTTTGAGTGGATGTGGAAACCTCTTGAGCTTCATAAGAAAGACTCCTCTAGAGAGGGCGAGAGAAAGATGACGATAAATTTAAAGGTCTGCTGGTCAATTCAAATAATTGTCATGCTATTATTGACAGTAAAGTCACTCTTTGTTTGAGGACAAAACAAAATGGATCTTAAAAGGACAAGGCAGCCAAATGAACACATTCAGGACACACTATACAGGATAAACAAATGTTTTGTTGAAAATCACATGCTTAGAGCAATAACAGTTTATAGTCACATTCATCACATTGACACATTAATCAAATTCTCACCTCATTGAAAAACATCACATATTGAGGTGTGGTGCTTGAATGAGAGTATACAGAGGAAAACACAGGCTCCTGAGAGGAGAGGAGAGGAAAGGAGAGGAGGAGAGAGAGGAGGAGAGGAGAGGAGAAGAAGAGAGGAGGAGTGAGAGGAGGAGGAGAGAGAGGAGAGAGAGAGGAGAGGAGAGGAGAGGAGAGAGAGAGAGAGAGGAGAGGAGGAGAGAGGAGGAGAGGAGAGGAGAGAGAGAGGAGAAGGAGAGAGGAGAGGAGGGGAGAGGAGAGGAGAGGAGAGGAGAGGAGATGAGAGGAGGGGAGAGGAGAGAAGGAGAGGAAAAGGAGAGGAGGATGAGAGGAGAGGAGAAGGAGAGGAGAGGAGAAGGAGAGGAGAGGAGAGGAGAGAGAGGAGGAGAGAGGAGAGGAGAAGGAGAGGAGAGGAGAGGAGAGAGAGGAGAGAGGAGAGGAGAGGAGATGAGAGGAGGGGAGAGGAGCGGAGAGGATGGGAGAGGAGAGAAGGAGAGGAAAAGGAGAGGAGGATGAGAGGAGAGGAGAAGGAGAGGAGGAGTGAGAGGAGAGGGAGAGGAGATGAGAGATGAGAAGAAGGAGAGGATAAGGAGAGGAGAGGAGAAGAGAATGAGAGGAGAGAAGAAGAGGAGAATCGGAGGAGAAGAGAGGAGAGGAGAGGAGAAGAGGATGGAAGAAGAGAGGAGGAGAGAGAGGAGCAGAGAGGAGAGAGGGGAGAGAGATGAGAAAAAATATTCATAGAGGAGAGGAGGGGAGAGGAGAAGAGAAGAGGAGAGGAGGAGTGAGAGGAGAGGGAGAGGAGATGAGAGATGAGAAGAAGGAGAGGATAAGGAGAGGAGAGGAGAATGAGAGGAGAGAAGAAGAGGAGAATGGGAGGAGAAGAGAGGAGAGAATGAGAAGGAGAGGAGAGGAGAAGAGGATGGGAGAAGAGAGGAGGAGAGAAAGGAGAATGAGAGGAGAGGAGAGAAGATGAGAGGAGAGAGGAGGAGAGAGATGAGAGAGAGGAGAAAGAGGAGAAAAAATATTTATAGAGGAGAGGAGAAGGAGAGGATAAAGAGGGGAGAATGAGAGGAGAGGAGAGGGGACGAGAGGAGAGAAGGAGTGAGAGGAGAGATGAGGAGAGAGAGGAGAAAAAAATATTTATAGAGAAGAGGAGGAGTGAGAGGAGAGTGAGAGGAGAGGAGAGGAGAAGGAGAGGAGAGGAGAAGAGAAGAGAGGATAAGGAGAGGAGAAGGAGAGGAGAAGAGAATGAGAGGAGAGATGAGGAGAGAGAGGATAAAAAAATATTTATAGAGGAGAGGAGGAGTGAGAGGAGAGTGAGAGGAGAGGAGAAGGAGAGGAGAAGAGAAGAGAAGAGAAGAGAAGAGAAGAGAAGAGAAGAGAAGAGAGAGAAGAGAGAGAAGAGAAGGAGAGGAGAGGGTGATTGACTAATAAAATCTCAACAACAACAATATACTGTATGCTCAGTCAAATAGAATAAACACATAGAGACAATGACTTGTGAAATCTCACTTTTTAGCACATACAGTAATAAGCAACAATGTATGATCATTAAGTCAGTTAAAGTAACTGAAACACATATTGCATAAACTCACATAGCAAGCTTACCCAGCATTGAGTTTGGGGAGTAGATTCCGCTGTCCTGACAGTCTCATCCTACAGGGGGCAGTGTGGGAATCAGGGACAACAAAGATATTGAGACACACATGCTGATGTATTTATTTACACACAGAAATATAAACCTCATAGTCAATATCACCTAGTTAAATAAGCTTTGATATTTTAGGTGTCTATAAAAAACAATGAAATTAGCATCTCATACACACACCTGTGGCCCACTGTTTACACTGATATTGCACCTTGCCTTAGCACTTTGCACCTCCTCTTCTTCTTTAGTTACTCTTGAGCCAGCCAGTCTGTGAAAAACACTTTCTCATTTAATAGGAGCCAAACAGTGACGCATTTTGTCAAACACATACCATATACCATAAATTAAAATAATATAACAAATACCAGTTTGCAATATCAAGCAGCATAACAGACTGTTCTTGTAAGAACTAAAATCAGCCTTGTGTGTAACAGATAGCCATGCCTGCACTTATGTTAAAAATAAGATGGATAGATTTCCGTCATCTAATTTGAGGTACACAATCCTCATACTTTGTTGTTTAAAAGTAGCACATGGGCTATTTTTATGGTGAGTACACAAATCAGGAAATAAGGCAGTATCTTAGAAATGCTTTTTGCTATTAATATGAGACTCCCTACGTATTATTATTACCACAATTGCAAGAGTACAGCTTTGGTACAGGAGCACTTGGGTGACAGTGCCAGCAACTGTTGAAGATGCAACATTTCTTGAGGAGATGTTAATGAGATTATTAAGTTAATAATTGCTCAGTATTTTTGTGGAAACCCTGATTCAAACTTTACAGGATTCTTTGATGAATATAAAGAACAAATGTCTTCACTATCACTTTTTTAAAGCATTCTTGTCAAATAAAAGCAAATAGTAATAATTCCTTCTTTTTTTTAACATTCTTACTGACCCAAAATGAATGGTATACTGTATATTGAGACAACAAACACAAAGAGCAAGAGAGTGAAAGCGAGAGAACCTGTCAGTGATGTCTGATTCTCTGCTCTGTTCTGTGATCTGGAGGTCTTCTGAATGGGATGGACATTCGTCAGGCTTCGACGCAGATCTCCGTGTTCTGCCGTGTTCTTCCTTCCTACCCCTCTGCCTCCAGGGAACACTGGAGGGACAGACTGGAGATCGACCCACAGCTGATATATGTCTCTCCTCTTTCACCTCCCTCTCACTCCTCTCTCCCCCATTCTTCTCAAGGCCATGTCCATTCAGATCCCTATCCCGATCTCTGGTTCCACTCCTCCACACCACTCCCTCTGAAGTGCTCTTTTTCAAAATGCCTTTAATCTGCACTGAATTCTGGGAGTTGCTGCCTACTGTAGGCTTTAGATGGGGTGATGAGGTGAGTTCGGAGGAGGAACCCCTCTCCTGTGAAGAGCTCGGCCTAGAGAGACACACTTCACTGGGCTTCAGGTTGATGGACTCAGCTTGCTGTCGGTCAGAGAGGTGAGGCGTCAGATGAAGACGAGGAAGCTGAACAGGCTCTTTCTGAAGCTAAAGTGGAAGAAAGGCTTATAAACATCTCTGGAAACGACCGAGAATGTAATCTAGAAGTTAAAGTCACAAAAAAATGGCTTGTGTTGTGTTTTGGATGTTGGTTTTATCATCAGGTTGCTTAAGCACGACATCTGTGTTCGATGAAAGTTTTCCGTGCAGCATTACTGCAAAAATCTTCTTCCCAATATTCAATATTTCTACTTTATTTTCTATTAGAAAATATCTGGGCATCCTTCACACAACAATAATTTAACAGAGCAAAATGATTAAGGTAATCAGATCACTTTTTTAGAAAATATATTGTGAGTGAAATCATGTATTGTTTATTGCTTAAATAAACTTTTTAAACAAACTGACAATAAGGTAAACAAGCAACTTATAATGATAATAAAATATACACACTGAGTAATAATCAAAAATATTTAAAACCAAACCAACTACCGGAAGTTCCAATTATTTGAAAATGAATGAAACTCATGAAGAGTGAATATTCAATAAAAATAAAATATTTTTTGTGTCTTTATATATATATATATATATATATATATATATATATATATATATATATAAAGTTTAAGTGAAATAAACATTTAAAGGAACACTCCGACTTTTTGGGACTTTAGCCTATTCACCTTACCCCCCAGAGTTAGATAAGTCCATACATACCTTTTTCATCTCCGTGCGTGCTATAAATCTGTTTGACGCACCCACCGCTAGCCTAGCTTAGCACAAAGACTGGATGTGAATGGTTGCAGCTTTCATACTGATCCAAATGAGTGACAAAATAACGCAAACGTTTTCCTATTTACATGTTGTGATTTGTATAGTCACATAATGTACAAATAACAAAGTCAAATGAGACACAGACATCTTTTAACCGTATAAAACCTGGGAACTATTCTCTGAAGGCGAAGCACTGCTACTTTGACGGCGTAATAACCGCATCACCGGAGACACGCCGTGGTGAGGAGCGGAGAGTTCGCTCAGTGTTTGGGTAATAGAGTCAGCAATTTATAAATAGTAAAAGCGTAGTTTAGAGTCATGGGTTTTCGCTCTATTGTAAATAGCTGCGACTGTAAACAGGGGAGGTAACCATGTTTCACAGAATTCCAACTAAAAACGCTGACTGGATGAAGAAATGGCTAACTTACTCTGGATATTTATCCAAACACACCTAAGATTATCAAGGGACATTATGTTTGCTCGGTACATTTCAATGAGGACGACTATTTTGAAAAAATGGAATTTGACACACGGACCATAATGTGCTGAAGGATACGGCCATCCCATCGATAGCACAGACAGGACAGTGGATCACCTGCGGCTGAGGTAAGTGTTCCGTTATGTTTTTAGATGACCTAACAGTGCCATTAGCCAGATCTAATGTAACGTTAGTGACACTATTATATGATTAGGGTATGAATATGTTTTTATCTTGATGCGGTGCGGACGCGCTTGGGAAAAAAAAACTAACGCGTTCACCGCGTTGAACTTGCACCCTGCGCGCGGCGCGCCTAGTAGCCTAAATTTGAAATAACCATGGAAATAACGAACTTGAGCGTGCAAAAGGGTACGATAGGCTGTGAGTTCATTGTGCAAAAACAATTTGTGCTATTACTTTCCCCTTATTCTATCCTATAGTAATGCAATACTGTATATTATATAGGCTACTGTTAAATACATTTGGTTCAGCTAATAAATTGCATTTAAAATATATTGATTCCTGTAATAATAATAATTTATTCATGTGATATTTATAAATCTGGGTGCGTTTTTGGTTGGAAATCAATGAAACATGGTACTGTATTACCTGGTCTCCCCTGTTTATTGTCACAGCTCATACAATAAAGCAAACACCCATGATAAACCTTGCTTTTCTATCTAACGTTAGTAATTGCTGACTCTTTATTCCAACGCTGAGCGAAGCGAACTCTCTGCTCCTCGTCACGGTGCGTCTCAGGTGATTGTTATCACTCTGCCCAAGTAGCAGTGCTTCCCCTTCAGAAAATATAGTATTTATACGGTCAAAAGATGTCTGTGTCTCATATGGCCTTGATATTTGCACACTCTGTGACTATACAAACCACAACATGTAAATAGGAAAACGTTTGCGTTATTTTGTCACTCATTTGGATTAGTATGAAAGCTGCAACCATTCACATCCAGTCTTTGTGCTAAGCTAGGCTAGCGGTGGGTGCGTCAAACAGATTTATAGCACGCACGGAGATGAAAAAGGTATGTATGGACTTATCTAACTCTGGGGGGTAAGGTGAATAGGCTAAAGTCCCAAAAAGTCGGAGTGTTCCTTTAAGTGAAATCACTGAACTTAAATATACAAGCTTGATAAAAATCATCATTAAAGAAGAACATTTCAAAAGGCATTTAGAGGCTTTTGCATCTGAACTCTTCATACAGTATATATATATATATATATATATATACAGTATATATATTGTTTTTTTTTTTCTGTGATGGCTATGCCATTATTAGTTTTTAGAAAATATGATTAATTTTTAGAAAATGTATCTTGAATTAAATTATTTCACCTAATCATAAAACTTACTAGTAAACATTCATACATTTAACCTTCCAAAAAAAAATTTAAATGGAAATTCATTGGAATTTTTTATCATGGTCACCAGATCTGAAGCTGACACACACTGATTAAAACAAAATGATGACTGGACAAGTGGCAAATAGAGACAATGCCAAGTAACCACAGACAAGCAGAGCTATATATGTTCATGCATCCCAAATATACTTACCAAATTGACCTCATCCACAGTAATGGGCTGTGTGCGGTAGCGTGCACCCTTCTGTCTGCGTCTCTCGGAGGCCTCTAGTGGGCTGCCGTCTCTCACGGGACTCCCCACAGCACCCAATATGGGCTGAGACAGTTTGTTGAAGAGAGCCAGTTTCTCACTCATAGACAGTTTAGTGCCAGCATCATCCTCCACCTCTGCCTCAGGCTCACACGCCTCACCCGACTGAGGACTGAAGGAGGAACCATTGACAGTGAATTAGGTCATTCATTTGTTTTTAACCTCAGAATTACTTCTTAAATTGGCAGTGGCAATGCTGCTGTAAGTATAGATAGAGATTTAAAAACATATTAATGCAAGAAATGAGCATGTTGTTTAATGAACTCCTGCCCACCTCGCTGCCATCACTGTTTCCTCAAAGGTGATTGGCTGAGTGAGTGCTCGGGGATCGTTGTTACGGCGAACTCTGCGCTCATGGAAACTATTACTGGAGCGAGGTTTGAGGAATAAAGACGCCTCAGGTGAAGCTGTCTTCTCCAATTCCTGATAGCAAAACAGCAATGTCATAAGAATATTTAAATGGTGGAATTAAATGAGAGAGAGAGTGACAGATGTAAATAATTCACCAAGAGATGATGCTTTTTTGATAAGATTTTTTTTTAAAGAAATCAATGATTTTTTAAGGACGAAAGACAATTAAATTGATTAACAGTGACAATAAGACATTTAAAATGTTACAAAATATTTATATTTTAAAAAAGAAATTCTGTTCTTTATCCTGAAAAATGTATCATGTTTTCCACAAAAATATTAAGCAGCACAATTTTGTTCAACATTGATAATAATAAGAAATGTTTATTGGGCAGCAAACCATCATACTAGAATGATTTCTGAAGGATCATGTGACTAAAGACTGGAGTAATGATGCTGAAAATTCAGCTTTACCATCACATGAATAAAATACATTTATTTAGAAGTTATTTCAAATTTAAAAAAAAAAATTAAATTTTAAAAAATTGTGTAATACTGTGTATTATTATTTTTATTGTACTTTTTTATTATTTTTTATTTGTATTTATTTTTATTGTAATATTTTTAAGGTACTTTTGATCAAAAATGTGCAGCCTTGGTGAACATAAGAGAAAAAAAAATTGAAAAAAAAAATCTTTAAAAAACCTTTGAATGGTATTGTAATTTGACTAATTTAAATGTGACGATTGAAAAAAACATAATTTTAACAGCATTTAAAAATATAATCACTTTAAATTCCTTTTTATTTACACAAAATAATTCATGCTTCACCAAATCTGTTAGATTTTCTTTCTTCCATAGATCACAACAGGAGATGTTTAAGAGAATATTCACGCTGCTCTTTTCCATACAATGAAAATGAATGGTGTCTAGGGGCCAACAAACTCAAAAACTGACCAAAAAGTAAACTCATAAACTCATTTATGTTAGAAGTCATTGCATGCAATATTATTTTTTGCATATTATATTTGCATAGTTACCAAGAAATTTGATAATACTGTGTGCTTTGTGAAGATGTGTTACCCCGTATTTAGTCATAATTAACATTCAGTGTACATAAAAACAATTACTCATGTGTTCCACGTAAGAATGAATATCATTTGTCACATCAACATGTCAGTGAGTTAATGGCATTACTGTCATTGTTATGAGAACAATCCCTGTATTTTCTATATCACCAAGAAAATGTAATATCTCTTTCTCTGGTGAAATGGGTCAGTGGCAGGATGAATTAAACAGATCCTGCACCGATAGTCTCGGTAAGGAAGTCACAGTAACAAATGAAACCCAGTGGGTCATACGGTAACCAAACACTACAGGTGTCCTATTACCACATACAACCCAAACACAAAGCATAAGAACAGAGAGGAGAAAACATACCGGAGCAGAAAGAGAAAGAGAGAGATTACTCCAAAATGATTAGAAAATTCATTTTCCAGCATCACATTGCTCTTTAAAATGTATAAATATACTTTATCCAAGAGACATTTTAGAAAATTAAAAACATTTTTGTATGTGAGAATAAGTTTTATGTGTGTAATGAGAAATGCCTGGTTATAAAAGTGCTAATACCAATACATTAAAAAGTGAATTTTATGGTAATTGTAAGTAATTATAATTAGCTTTTATCAAGAACAGTGAATTGGGAAGTCCCCAAAAGGGTAAATATACACAAGGTGCGTGTGTGTCTGTGTTTTCCATCCATGGCAATGACCTTTTTCTATTCAGGCAGCAGCAGTTGCTAAAGAGATACGGTGGGCTCTTGTTTCACCTACTTTAAACAGGGACATCTTGGCAGCTACACTCATCTTGGCTCTGTCATCTGTCTTTACATCCACTGCAAGAAAAACAGCAAGCACAACATTACAAGGGGAGAAGTATCTCCAAGTCACACACATGCATTTAGAGCAACAGAAATGCCACGCTAATCGATACTGAGACATCATAACAGACTGCATTACTTGTGAGACAATCTGAACGGATCCACATGCATACACACACATGCATATCTAATTGAGTACATAGCATATTGTTTTATATAGTACACAGTTACATAACTGTAGTTCGCAGGCTTTTTTTACATGTTTGCAATTAAGGACATCCCTAAAAAAGGCTGTCAGATTTAGCTTAGTTCTGGGGACTAATTCATTTGTCCACAAACTATATACACATGTGATTCAACTTAGATCATAGTGGTGTAATTTTCTGTGTGAGATCACTAAATAACTGACAAACATATCATATTCTCTCACACGCTCATAAACTCATTGCTCTGTGTTTGGCCAAATGCACAAACAGTTTGGCAGATGTATTCTTCACCTGTGCGTATACTTCTCTTGACTGGCAGATTTATAGCTGATCTCAAACACACACACACACGTTGTGTTTTCATGTTTTATGGGGACTTTCCATTGACATGATTTTTATACTGGACAAACTGTGTATTCTATCCCCTAACCCTAAACATAATACACACATCATTCTTCCTTTTCCCATGTTATTATTATACTAAATCTGTTACTAAAAGTGTCACTAAATTACTGTCCTAAAAAGCATGGCTTATATATTTATAAGACTATAAGCTTTCTTTTATACAGCCTTGTAAGATGTATCCACTCACCAGTAATAAAACAGAGGTCATTATAACTGTTTATGACAGTATCCACTTACTCAGAATATATGCATGTGTAAAAGTCTATGAGAGTGTGTTTACTATGTGTATTGCATTGCAATGGTACTATGAAGCGGTAGAGCAAACTTTGAAAAGACTGCTCAGACTAGTTAGACAACCATTTACAAAAAAAAAAAAAACCTCCTCAATATACGCCTATACACAAACACTACCATTCAAAGGTCAGTAAGAATGTTTTTTGTTTTGTTTTTTGAAAGAGAAAAACTTTTCTTTAGCATGGATGCATTAAAAAGAGACTTTTACATTGTTACAAAATACTTATATTTCAAATAAATGTGGTTATTATAAACTCTTGAGCAGCAAATCAGCATATTATTATTATTTCTGGAATATCATGTGACACTGCTGAATGATGCAGAACATCTTTCTGACCCTGATTCTGACCCCGACTCTTGAACGGTATGGTCTATGAATGCTGAATTTCATAAAAACCTGAAATACTTCATAAAAATGCTTCAATATTATAACATCATCTCTGTTTTCATCAATTTAGCTTGTCACAATAATGTCTACTACAATAATGAGTTTCTCACTTGTAGGTTTTTACTTTGGCACCACTTTTTTAACTTAAATTAAAAAGCAGCACATGACTTGATGTTGACTTTTAGTTGATTAACATTTTTTACAGTGTAAAATTGTAGGTCAAGCACTTACTTTGCGAGGTGTCCTGATTTTCATCGTCCATTGTTCTGTGAAATGAAGAACTTTATGAGAAGTCTCAAAATAAAAAGAAGAACCACAAAAGCCAAACTCACATTCAACTGCTAACTCGGATATGCATTCAAATTATACAGAAAAAAGTAAGATGACTTCACACCAGACCTGCTTTAACAAGCCTCTCCGGCACTACGGGCATTGTGACACACACTCACTCAGACACATCTGTGCAGGTTATATGCATGACATAATCCAAACTATTAAAACTATGAGCTCTTACACACACCCTGTTGGATGATCCTATCAAGCACATGGGATACATGCTGAACTCATTTCCTAACTCAAAGGAAAGGACTGTGCTGAGTATGATATCTGGCATCTGTGAATATATATGGAATATATTCCAGCTATTTATGATAGTGAAAGGATTGTACTCTTAAATGACTAAATATCAACAAACACACACAGTACGCACACACGCAGTATGTCATTTTCCTGATCAAATAACGTTTAAACCTTTTTTTTTTTCAATATTTTAATTGTAAAATATAGTAAATGCTACAAAAAGCTGAAATGTTACTCAGCTCTTGATGTCAAAAAACACAAAAGTGTGAAATATTATTACAATTTAATATCCGTTTTCGATTTTAATATGCCTAGTGTCTATTTACACCAAGTTCAAGTAGGCAGCATTGTTGACAGAGGCTTTTTACACTGACTCGGCCCACTGTTATCTGATTGAGCTAGACAAACAAAAGATATATACTGCATGAGGAGTAAGACGTGTGCCGTTAGCTTTTGACACGATCGACCCAAGTTCCAATACGCTTTTTACCGCACTCATTCTTTTCCCTTTTCTCATTGCAAATCAACTTGGAGTAGCGTTTATTATAAATATTAGTAAATATTTTTAAATCATCATTCATCAAATCATCATATTAGAATGATTTATGAAGGATCATATGATACTGAAGACTGGAATAATGTCAAGTCAAGTCAAGTCAAATATATTTATATAGCGCTTTTCACAATACAGAATGTATCAAAGCTGCTTCACTGTATCAATCAAGACAACATAACAGTGTTTGTTTATTCATGAAAAAAAAACAATCCAGTTTGGTAGAGCTGATCAATGGTATGATGGGTCATTATATTTGAATATCTACAGTATGTCTGCTTTATCATCACAGGAATATTTACACTAGGTGAAAATACAAGAATCTTCTTTGCACTGAGTATAAAGAGCATTACAGTTAGCGCAAACAAAATACTTCTATTTTAAACGAGTGTAAATATTTCTGTGATGATAAAGCAGACATTATTCCAGTCTTCAGTGTCACATGATCCTTCATAAATCATTCAAATATGATGATTTGATTTGATCCTCAAAAACAAATTCTTATTATTAATGTGAAAAACAGTTGCTTAATATTGGAAAAAAACCTGCTTAATATTTTTGTAGAAACTGTGACCAATTTGTTTCAAGTTCAAAAGATCAGCATTTATTTGAATATATATATATATATATATATATATATATATTAGGGCTGTCAAACGATTAATCGCGATTAATCACATCCAAAATAAAAGTTTGTGTTTACATAATACATGTGGGTGCACTGTGTATAATTATTTTGTATATACATGTAAATACACACACATACATGTATATTTACGAAAAAATATTATTTATATATAAAATACAGATATTTATATATAATATAAATTATATATAAATCTATATTCAGTACTACATGAAAATATTTCTTAAATATATACAAGCATGTGTGTCTATTTAAATATATAAAATAATTATACACAGTGCACCCACATATATTATGTAAACACAAACTTTTATGTTGGATGTGATTAATCGTGATTAATCGTTCGACAGCCCTATATATATATATATATATATATATATATATATATATATATATATATATAATAGAGCATGTAGATGCATGGCATGTTTGAATGTTTTTTTTGTCGCATGAAAAAAAGGTTAATGACAATCATAACACCCAGCTAAGTTAGTTTGTCTAGGTAGTAAGCAACTGCTGTGAGCACACACACACACTGCATGCCTGTGTGGAGATCAGAGACAGTCTCCATACCCACAACTCTCCTTTATCTCACAAGCTGTGATGGGTTGAGTACGGAAACGTTCACTGTTTTTGCGACTCCCTGCAGGATCCCCTGGCATGTATCGACGGCTACGCCGACGACATCCCTCGGCACCTGGCTGAACCGCTAGGTCAAGAGTCAAGGCCACCACACCACCATCAGTGGTGCTAATATTTGAGTACACAAACCAGATGGCGGAGAGGAAGAATGTGTGTTTGCAAGGGAAACAGAAACAGAGAAAGAAGGAATGAGTCAAAGGAAAAGATTAGTAAAGGACACTTCTTCTACTTCTCACAGCACACTGAAGATGGTAGGATGTTAGACAGCATCAATCACACTGTCATCAAGGTGCCAAAACTACAGGTAAACATTAGCATTATGTTAGCACCACAAAATGTGCACATAATACAATTTATTACATTAAGAGCTACCCTAAACTGATATGAAATGTAAGGGCACAGATACAGCCAACAAAGAAAAGCTAAAACACTGTTAAACACTTTAGAAACTTACTTTAAAAACTACTTCGTTTAATATGGTGTGACTCCTAGATGTGTGAATAAATTTCATGATGTGTATCCATCTAATTTAAGTGTATTTTTGCAGCCCAAGGTACACCATGTAAAAAAAAAATATTCAGAATTTAAATAACGAGTCCGCACATCCTTTCAAAACGTATATTTATAATTTAGAAGGGGAGGGATATTTTTCACAGGAAATTGAGAAATAGAGAAAAGTTGCTCTGGCTAATTTAACGTGTGTATGGTGCAGGAGTAGCATAGTTTAGTTGTCTTTCACAACGACTGGGAAAGATTGACACGAAACAGCTAAATTATGTCTGCCGGCCAAAAAAAAAAAAAACACGACGGAGCTCGTAATAAAACAAGAATCAACATTGGCTTGGCTTTTTGGATATGGCAAGAACTGAGGGATTTGAAATATTGTAAAAGCATAAAGCCTTTTTGAGCAGCCGAAGCACAACCAAAATACACTGTTTTGGTTTTTTTTAACCGCGAAAGTTACATAGTGTACCTTTCCTAAAATATTATTATTATGCAGAATAGTGGTGTTAGAGATAACTGCAAATGCCCTTGCCTATGGCAATACAAACAGAATGAAGCAGGAAATGAACACACACACTGAGACACACTCCCTACACTCTATTAGACGGAGCAGGGCTCGAGGTTTGCTGCAGAAGAGCGCTCTTCAGCTGGCCTACTGATACATGAGTGTGTAACTGGCGTGTGTCAGGTGTTGAGGGCCCATGGGAGTCTGGAGGGTTTTCCCCATCCACTGTACCAGACAAGCCCAACAAACATTCCCTGGAGAGGGTGATTGAGAGAGACAGAGGACTTCAACTGGAGGAAATAAAGTGTGTAAGGCAGGGACAGCTAAGAGACATGCACAGGGAGGGATGGCGTAGATATAGAGAATGATGAAAATGCAGCTTGCAAAACATTATTACATTTAGGTACATCTGACTTGCATATCATTGTTGCATCCATTTGGATTACAGAGCTTTGACAAAGAAACTAATAAACTGAATGTGATGCATACAGTATAAAAGTATAAACTAAATGTGTACACAATGACCAGATGTATATATTTATCAATAAATCAAGTTTGTTTTAAACTCATTCATTTTGACTAATTTAATGTGGCTTGTTCCACAGCTTGCCTTGTTTTAATTATAGTTTTAGCTGAATAAATTCACAATGAATAGATCCGTTCTGATTCGGAGCAGTTTGACTAAATGCATTTTGAAAATATGATTATTTAAATAAAATAAAACGTGTAAATCTTACCTGTTTCTTTTATGCATGACTGACAACTATGCTTCACATTAACTTTATTAGATTGTTGATTTTAAAACAGTGTATTCTAAATGAAAGGAAATTGTATTGTATCTTAAAGGATTAGTTCACTTTTGAAAAAACTTTTGCTGATAATTTACTCACCCCCATGTCATCCAAGATGTCCATGTCTTTCTTTCCTCAGTCGAAAAGAAATTTAGGTTTTTGATGAAAACATTCCAGGATTTTTCTCCATATAATGGACTTCAATGGGAACCGGATGGTTCAGGTCCAAAAGATAGTGTTAATAACAGTTTCAGATGCAGCTTCAAATGTCTTTAAACGACACCAGACGATGAATAAGGGTCTTATCATGTGAAACGATCGGTTATTTCAAAACTTATTCCAAAAATGTAACTTTTATAAGGACAAATGCTAGCCTTGCTATATTCTGTGAGGCGCGTTTGCAACGTCACGTAATACGAAATTACGTTCAAAAGGTCACGGGCGACGTAGCCAGAAGTACAGAGTCAGAGTGTTTACAAGTTGAACGCATAGGTTGAACGTGAAAACTAACTCAAACGCCGTTTACAAAAAAGGAATTAAAAGGTAAAACAACGATGTCGGACGATTTTGATTCTGTACTTCCGGCTACGTCGCCCGTGACCTTTTGAACGTAATTACGTATTACGTGACGTTACAAACGCGCCTCACAGAATAGAGCAAGGCTAGCATTTGTCCTTAGAAAAGTTACATTTTTGGAATAAGCTTTGAAAAAAACGATCGTTTCGCATGATAAGACCCTTATTCATCGTCTGGTGTCGTTTAAAGACATTTGAAGCTGCATCTGAAACAGTTATTAACCGTCTTTTGGACCTTGAACCATCCGGTTGCCATTGAAGTCCATTATGGATAAAAATCCTGGAATGTTTTCATCAAAAACCTAAATTTCTTTTCGACTGAGGAAAGAAAGACATGGACATCTTGGATGACATGGGGGTGAGTAAATTATCAGCAAAAGTTTTTTAAAAGTGAACTAATCCTTTAAATGTAGGCTTATTTAATTTAGCAGAGATTTTATTTTGTGAGGATAAGATTATATCCAAAACTGGAAGTCCTGTGTGATCTAGTGACTATTTGCAAAGGATGAAACTCCCTCACAATACATAATGCCTGATTTATGTCCACAATAAACCCAGGAATGTATATTAAAAAAAGTAACTAGGATGAATTTTCGAGAGGAATGACACAAATCTTTCAAGCTCACCTGTTTTGGTGTGTGTTCTCTCGACTGGTGTTCACCTTACATCCATTGGAGATCATTGCAGGAACAGGCCGTTCCTCTAATGGTGTTTGTCCATTCCTCCCCATCCCCCCATTCATTCCTCCTGAAACAGACTTTTCCACATAGTTAGAGTCACGGACACCGCGTCCTTCCCTGTCTCTTCTCGACCACTTAGATGGAAGCTCCTCTTCCTGGCTGCCATAACGTTCAGCCAGCTCTCGCCGTCTCTCAGCTTTGTAGCGAGCTATGCGTTCAGCTCTGGACTCCTGGGCTGCATTTTCCATTTTGTCCATTTCATCAGTTTTGTCACTTTGGATGTTTGAAGTAGGCAGAATAATTCCTGGTGTATAATCAAGATGATGATAACACCTCAATTTGGAAAACAAGGGTGGAGAGACCCAACCGAAGAGATGTTTGATTGATCAGAAGAAGAAATTACAGCAGGTTCCTCGAATAATGTGTGTGTGTGTCATCCTGATCACTTCCCTGAGGACATGGCACTGTAATACAAAGCAAATAAAAGAGTTCTTAGATCATCCGCTCGACACGGATAAATGGAAGGACAAAAAAATACTTTCATTCAACAATTAACACCTATACATTTAGACCCTGTTTAATTCTTTTTTCTTTTTTTTTAGTTTACATCCAAAGCTCAAACCAACCTGCAAACCTGCAAAATGATTATGTACCTTTCCTATTTATCAGTGTAAGTGTACTCCATGACCTGCTTTAGTGAGCTTCTGAATTTGGGAAACTCCTCTTGCACTGACACTCTACACCTCAGATGTGCAGCTCATCTCAGCAGTCTTTTTAGGGCAAGCCATTTATCAGACAAGCTGATCCATCAACACCAACACAGGTGTATTTGAGTTAGTCTCAGCTGGTTTATTAGTACTGGCATAATACAACACATTTTAAGTAAACAACACAAGTCAGAGACAGTAACCCAAATAACAATAAACTCACAAAAAATGATTAGCTTAAATTTTCCAGATTGTTTTGCTGTAATGAGTAAACTGAGTAATGCTAGTTTATCAGGTATTTTCATCAATCGAAAGTTTGCTGTTGGTAAGATTTTTAATGCATTTAAAATAAGTCCCCTGTGCCTATTAAGGCTGTGTAAAAAAAACAAAAAAAAACAGAAATATTGTGAAATATTTCTGTTTTAATATATTTTATAATGTAATTAATTCCTCATTACTCCATTATTCCAGTCTCCAGTACCACATGATCCTTTAGAAATCATTCTGGTATGACGAGTTGGGCTCAAGAAACATTTCGTACTATTATCAGTGTTGAAAACAGTGCTGCAGAAATTATTTAGAAATTAATAATTGTACTACTAGTTATCTTTTGGGATTTTTGCAAGAGTTTGATTTGGCAAGAATAACACCAAGCAATCTGTCAAATATCTTGATGGTCAGAGGAACCTATTTTAAAGGAACACTCCACCGTTTTTTTGAACAGGGATTATATTTATACTTACCATCAAGATATATTTGACAGATTGCTTGGTGTTATTCTTGCCAAATCAAACTCTTGCAAAAAACTCTTGCAAACTCTACATTAAAACAGTTTGGCAAAAGCATTTTTTCAAAGTGCATGCATTGTCTTAGTTTGGCAGCGCCGACGCTAGCTTAGCTTAGCATAATGAATGGGATCCTATGTTGCCAAGTAGCATGTCGTGAGTAAAAGTGATTAAAAAAACAAACAAAAACAAAACCTAATTACTTCTTGTGGCCTGTGCATTCACAACGAGTACAAATGGCATTTCAAATTAAGACTAGGCGATTAAACAGGCATAGATATTGACATGGGACTATATCACAGGTAAAGCACAACCACTTACGTGGAAGTGCTTTTGCCAAACTATTTTAATGTAGACTAGGGAACACTGCAAATAAGCCTTATTTCTAAAAACGGTGGAGTATTCCTTCAAGGAAAACTATAATTCAGTTTAGAAATTAGTATTATTGTTCATTTTACGCATCTATGGGAAGCCACAGAAACAGTAAAGACAGTCATATCCGAACAATAGCATGAAGAACCTGCAGAACAAGTGAAGCTAATGCACCTGATTCAGACACAGACTAAGCCAACATCGAGTTAGTCACACTCAGCTGTAATACGTCAAATTACCCAAACAAGACCAGTCAGAACATGCCTTTCAAAATGGTCATGTGGTAACTTAGTCACCAAGCTGCCATAACAACACAAACACACCTTTACTCATACATAAATAATGATATCATCATCTTATCACCCATATACAACGTGGACCCAGCATGTGGCCAATGGGCTTCCCATGGGAGCCCTCCAAGCTGCATCAAAGAGGAGTGTGTGTGTGTGTGTAGGGGCTCCTCTCCTCCTAAATAAGCAAACTGTAAGCATCAGCATTCTGCCAGATCCGCTCACAGCTGAAACACAATAGCCCCGATATAACAACAGAGCAAAGATCCACAGCAGTACCACAGCAGAAAGAGGGGTACAGCTTCACTCTGTAGGCCTTATATGGGTTTTCAGGAGCCCAAAGCAGAGTTTGACCTCTCAAATCTACAGCAATCATATCATGAGGAGTGGAACTTACAAAATGGACCTACCAAGTTTATCCAAGAACTCTAAGTAATGCCATCTATCAATACTAGAAATTACAGACTGATACATTTAACTACATTTCTGCAAATCCTCCTCAGACAGTTTTACTACTAAATAGTTGGCCAATATAGAAATGAAGATAAATGATATAAAAGTCAGTTCAATATATTAATTTAAACCTCTTAATAGACTTGTAATGCAAAAGTGAAGAGGATCTTTAGCAGAAATGTCCTGTCTGTAGGGAGCATGAGAGTCATGTCCCATCTGAGAGAGACTTTCCTGAGAGATTTAACAAGCTTAGCCATGTCATGATCCCATGATGATAAGAGTCTCAAACCGTATGTGACAAAATGAAAATGTGTGCTGATTTTAAACATCTCAATAAAACACCCATTCAATTTTTTTTTAAACATAGCCTAATAAAAAATATTTGAATATGCATGTAGCAACATGAGGTAAATAAAGTGGTTATAAAGTGCAATGGCTGCAGGTTGTCAATTTGGCACCACTTTGTCTTTGACTTTACTTCGAAATATTTCGAAAGCTACACAGTACCCAGCAGTAATCAACCAAAAAGTGCTTACGCTAGAGACAGTATATGACAGAGACGGAGAGATGGAGCGAGTCAGTCACGTGAAAGGGAGTTTGAGTATACGGGATGGAACGGCACTGTGGTAGCTGGTTGACGTTTGGGATCAGTTAGACTCATCAGTCCTTAATCCAGTAACTCTATTTGACATGGACATGTGCTGAGCACAGACATATGAAAACAACCACACACACATAGACGGCAACATTCACAATTCACTAGTCATGACTGGGGTATTCTCAGCACACGCTACTAATCTTGCTTAATAGCCGTTGGATTAATTGTACTACAGTTATCTTGTGGCAGGTGTGTTTACAACAATCCAGCTGCATTTAAATTAAGTCTCATAAGCTTGTGCCCAGAAAAACAAGTAATACAAGATGCATTTGACATACACCAATTATAGCGTTTAATAACTGCCAAAGGCAATTTACACAAAAAAACAGGAAATGCATTTAGTATGGCACAGATCTGATGTGCTTTTTAAATTATTGTTTTATTCCTGTTTTTTGTTAATTAATCAGTCAACAGAAATAATTATTTATGAATATCTATTATAATACTACTATTAATAATAATGGTTGCAATTTTGTTTAATATATTGTTATTATTAATTGTAACAATTTTGTTTTGAGCTGACAAACTGTTAAAGTCAGCATGAAACAAACAAGAAGAAATGTACTCTAGGGTGGGACTTGATTATGTCCACCAGGCAGGGAATCGATTGTATCGGATATTTGTGATTTGCTCTTGTTGTGATGTCATGTGAGTGACAGATTGTCCTGCCCTCACACCAGTTAACACGGCAACCGAGAAGAGAAGAGATACACTACACTACACTGAATAAATAAATAACTTCACAGGGGCAAGAGTGTGTAACTGCCATGACTACAAGAGTTCAAGAGAAGAGTGTGTAACTGCCATGACTACAAGAGTGTGTAACTGCCATGACTGCAAGTGTTCAAGAGTGTGTAACTGCCATGCAAAGCATGATGCAGCAGGTTACACCACATATTCAGAAAATAATGTTAAGTTTGAAGAAGTGCCCAAGCTTCTGTTACGAATCTGAAAACGTCTAGCAATGATGGCTTTCTGATTGGTTATTCGATTAAAAGGGCAGAGACAGTATAAATGTGTTAATAAACAACAATTCAATAAACGAGAACAAAGCATTGTTTGTTTTTCCATTTTCATTTACAGAAGTTCCATTAGAACAGCCATTACATTCTAAAGTCATATAGACATTACAGTAATTACGGAGGATAACAGTCAATTTTAAAATGGATGCTTTTTTAAAACGAGACAGCTTCAATGACATATGTGCTCGATGCGACCTCCGGAGGGCGCAGCCTTCGAAATGAGTCGCAGCATCAGCGTTTGAGAACAAATCGGTAGAGTAAATGATTCAATGACTCACTTATTCATGAAAAATAGAAAATTAAACATTTACTTATTACTGTTATTTTTACTACTAACCTAAAAATACAAAACATACCAAGAACTTACCAAGCATGCAAAACCAGGCTTGAGCATTTTAGGGTTGCATCTTGTGACACATCTTGTTTTTGGAACTTGGTAGTTGAGTTCATATTTCAGTTGAACTGCACCAGAGTTTGTTTGGTGTTTGTTTTGTTAGTGCACACCAAGGTTCGGATGGCAGCATTAACTCAAATGAACCACACTAAAAGAGCGATCACACCAAAGTTCGTTTTAATTGAACCAAACCTGCCAAGTGTGAACACACCCTTAAAATCTCCACCACTAATGTACAGACTGACAGTTTGTCTGAAGAGACTAACACCCACAAGCAGATTCAAACACACAAATACATAGTTAGAGTCTCAAGATTTGCATGACTCTTCTGCAAGACATGTCCAATTACATGTCATTTAGCTCCGGCTACATCACAAGGATTTAGAGTAGAGAAAGTTCATGGACTTACAGTTATAACCAGTATGGGATTTCAGGACTTTTAGCCCCCTTACTGTGCTATGATCAGGTAATGCAATGTCAAAGTTATATTTAACACAGGCATGGTAATAGTCTTAAGACAAAGAGGTAAACAGTACAACACCAAGATGTTTAAGACACTAATCAGGAACAGTCCGCATTAACAAAAAAATGGCAGTGGATGATAAATACAATTTAGCTTTTGACCTTGGTTGTACTCACATAACCCACGGGTCACAGAAGCTAGACAAGTCATAACCCTCTCTCTCTCACACACACACACACACACACACACACACACACACACACACACACACACACACATTCACTCATCATAATCTCAAGGCAGGGCACAAGGAAAAAATTCCAAGACGTCCATTTTCTTTTCCCATTATAATCATTATCCTTCACTGATAATTATCTTGCAAGCAACTTCAATAATAACCTTACACTTTACCTGAAGCATGTACATGTATTAGATATGCAAAAGACTGTATAAGACACATTATAATGCAATGTATTTTTACAAATAACTCCAAACACTGTAATAACCTCATAATGTTGCTGAATGCTGATGATATGCTATAATTCAAACGCATTGTAAACTATGTCTTGGGATAGGCTACATTTATTCTCAAGAATAAACAACTTGTCTGATTAAGATACATGAATAAAACAGTATACAGCATTATGGCATTATGAATGTGGAATTTTAAAGCATTTTAAAACGTCAAATGTGTTACCAATAGGCATACTGCTCATCATACAAGCTCTGATAAGAAAATGGGGGTAACCACAATATGAAAATAATGTGCCAAATTTGGCTATATCAACAACAGTCATGTGAATTTCTATTATAGCGTACATTTATAGTTCGTAGAAACTTTTAAGTTATTTAATTTGAGGTGTAGGCTACAGGTGGGTTTGCTGCGCTGCAAGCACGGTTGCAGATATCATTCACTCACTTTATGCAGTAAAGATAAAGACACAATGAAAGCTCATTCGGACTCCTACAAGCAAAATCCAGCATTACAAAAGAAAGAAGGCACTATGTTTAGCATGAGCTGCCAAAACAAGGTTACTTTTACCTATTTACGATATGAAGTGAAAAGTTCTTTTTTCGTTTAGTTTCACAACGATAGGAAAATCTGTTGTCTTAAAACTCGTGATAAATGTAACGGCGGAAATGAATGACGGTACTTACTCGATCTGTGGATGGATCAGCTGTGCGTTTGGATCAACACTGACAGCTACACACAGACACACACACTGCCCTAATGGCCAATGAGAGAGTGTGAAATGCCTTTTAGGGTGTGAGTGGGGGAGGAGGGGGGGGGGATGCGGCTGGGCAGGGTTAGAGAGAGAGAGAGAGAGAGAGAGAGAGAGAGAGAGAGAGAGAGAGAGAGAGAGAGAGAGAGAGAGAGAGAGAGAGAGAGAGAGAGAGAGAGATAAAAATACCCCATGACTAGGGGGCAACATTCCATTGCAAGAGGGCACAGCTAATTTTATTAAAAAATCTACTTGGTCTAAAATAATTTTTTGAAAGTAAGTATTACTAAGTATTACAAAAACCCTTTTAAGAAATATAATTGATCACTCGCAAGTGATCAGTAGATTAGAAACAGGCTTTGCCGTCCACATGGCGGCGCGCCCCCTCATGGGCGTCGTAATGTTTACATGAAATCGACGGAGTTTCTAATAATAATAAAAAAAATAGTTACTGTGGATTTGTTTAGAATTAGACCGGAAGGAACAAAAACAAAACAACTTTTGTTTGAAAACAAACTTCAAAATTCAGACCAAAGGTGTAATTAAGTGCAAAACCAGGCTACAGACGGGAGCCACAAATATGAACAAAATTTCCACTTATAATTTTGTACATAAGGGAAAGAAAATCTTGCTGATGATCCTTCTGCATTAGCTACATTTCTTGGGGATGACAGATATCAGATATGGGAAAAGAAAAACAATGACACTGTGGCATGACTGCCTCCCAGTGGTCACCTTTCATAGCTGTAGTCATTTTAGCTCTACATTACAGGGTTGGGGAGTAACGGAATACAGCGTTAAGTAATCAGTATACAAAAATACTGGTACCTGAAATTGGTTACAGTCAAAAACAAATGAAATTACTCTTATATCTTGAAAATAAATGGGAGGAATACTACCAGGAATCCATTGGACAATCAGGTCGAGAAGCTTGGGCCTATGCCAAATCCTGCCAACAGACTAACTGCAATCATTTGTAGTAATTTTGAATCCAACACGTTTTTTTATTTTATTTTTTTGTAGCTTTGTTTAATGTTAACATAATTCAGTTCATATTTTATTATAATATTTGCTTGAGGAAAAATGCTTTTATTCTTCAGAATTGTATATTAGGTTGGTTTTATATTAGCAGAGCTATTGAGTTAAAGCATAGTTACAGCTACATGCCATTTTCTTATTTTGCAACAAATCCATAATAAATAAAAATAGCTGTGATGACTGCTTTTTATTTACATGTTTATTTTTATTTATTTACTTGACTTTATTTGCACATGTGACCTTGAAGGAATCCAAACGTAATCAGATTACATTACTTCCATATTGTAGGGCTCAGATTACATTACTGAGTACCTTTTATGAAGTAATTTGTAACTGTAAGGGAATGTTCAAAGTAACTATTTGCATTAGATATTCTTGGTTGCTGATAGAGAAAAAATGTGGCAAACAATGTTGAAATTGCTGTTTTATTACCGAAGTGTCAGTATAAAGAAAATGATAAAATGTGCATTCAATCACATATTTAATTGATTTGTATTGTATTCATAATAAAATCATAATGTCAACTAAGCTTAAATATCACTCTCAGCCCATTCGACAACCAAGGGGCACTGCTGGCTCTTGTTTGTTTACCTCAAATTCATCATGAACAGAAAACAGAAAACTTCAAACAATTTGCTTAGAACCTAAAACATAGTGTGTCTTTAAAATGAAGGCAAAACTGAAAAAAAAAATGGGATAAAAACATTACGATGAAAAAAGTCAACTTTCAAAAAGCACACTGAAACATCAAACTTACCTGTTAAACAACATATTGTGCTGCAACATACACAATTTCATTATTAGAGAGTTGTCACAAGTGAAAAAGACAAATTCTCATTCCTCACCTCCGTAAACACATGAACAAGGTGGTGTATATATATAATTTTATATATATATATATATAAAAAAAAAATCAGGACATGAGAGCTCCAAAAATAACTGAATGGTTCATAAGGGCATTTGTTTCTTTTTAAACATCATCATTACGCAGTATCAGTAACATGTTGCATTTCCACCAAGAAGTTTTCATTTGAGAAATATATATAAAAACAAAATAAAATAAAAAAAGTGATCCAATGGTTAAGGTGTTGCACTTTACTCCATTATTATAAAATGAATCTAATCACTCTTGTGGCAGAATAATTCTGCAGCTCAGACTGGATGGGAGGAGCCAGGCAAATGATGTGACTCCGCCCATCTGTCACTCATCTTCACTGTTGCGGTTAGCCAGGAAAGGATGATCCAAAGCTCTGCAGGCAGAAATGCGATGAGCTGGATTGAAAGCCAAACATTGCTACATGGAGAGGGAAGTTTCAGACAAGAAAACAGTTATTTAAATGTGTATTTTGAGTACCAGTCACAAACCATATAGGAATCAATGAGTAACGCTTACAGACAACAGGTCATTCTCCTCGTGGGTTAGGCTGGGCAGCAGTTGTGCTGTTGGCTTTGTCTCAACCCAGGCAGGAGTGTAGCAGACAGGGCTTTCTATAGGCCAGTCCTCCTCACCCGGCAAACCAATTACCCTGTGAGAGAGGGAACATACGATTATCACAAAAGTGTGTGGTTCTTAGTTGCAATTAATATTAACTGGGATTTGGGAATGCAAAGGTATTTTCACTCACTCAAAAATCTTTTGCAGCTGCTGGATTTCTGTGAATCCACAAAATAACGGCCTGCAGAAAAGTTGACAGAGAAAGTTCAACTGAAATCTCAGAAATTGACAAGCTGTTTGTATTGTGTGCAAATTCATCTGTCACGTGGTTAGAGATTTATATTAGACCTTATATTAGTGATTTGACATCCTCAAAACCATAAGCATGACTGCATAACTAAGGCAAAATAAAATATGACCTTGTAGCATGGCCACACGTGTTATTTAAAGTTCCTCGTCTTGTTAGACCTAAGCGCAGCCTTTCTATTCTGTTGCAGAGATTAAAACATGAGGTCGGCATCCGTGAAAATGCATTACAGTGGTAACTTCGCGTCTTATCTTTTAAACAGCACCTTATCTGTTGAAATTGAAGAATTTTCTTGATCCTTAGTACCAATAACTTGTGGGGTGCCCCAGGGCTCCATCTTGGGTCCAATTCCTTTCTCTCTTTACATGCTTCCCCTGCGCTTGATTTTCGAGCATTACAAGATCAACTATCACATCTATGCAGATGATACTCAACTCTATTTACCATTAGATTTTGGAAACGATTCTGTTTCTTCCTTGTTAGCATGTTTGAAGCCATTAGAGAATGGATGGACAGAAACTTTCTTCAACTGAATGAAAATAAAACAGAGGTTATCCTGTTTGTCTCCAAACCTTGCTGATTAATTTATCCTTGCTGAATAAAAGCATAAAAACTGACCCCGAACTTCAATGTTAGTGTATGTCAGGTGGCGACTTGACATCCATTGTAAAAGAATATCTCTCTGAACTGTTTTGCTCTCACCTTAACAGAAAGAGCTCTGCAAAAATGCAGCCGGCACTCCACATATCCACTGAAGACATGTAACTGGACTGCAACAGGACCTCTGGAGCCCTGTACCACAGAGTAGCAACCTGCGCAAAACACACACAATTACAAATCACATGCCAGAGCTCCCGACCACTCCACATTTGATTGTGAATGTGAGGTCCATACACATGGGGTGAGGGCGATATGGCATGTGTATATCCTGGCTAAACCAAAGTCTGCGATCTTGACCACCCCCCGACTGCTCACAAGCACATTATCTGGCTTCAGGTCCCGGTGAATGACAGTGTTGGTGTGGAGGAAGTCAAGTCCGCTGAGCAGCTGACGCATCAAATCCTACATAAAGAGAGACAAAGAGAAAAAAACTCAATCTAAAGCAGGGGTGTCCTATTCTGTCCACTGCAATGAGTTGAGGCAAGATGGAGGTAAATTTTCCAGGACTGAGTCTGGACACACCTGATCTAAAGGCCCATTCACACACAGAACTATAACTATGAAGATTAAAAATAATAATAACTACTGTATATTAACGTCCAGACCAACACAAAATATCATTCTGTTTATTCTAAGCTGCAGTTTTGTCATCTGGCACTTTAAAACTCAGCTCTGATTAATGTTTTTATCGTTCATCAGCTGCAAAAAAAATCATTCAGTTATAATTATGGATATTTTTCTAATAAAAACACATCGATTCACTTTAGAAGGCATTTATTAACCACCTAGAGCCGTATGGATTACTTTTATGATAGATGGATGTGTTTACCGTTCGGGACCGTTCACTCCTATTAAAAAGCTTGGAAGAGCCAGGATATTTTTTTAATATAACTGTGTTTGGCTGAAAGAAGAAAGTCATATACACCTAGCTTGAGGGTAAGTAAATTATTGGATAACTTTTGGGTGAACTAATCCTTAATCTCTGCAACAAAATGCTAGCACATTGGGGAATGTTGTATGTTCATTGAACCGTCTTTTTTCCTGGGCATTAATGGCGGAAGTGTTCAATATCTTTTTTGTAGTTATACAAAAACTAATTTTCACAATATTCCTGCAGTAAATATCTACTGCAGTAAAACTAGCAAAGTTCAAACCTTGATTTTGTCTCTGGCCAGGCCTTTCGCTGACGCTTTGCTGAGAAATGTGGTAAGATCTTGATCAATATATTCAAACACCAACATCAGGTCAAACTTCTGGTTCTGCCATCCAGCTGAAACATTCAGCAACCTAAAGAGAGATAGAGAGAGGTCACAATGCTCAAACTGAAAACACACTACACTTCTCAAACCTTCTTTGGTATTTGACCGACCGTTTTCATACTCACTTGACTATGTTGGGGTGGTTGAAGTGCTCCATTTTTCGCAGAAGAGCCACTTCTCGAATGACGAACTGAGGGATGCCACACTCTGGGTCCTCGGGGAGGTTCAGTCTCTTCACCGCTATGAGACGCTGCTTGTCGCGCCTCTCTCTGGCTTTGTACACTTTCCCGTAGGAGCCCTGGCCGATTTCTGCCAGGAATTCATAATCTGATTCTGAGCTCTCCCAACAACTGTCATCCATGTTTGGATCAGAGCAATCTGTCAATCCGTGTTACTGCAATAACAAAAAGGCGTTATGTCATAAAGTCGGACCGAGTCTGACTTTCCATTCATGGGTGTTCAAGCGATTCAATTTATTCGGCCTGTTAGTAAACCGTTTAAAATTAAATGAATAAACAATAATTACATTGTTAATTACATTCCACTGGCATTAAATTGTTTGTAAAATTAAATAAGTTTCTAAATTGATTTATTGAGATTAAAATAAATTAGATTAGACTTGATTTAATCATTGATATCTGTATATAGGTTATTTGGACTTTTCCAGATTCTACCATCGTGTCGAATGACCCAAATGCCATCAGCGGTGTCGCGATCTGAATTTCTCCTGGTGTTTATTGAATATTCTATCTTGTTTAATATCGCGATAAGCGTGCACGTTGTTTATTCATTTGAAAACTGTGATAATTGACGTTATGACTTACCTTTTCTGTCAATCCAACACCTTGAATAGTAGAATCTACAATTTTGGATCACTGACACTGATCAATATGTTGTTGTTTGCCATGATTTTAATAAAACCTCGCGACATGCAGGGGTGTGAGATTTATATCGCGACCACCAGCCAATGAACAGCTGTAGATTTCTGCTGGATTTCCCCCATTCCACTTAGCAATTTAAGAAAGACGATTTTCTCAGGTGATAAGATATACATTAATGCACTGTGTCGACAAAAAAATAATATATAGCCTATAAACTGCATATAATACCTTTACCTATACCATGCATGACTTTAGACACATAAACAAAATTTAGTTAATTGTGGTTTAGTTTAAGCTTGTTTAAGATCGTCTATTTTTTTCTTGCAGGGTCCTGATGATTAATTTGATGATACAGCAAATTAAGAAGAAAAAAAAATGCATTTATCAAAACTTGCCATTTTGAGACTTGCAGCCATACTGCCCCCTTGATGTAAAAACACGTCCATTCCACGCAATGATTTGTTGTTTAAATCAACATATTTATTCGTATATTAATGAGCACATTTATAGCCAGATTTATACAAGTCTGGAATATCACTGCAAATAGCAAAACACAGGTAAATGTGCACATGCCATCATCAGACAGCTTCTCAAATATATCATTTGCATGTAAACCCACATTTTCTAGAGGCCTAGATCCACAATAATTAAATCTAAGAGCAACAAGACTTCAGTTTAGTTAGTTACAAAAACCCAAATTACACATTGCAAACAATCTGTCTTCCCTCTTCTGCTTTTCACACGCGCACACACACACAAAGGTAAATGGGTTTAGTAAAATGTAATTATAACAGCAGCATTGTTTTTACAAAACCCTTGATTAAGTGCATTATTTAGTTAAGTACAGTGAAACCATTTGACTGAATCAGATTTTTTTTTTCCCCTTTAAAAGTAGATTTGAAATTATAGTTGTGTTTTAAACCAGTAAGGCACTTGGTTAACTGCATTGTTAGGTTGCGCAGTGGTTAATTTTTTAAATAAATCACACAGATCCTCCCACTGTTCTTCTGTTCGTATATATATATATATATATATATATATATATATATATATATATATATATATATATATATTATGAATATATCAGATTTACACACACATGAATGATTATGTGTTACAGACACTTATTCCTTCTTCTTGTTGTTGCAATTCTTGGCTTTTCTGGCAAGACTGATGGCTTCCAGATGAAGATTACGTTTCAGGATGACAGTACCACACGTCAGCGCTCCTGCTAACGCTCCAGCAAAACCACACATCATCATATCCTGACCTGTAAGCGAAGTGCAGATTTGAAAGAGATTGGGGACAAACCAGAGATCTCAGAACCTTCACTGAAATGCGCCTTAAGTATTCTTCATTTTAAACAGCAAATACAAAAAAATGCAAGGCATGGCCCATGTCTCAAAATATACTTAGAGATGGTAGCATATGGACTTAAGGCAGGGTTTCCCAAACAAGGGTTTGTGAGTTCATGAAAAGCTAAGCAATATAATTTAGAGTGATGATGGTGATTATCAAATAAAAGCCTGCACTTTATTCAAATAACATTGAATAAAGTCAAATAAATTTATTTATTCAAATAAATTCAGTCTGCATGTATCAGAGTGAAAGAAATAATTGAATTCTTATACGACAATTCACCATGACGTCAAAACAGTAACAGACGTTCTTCCGGGTGGCAAAAGCCGAAATGTTCCTATGGCAGCGCTAGTAAATTGCTTGGAAGGGAGACCCACCGTCAAATGTAAAAATGTAATACTTTTATTTTTTAAATTAAATATAATGCGTTTTTTTTAATCATAATAACAACTGTTTTTAATTATATAAGTAAAAAATATAATATGTAATATAGTAGGCCTACACATAATTAGTAAAATACTCTCTAGCTCATTTTTCTTGCCAAAATAACGTGCTATATAGCCTATCATGGTCATTAAATGGCTTTCCTGAGGTAAATGTTATGTGACAATTGTTTGCGCGGTTGAAAAACACTGATTGGTCGATATTAAATATGAGGAATATACATTTCGGTAAGTTGCGTGAGAAAATGGATGTGTGGCGTGAGAGTGTGAAAAGTGACAATTGAGTCTCACGGTCAATACGTGAGAGTGGGCAGCCCTCTTTTACTTCAGGCAGTGATTGGCAATGAGTCTGATCTTCAAAAGAGACAAGTTTACTAATATTATTAGTCTCGAATGATAGTTGAAGATAAATGCTCTGCTATGATTTTGTAGATGGACCGTTTTGAGAATACATGATGCAGAGTTGAAGGGGTTGGCAGCAGAAATGTAAACATTGGATGAATCATATGATTTAGGACATTTCCTACTTTTGACGACACAACGTTCACTCGTTATAACCTCCTCACCCACAAGAAATCGATACAAACCCTACACCTTTTGCTGTAAATCTGGCAGCGGAACCCCAAACACAAGACGTTTTCATCATCGATTCAACTTTGATCAACAACGTGTTTAACTACGTCACTGTTACAGTAGCCGGCTGGATCTCTTCAGTTAGTCAGTAAAAGCCGCTCGCGTTCTGCCACCCGGAAGTATCTCGGTGCCTATTGTTTACAAACATTCTGAAATCCCATAAACATTTATAATTTAAAGCTGCAGTCCGCAGTTTTTCCTCTTTGTCGCCATCTCTGTTCGAAATCTACAATTGCAGTCATTCACGGAATTTTAAACTTTACGTGAGTTGCACTTCGACACGGCACAGTGTGGATGAACACGATGTTTGAGGAGACTGTGAGGCAGTCAGTCACCCCACCGGTGTCGATACTGCCATTCAGAATCACAGATTATTCTTTTTGAAGTATGACCAACATAATTTTCACCGCAAAATGTCATCTGAACTAGTAAGAAACATCCACTTTTGTTCTGGTTCTCACATTGCAGTAAAAAGCTCTGATTAAATCTAACAATCGCTTTTAAATTATTATCATGTCACGCAAAACCGTGCAAATTATACTTTGTTCTCAACATCAGCATTGCGTGACTACATTTAAAGCCCTTCAGATATTTATCCTTGTTTTGGCATGGGCCGGTTGCAGGCTCTTTTTCCAAAGTTTTTTGCATTTTACAGCGGGTGAATCTCTAGTTGTCACTGGTGATCGTCGTTTGAACCTTTCTGGATCCGCCATCAAATTCATATCAAGTGCTGTGAGAAAAGGCTATAAATCTCCACCTCCAGCATCCTCACACTCAATCTAGCCGACTAGCCGAGACCCCTTCTTTATGTGAACAGATGTGATGTAATGTAATGACGCAAAGACATGCTCGAATCTCCTGTGGAAATCCACCAGTACCACTGGAATTAAAAACATTATTACAAGCTTACCGTTTTGAATCTCAAGGGGTACTTCAAGTAAATATTTCACATCCAAGCGGTCCGGCTGACGAAACAAACTTTAGGAAACCCTGCATTAAGCCAAAACAAGGCAAAATCAGACGGACGCACCTGTGAGGAAGAGGTTTTTAACTGGTGTCTGTGGTCTGATGATGGCATTTAGTTCAGGGCTGAAGCGAGGAATTCCATGATCAGCGCCATAGATCTCCCCTTTAGGAGCGCCTATGTAATGCTGATTTGTGATTGGGGTGCCTGCATCCACAAATTCAATCTGCAGATAGAAACAGTGCATAATAAAATGAAATCAAAAAAGACAAAGACTGTGTTTGTAGAGTTCATACCCTGTCCTTGATCTTAGGAAAGATCTCAGTCACTGCTTCTAATATGTTATTGATGAACGCCTGCTTCAGCTCCTTATAATCTGCGCTTCTGTTCTTGATTTTGTCATCTTTCCACTCTTCAAACCATTCATAGTTAGCAAAGCTAACAACAGTCAAGGTGGATTTACCTGTAGCCGAAACATATTTGGATTTTGATGATGCATCAAGTAGAAGTGTCAGTTATTTTATTGGAGAACCTGTAGTAACTGATTACATCACATTCGTACACTCAAAACACTTTGCATCCCATTTACACGTTATGTACTGAAGCTTTGTCCACTTATAATCAGATCAAAAAAATATTAATTCCAAATGTGAACTTTTTTCTCTCTACCTGGTTTTCTTTCTGGCCAGGTTGGGTCTTTGGCTGAAGGCGAGGCCACAAAAATCAAAGGGGGACTTTTAGAAGAATCTTCCCTGCTCCCTTTCATGTAACTCTCCATCCTGAAAGAACAGCAGATATTAACACATAACGTGAACAGTGCTGATTTTACAGTAGACAATGGTTGAGGAAAAAACAATTTTTGAAAACTTTTTTCGGAAACGTAGGTTCACACTCACAGCTCATCCAAATTGTTCTCAGGGAAGATAATGAAATTGTCCGCTGTTAGGTCCAGCTCCTCCTTTGTCCCATCCACGCCAATAAAAATACTGAGACCCCCATCTCCGTGCTGCACCATACTCAGCTGTTTTTGGATCGCTGCACAGTACCATCACAAAAAGACCACAGAGTATGCTCACATTAAAAGTAGGGCTGTGCAAAAGTTAATTGCGATTAATCGCATCCAAAATAAAAGTCTGTGTTTACATAATATATTTGTGTGCGCTGTATATAATTATTTTGTATATATAAATACCTATGCATGCATGTATATATTTAAGAATTATTTGCGCTTAAATTCTGTATACATTTATAAATACATAATCTATATTATATAAATATAAATATTTTATATATGAATAACACATTTTCTTAAATATATACATGCATGTGTGTGTATTTATATATACAAAATAATTATATACAGCACACACAAATATATTATGTAAACACAGACTTTTATTTTGGATGCGATTAATCGCAATTAACTTTTGCACAGCCCTAATTAAAAGGAATACTGGACAAACGTCACCACGAAGAGGTTTCAATTTTACTGATTTCATAGCATTAGGTCTCATGTTTTAAAGAATGTTAGCATTGCTAATAATAACGTTTTGTTGTTGTTGTTGTTGTTAAGAATGTACTGCTTAACATTGATGAGTCTTTCCCATAATAAAATATTTAATACTAATTAATAAATATATATTTGTTTTTTTTTAATTTATAAATAAATAATAATTAAATAATAATTTAAATAAATAAGGCATTAGTGTAAAACAAAATGTATTAATACAATGATTTACAAATAATACAATTCTGTATTGCAATACTAACAATAAAAAGACTTTCAAATAAATGTACTTTATTTGAATGTTCAAGCATTACAGTACAACAACAACAACAACCACAATAATATAATATTTTATTTTATAGACATACCGTACATTATATTTTATACTCTGATTATTGATGATTAATAATAATAAAAAAAAATGTTGTTGTTGTTGTACTGTGATGCTAACATTGATGGATCTTTTACATAAATAAAATATAAAGTTTAATATAAAAAAAGGAATTGTGATACTGGTTGATATAATAATGATGATAATTATGACGATGGTACAAAGTGCCGAACACAACAGAATAAACTCTCTCTCACCAGGCATAGTCTGCACATCTTTAGGCAGGAGATGCTGGTATGTATTAAAGATTCCAGCATCTGAAATCACCATGGGAGCATGTATATGCACCTCCTCCTGCCCCTTCAGAACACTCACGCCTGCAGAAATGCCAACAGAACAATCCAGTCACAGAAAACACCTTTAGACATGCAGTTCTTGCAAATGTCTCATTTAAAATGAATCAATTGCAAAACGTATAATTCACAGCCGGGTAAATGTACGGTACAAAACATTCTGTAGGAAGCTAAATGCTAGAGTATATACTCCTAAAAGAGTTGAGCGGGAAGTGGGATGTGTTACCTATAGCCTCTTTAGCATCATTGAGGAGTATGCGGTTGACAGGTGCTCTAACAAGCACAGCACCTCCAGCCTTCTCAATGATGGGGATCATGTGGTAGGCGATCTCACTAGCACCACCCTTCGGGTACCAGGCACCATTCATGAAGTGGCACAGAAGCAAACTGTGCATGGAAAAGCTTGCTTCTTTGGGCATTTTACCTGTTTACCGAACACAAAAACCAAAGAAGGTCAGTAGCTGTGAGCTTTAGGCACCCAAAACAATTAATTTCCCATCAGGCATGATTTCCTTACCATAGGTCCCAAAGATGTAGCACAACACAGCTCTCAGGTCCTTATTCTGTGTGAGCTCATTCACAACATCTGTCAGGCTGCGGGACGCATAGCGGAAAAAGATAGAGAGCCATTTGGCCAGGCCTGTGTACACCAGGAACTTTGCAAGAGGAATTGGGAGGAGCTTCAGCAGAACCAGGAACCATACGCCTCTCCCAACTTTCTGACAGGAGCATTAAGAATCAGGGTTACAAATTGTGTTTTACTCCTTGTCTTCATGAAGTCTAATCAATGTCTAAGTCTAGTTTCTAACAAATGGCATGTAGTATAGTGCATTAACAATCATTAATGTGTCTGTGGCAATGATTATGGGGTAAAGGTCATGCAAACAGATACATACAGTCATAAAGACAGTTTTTTCTTTTACTCCTAAGGGCATTAAAATACCTTAGATTATTAGAGAACTGAATGGCTAACTAACTAAGGAACGAAATTAACACTTTTATTCAGCAAGTATGCTTTAAATTGATCAAAAGTGACAATAAAGCATTTATAATGAAACAAAATATTTCTATTTCAAAAAAAATGTTTTTTGTTTTATTTATATATACTGCATATATAAACCACCTACTGAACACTATACTTGTTTCTCACCATGGAAAGTCTCACATATTCCTCAATGGCCTCTTCCTCCCCTGGGAAGCACTTCTTCAGTTCGTCTATATAGCGTTTCCGTCCACTGTAGATGGGGTATATGCGCCGATTTTCTGGTGGACCCAGGACCACTTTATCATACGGGTTATCCAGCGGCTCCCACTGCAGCTGCCCATTGGTCAACTGGTCTATCACACAGCGAAGTTGCCTGTGATCCTGCAGTTCCCCAATATAGTGGATACCTGAGGCAGGGGAAAGGCATTCAGATCACCACAAACTGACCATTAGGAAATCAATGTGTGCAATTTTCATATATGGCTATGATAATTGGTTTAATAAGACTTGATAAATGTGCTTATCTTTGACAAAGCAAGACTTTATAGGGATTATCAGGATGAGATTGATGAGCTACAAAATTCATTCTCACCAACATCAAACTCAAAGCCTTGCTCTGTGAAGGTGTGACAGCATCCTCCAGCCCGGTCATGTTGCTCCAGAACCAGAACCTTCTTACCAACTTTAGCCAACAGGACAGCAATTGCCAATCCACCAATCCCACTGCCAACCACTATTGCATCCAAATCCTGGGGGACTTTACTGGCCAGGAAGCCTGAATGTGGAAACAAATGTAGACTATTGTACGGTGTTTAGTGATAAACAAAAGCAAATAAATAAATGCAGGAAAAAGGTTTTGTTAAGCGATAGATAGATAGATAGACAGACAGACAGACAGACAGACAGACAGACAGACAGACAGACAGACAGACAGACAGACAGACAGACAGACAGACAGATAGATAGATAGATAGATAGATAGATAGATAGATAGATAGATAGATAGATCTAAATCGTATGGTCGTATTGTCTATCAAAAACGTATTATCTAGCCAGCAATATTAACACTACAATAGACAGTAAAGTAGTGCGTAAGTTGATATTTGTAACTGACCTTGTTTCAGGACTTTGTTCTTCAGCTTTCGGTCAAACACCATGGGCTTTAACGGCTCGCGCGTATCGATACCAAAAGGGTTCGGCTCAGGCGTTGTCAACAAATATTTAAAGACAATGGCCACTAACGCCAAAGAAATCAAGACGACAGCAATCCACATGTTGTAAGGTGCAAAATTTTGTTAACCTATGTGTTCACAAGTGCAGTCATACTGTAAAATACTTCCTCAAACCACTAGGGGTATGCATTGACGTCACTTTCCACCCGGAAAGGGACCTCAGTTGGACCTTTTTTTTTTTTTTTTTTTTTTATTGCAACATAGAATATACAAAGAGATTTAGATGACAATACAGCTCACAACAAATAGAAAATAAAAAAATAAAAAAAAGGAGAAAAAATCATGCCAGGGGTAAAGTTACAATAATTTAAAGTTACAAAATACTTCATAGGTCATAGTTGGACCTGGACTGAGGGCAAAGAGTGCTGTGTGCGTGAGCGTGACTGAATTTAATAGGGGGAAACTGCGAAAACGCGAGCAAAACGAAGGATTATTATTTTAAACTAAATATTAGATATAAAACTAGATATTAGACATGCAGCCATGAATCGTGTTTCCTGGCATATTTCGACGGCAGGGAAAAACATGAAGAAAATTAGCCTGTGAACGTTTTATATTAGTACAAATATAACGTTTGGTAGGTCTAAATCCATGATTACATATATCATTGTTATATCGTCCAGCCTTAAAACGTGTATAGTTAGTGTATACGTTACTGTAGTGTTTATTTAAAAACGTCCAATTATGCAGAATGTACGATGGTAAATATTTAATTGATGAGTTGTCAATACAAAATGTTACCCCTAAATTTAGCACAATGACACGAAATGATAACTGCAAATCCATCTTTCCCTGCCTGGAGTCCAGTAGTTTATGAATTGCAGCGATCCATTTACTTCTCTGTGCTGTAGCTTTCAGAAGTTTGTAAAAAAAAAAAAAAATACACCTCAGATTTCTTGTTAAATGTAGTTGTACAAAGCTCTTTCACGTTTTAGTTGTGTTTTTGCGGTATTCACGCTGAAAAACAAATGCTGCCACTTAATGGCCGTACGTAACCGCAGCCACTCTGCACCGGCAGTGACGTCACGTGAATACCCTGCGTGAAAACGTGTTTAGTGTTGAGTAGGCTACTCTGCTTTCCTAGCTATGTGTTTTTATTTAGACCTATGTATTTATTTAGTCAGATCTTTCTATAGTAACATGGGCCTATTTTAGTAAGCTGTTGTGCATTTAAAACATCATAATGAATATCCTGTTTAAATAACCATAAACACTGCCTATTGCTCAAAAAATGAAGCAATCGTTCAGCAATAGCAATTCTGATTGCTATTGTCGGAAGCTTATCCTATGAATTCTATTTTTGGCACGAACACTGTGAAATTTCTATGCATGTGTATTTTTTTTTGCCAACATATTTCCACATTTTTACTTTCTACAAAATAAGTTTGGGATCGAAGTAAGGAAATTAATAGGCCTATACCCGTCTTTATTTTTAATTTCTATCAAACCATCATCACTGCATAAGAGACACTCTGAACAGTCTTTTAAAAAGTATTTATTCTTGAAAGAAGGCCCAAGTAGTCACACAGTTGCTACTCTGTGAAGTGAGCGAGACCCTGACAGGAAGAACTAGGCAGCCTTTACTGATTTCAAGGTCTTCATTTCAGCAGCGCTTCTTCCCGCTGACCCTTAAGACTACCCAAACTATATGATACCCATCTGTTCCCAGTGTCTCGCTCCTGCACTTCAGGTGTACAAACTTACTTAAATTTCCCGTTCCCACACCACACTACTAATAATAAAAAAGTGACATTCCTTTGCAATATCTACTAAAGATCAATGGAAATCACTACAAATCAATCCATTACAATTTCCCCTTGTTATCATTCACTGATAACTGATTAATCAAAAATAGTAATATTAATGATAATAATCATATTACAGTATTTTGAGTAATTACGTCACAGAGTTGAAAGAAGAAAGCTTAGGCTTTTTTTTGTTTGTTTGTTTTTTTTTTTTTTGTTTTTTTTTTTTGGGGGGGGGGGGGGTAGAGATAGACCCTAAAGTATTTAGCAAGCAAGTACTCTCTAGTAATTTAGCAAGACTCTCAGTCACCTCAATCAAGAAATAGTATAGTAGGAAAAACATATCTTAACTCCATTTAACACATTTCACTATAACTTCTGCTACTTGTATTGTCTGCATATTTTTGTTTATCATCATCATCATCCGGATAGACTGTCGTTTTCACCAATTGAACATCCCAGCTATCACTAGTCTCTGCACTGAGCTGGATACACATTTCATAATGCATGTTGAAGGGGGAGGATTGGAATCCACTGCTGCTTCAATGTATATGTAATGAGTGATTATTAATTTCTATATTCAATGAGTGATTCAAATATACGTTTAATCATATGTTTGCTGTGAGTGTTAACCAGCTGCTTTCAGGTACATTCTGATGTGACCCTCAACATGTGTTGTCTATAAATCTGTTTCTAGCTGACAAGTTAAGGTTACAGGGTCCAACTATACGTGACTTCTGATTTAGAAGTCTCTTCTCCTAACCAGGCCGCACATTCCTGGCGCTCTGAATGGAGCCAAGGTCTCGGACGCTCCATTTCTTCAGTTAGCTAGGTCAGTAGTGCAGCTGTATGAGGGAGTTCAGTCTTTGAGGCACCGAGAGTCTTATCTTGTTGATTAACGGTGTCCAGTTGAATGCTGTTTGCGCAACTACGGTTGCCTGCCTCTTCATGTCCCCTTGCAGCCTGTATCTGGTTCTGCTATCACAAAACACACAGCTATAATGCAGGAGGTGTCTGTTGTTAATATTTCTTGAATCTTTCTCAGTTCGTACCTTTTCACGATAATTATTGTGACACGTTGAGTCACTTGAGACTTTCCTGCAGTGGTTGGGATGAACCCACGTGGCCCTCTCCGCGACCTTCACAGCCGTGTGTGTCGTCAGTATCACTTGGAATTGTCCTATCCACCTTTTCGCCCACCAGCTTGCCCTCCTTAGATCACAGATCACAATAAAATCACCAGGTTTGATGTTATGCAGGAAAGTTTCAGCAACCTTTCCCTGGGCAGCTTTTACCTGCACACAATTGGACAACAGAGAAGACATTTCTTTGCAGTAATTCAACATGTCATGCTCACACAGACCTGTTGATGGCAGCCTTTGTTTTCCACCTTCTCTTCCCATGAATGGTGGTGTACCAAAGAGTATTTCAAATGGACTTAGGTTTGTTTTGACTCGTTTAGGTGCCTTAACCCAGTTTCCTCACACCACTTAGCCAATTTGTTCTTGACTGTCTGGTTCTCATGTTCAATAGTGTCCCCAGAGGCAGGCAATGTGTTCTCATATCAATTCCCAAGAAATGACCCACTTGTTTTATTGCTTCATTAACAAAGTGTGTTCCATTGTCAGAACTGATTTTTCTTGGAATTCTCCATCCCCATCACATGGTCTAACCCATGTGTCAATTTTGCATAATGTGGAAAGAAATTTCTGGGTAAACAAGGCATGCCATCACAGCTCATCCACACATTCTCCTTAAAGCTGCAGCCAGATGCCTTCCACTTATTTTCCTCTGGACCTGTTGCGAAAGTCTGCATCTATAAACAAGGAGAAATGTTGAGGTTATTGTCAGATATCAATGTACATTTCGTTTCTTTTGTCTCCTGCGCTGCCTCGGCCTTCGCTGCTGCGTCCTCTCTGGCGTTTCCTGTTGAGTCTAGACTTTTATCGTTAGTATGCGCTGCACATTTACAGATCGCAACCTTATCTGGTTAAAGAATGGCCTCCAAAAGGGCAGACACAAGCACGGCTTTTAAAATCGGATGCCCGTCTGACTTCAAACATTTTCTGTGTTTCCACAGCACTCCAAAATCGTGAGTGACCCCAAAAGAGTAGCGCGAGTCTGTGTAAATTGTCACACATTTGTCTGCCATAGGTTTACATGCTTCTGTCAAAGCGACAAATTTAATGCCAATTTCCCAGACGACACGACTTCAAATTCAGTGGTTACCGCATAACCAACCTTATTCTGTCCTGTTTGTGGATCTTTGAAAGCCGACCCATCCACAAAGAGGACATTTTCACAATTGTCTAGTGGTGTGTCCGAAAGATCTGGGCGCAGTGTGCACACTTGCTTAAGCGCTGACAGATAACAATGATGTTCCTCTTATCCATTAGGCTGTGGATAAGTGTACTGTTCTTTGTTCTTGCAAAATCATGGAGACTGCGTGAGCAACCATTAAAGTCAAATCAGAATACCCCACAAATTCTTTGGATGTCATTACTGCCTGCTCAGCAGCTGTCACAGCCCTCAAACAGTGTCGCGACTGGGTCAAGTCTAGTTGAGAAGTAAGCCACAGGCCACAGTCTGTCCCCATGATTCTGCAAAAGAACAGAAAACATAAACCCATTCTTTTCATCCACCATCTAAATAAACGGTTTGTGTACAATGGGCTGAATCAAAGTAGGAGCCAGAGCCAGCACTTTCATGTTTGCAAATGCCTCTTCTGCTTCACTTGTCCAAACAATTCTGTCATACAACTTTAACCCTTTCCCTTTCGTCGGGGCTCGTAAGGGTTATTCAAGATTTTCATAGTTGCACTGTAAAAAATATTTTCAAGATTTGTTATCTCAACATATTTGTCAAATTTTTGTCAAATCAACTTTATAATAATTTATTTAGTTGAGATAACTTATTATTTTGAGTTTTTGATGGTTAAATTAATCTCCTTCATTGTATTAACTCACTTTTTCCAGTTCAATGAACTTAAAATTTTAAGGCAACCAGGTTACTTACTTTTTTAAGTTAAACCATCAATATTTTTACAGTGTGGGAATAAATGTATGACAATATAGGCACACATTCCCTAATGGCTTTGTAATTGGCTTTGGCACATCTTTTATGGCCCGCACCCGTTTTTCAGTGATGGATTTACTGTTCGGTCGGATAACATGCCCCAAAAATGTTATTTCCTGTTTGACAAACTGCAATTTTGAAAGATTGACTATGTGTCCTTCATTTGCGAGGTGCTTCAAAAGGACACAGAGTCAGTCACACACGTAGCTTCATCACATGCGCACAGATCAACAAGACATTTACTATTTCAACAAAACCGTTCCAGCTGTCAGGATATTTCTGCCAGGGCAGGATTGATGTCTGAGGCAGAAATAGCCACCACACCATGTTTCTCAATTCTCACAATTCTCTGTACTTCCACTTAGAAAATCACAATGTGACATAAATGCTCCTACTCATTTGCTGTGTTTCGCTCCCTCACTCATTTCAGCCCAATATGTGGCTTTCATAGCCCGAACTCCGCCCACAACATTTCTCTTGAATATGAGTATGACGAAGTCAGCATTTTCGTGCATTTTCTCACAAAATAGCCTAAATCTGCCCACGCTTACTCTTTGGCCTTGGTCACTGATAAGTGCGGCACAGATTATCCTGCAATCAAATAGAACTACTGTTGATTTTCTGTCAAGCAAGCTGAAAGCAGAAAATCGTATCAAATTTCACAGTCTCACTTTTTGCACATCAGTTAAAACTAAATCCCACTCATACTGCGTCTCATGTTCCACTATGACATGTGGTGTGCATTGCAATTTGTCAGGCATCATACTTTCTGAGTTAAATGGCACTGTTCAATGTCTTGCCAATAAATAAAATCATTTTTGCCCAATCAAAATTTTCACATGCCATTTGTACGCCCATTGTGGCTCAAATTTAGAACAACACATCTGCAGTTCTTCCTCAATGCTGATGCCAAAGAAACCTGCAGTAAGGGTTAAATTTAATTGGCACATTAAATCTCTGGCCATTAGCGGTGCTGGACAGGCTGGTGAACAAAGAAACGCATGTGTCAATGTTCTCCCCGCTTCCGTCACACACTCTAAGGGCACTGAATTTTTCAGAAATTATATGGCCTGAGGCCGAAGTACTCTCACGCACTGACCCCATCAGTTTTGGTACACACGGCAAGTCACATGGTCGTATGGTTAAAGAATCAACAAGGAAACCCACTAATGTTCCCTCAACTACCGGCATCGGTAAAAACCCTGCACTTTTGTACACTCTCTAACATTCATCAGAAACATCATTATTCAAAACTTCATCATTCACACCGAAAGATTTGCAAGCATTTTCTTCATTGCAGAGAGCAGTATGTAAATCAGTGTATGTGTGTGTGCGTGTGGTTAATAAATGTTCACTTCCCTTTTCAGTGGCCGCCAGCTGATCGCCCATTGCCCGACCCTCTCCTCTCTGCTCTCCACCCTCAGTCCACCTTCTGCTTTCCCGGACATTCTCTAGCCCAGTGTCCGTCTTGTTTGCACAGTTTGCATTTCGTGCATTCTCTGAAGGCATGGTCATCAGTCCCACACAAGCCACAATTCCACCTTCTCTTGTTTCCTTCAGCCCTGTTATAATTGCAGTCACCTCTCCTCTTCTTATCAGCCCACTTTTGAGGTGCACTGGTATTAGATTGGATTCGCTCAAACGCCAACTGGATCTCTCTCTCCCTTTTTGCCTTAGCCATTTCTTTCTTTGTCAGCAGTTGCTCTTCTGCATGCACAGCGTGTGCCACGGTGGAGTTTAACCGCCCGGTCTTCCACTCAATGTAGCTTGTTTTCACCGCCTGCGCAATTTCTGGTCTCAGTCCATTCAGAAAACAACCTTGCAAATGGCACTCCCACACACCTGGTTGATTTCCTCTGTCAGCGGGCTCTTCCAAGCCGCTGTGTTTTTGAAATGTCTCAAAAAGTCGGGTGTAGTAATCCCGAACAGACTCTTCTCTCATTTGGCAACAGCTGTAAATCTTTGCTGTGTCCACACGTGCTGGGAATGCCTCTTTAATGGCCTTAGCGAGAGCTTCCACTGCCGCACGGTACAGAGTGTTGGTTTCATCTTCCCAGTCTCTGTGTACTCGCCGTTGTTCTCCTCCTTGCATCTTTCCGCTCACCTTGTGCCAGTTCGTGGCCCCTAGTTTCACGGCTAGCAGTCTTTTCAGTTCTTGTGTGGTGGGGCTGAATTCTTGACAAAAAATGATCAGTTCAGTTGAAAACTTGCCACCTGCGTCATCCAGATTCGGCAAATGGGCCATGGCTTCTTTCATGTCAGTCACCGTCCAGGGTCTGAAGACCATCATTGGGTCCACGATTCTGTGTTTTTCTTCTTTCATCTGTGATCTTGTTTTGACCTGCGAAGGGGTGTCGGGGATCTCACCAGGATCCTCTTCCTGTTCTGCATGTCGGGAGGTGGAAGGAGGTCTCGTTGCTTGTGCTGGTGCTGGCCTTCTGGGCGGAGAGCAATCGAGATCGGGGTTCAGATTCAGGGGTCTCTGCTCCTCCACGGGATAGTGATGATTGTACGCCGGCGGCGCCGGTGTCACCGAGGTTGCATGTGGGAGATCACAAACATACTGTGGGTTAGTTGGTTCGGGTGATGCTGATTTCTCATCCACTTCTTTTTTTCTCTCAATTTCATTTCTACAAACTAATTCTTTCTGCATTTGCTTTCACTCTCTTTTATCTGCTTCTTCAAGCCAGCAATTCACTGTTTGTTCACATTTTTTACACACATGTTGAACGCAGCCACAACAACCTTTCTGTTTCTCACTGCTCTGTTGAACTGACTCCCTTACCACCTTTAATCTCACGGTGCTCAGTGTTCCCTCCCTTGGAAAATCGTGGCGTTTAATTAGCTTCTCTATATCTTGCATACATTTCTGCCCATAAATTTTCCTCATTTCACAGAAAACTGGTGTATCATATTTGGCAAGCTTGCTTTGAGATTTCCCCATGAAGTCTGTTTTCTATTTACCAGTTCGACGCACGCCTTATAATCTGTCAAACGTCACACAAACTCAAAATCTAACCGGGGAGCACTTTCCAGCGCTCAATAGATTTTAGTTCACCTAATTCCTGAATCTTTCCAGAACCACCCTGCGAGAACTCTGTCACAGGTCTCGATTTTTCCTTTTGTACCCAGAACTAATGGTTCACTCACTTTAATATGAAAAGAAATGTAACTGTCTCTTACCAGAGATACTTGTGTTGCCTCTCAAGTTTGTTTTCTCAATTCCAGTGGAGTTCTCCTGGCCCTGATGGCGGTCGGCCCCTCTCTCTGAAGTTTGCGAGGTAGGGCTGGAACTGCTCAGTCCAGGTGGCCAAACACCGTCCGCTCTCAGGTCCAGAAGGCACTTCCAAGGAATTTCACTATTCTGATACAAAATTGTTGTGGCAAAAACTTCTATTTCTATTAAACCATAATCACTGCGTAAGAGACACTTTGAATCAAATAGTTTTTTTTAAAGTATTTATTCTTGCAAGAAGGCCCAAGTCGCCACACAGTTGCTACTCTGTGAAGTGAGTGAGACCCTGACAGGAAGAACTGGGCAGCCTTTATACTGACTTCAAGGTTTTCATTTCAGCAGGGCCTCTTCCTCCTACGCATTCCACAGATATAGGACCCATTGCTGCTAGCTTCGATTTGTTACTAGCTGACCTTTAAAACCTAAAACAGATGACCTCAGAGGTCCCTACCCAGCTGTTCCCAAAGTGTCTCGCTCCTGCATTCCAGGTGTACAAACATACATAAATTTCCTGTTCACATCACCACACTACATTGGACCAACAGTTCATTTTTATAAAGTGTGTGATCCTATAGATGTCTAAGATACATATCATCTAAATAAAACATATATACAGTAGCCTAATCATAACTGCACCCACACAATTACACAAACATTATGTATATAGTAATATATATATATATATATATATATATATATATATATATATATATATATATATATATACTGCCTCAAGATAATGTCTTTAATCTGTTAAGGATCTCATTTGTTAGTAGCAGTATGTCGATAAAAGCATTTGCTAAATAAATTAAGGTAGCCTAAAAAGGAAATTTTCATTCAGATGGTGGGCTTTTACCCTAATATACAGTGTTTCGTGTGAGAAAGCACAAGTAGTTTCAGCCAGAACTTGTAGCTATACATATCATTGAAGGAGATTAAACTAATGCAGGAGAAAAGAAGAAATATATTTACATTAAAACTGACAACTTGATTAAAGTGTTTGTAGAGGCTATCTTAATGGTTCGCAATTATTGACTTAAACTAAGCTTACTTCTCTTATTATTATATAACCAAATAGTATGAACGACATAAGACATAAGACATAAGAGTCCCGATACAACTTCAAAATAAGAGTCCCAATACAAAAGTTGCACCGATATATCAAATAAACACAAGAATTAAAGAGTAACAAATATTAACATAAGCAAACGTGAATGAATGGCGCTTACAGTCGCTTATGGCTTGAGCATCTTTTATGTTTGCTTTTAATAAAGATTATTTTGCAGTATAAGTCATTATTTTATAATAGTTATCACAAGCACTTACTCGTAACTTCATCCTCTAGCGTCAGTTTAGAGTCTGATAAATAATTGAAATATACATTTTCATGCTCTTTTGTCTGAAGAGAGATATTAAACGCTGTGAAGACAGACCTAAAGCACTCGGGTCTCGTGAAAAAAATACTCTAAAGAAAGGCAGTTTTCTGGGAGGCTTTATTCGAGCACATCGACATGCAAAATTTCCAGTCAGCTGCTTATTAGTGGTGTTTGTTTTCAACCATATGATACCTCACACGTCTTTTAATTTGCCATTATTTTGTAAAATTGTTGCTTTTTATAGTTGGTACTGACTACAGAAAAATAATTTGATGATTTATTGTTAATAGTAAAAACTATTTAAACCCCTTGAGATAAAAATATAAAAAATGATGGACCTAGTTAATTATACAACAAACGTATTAATATGTAGAAAAGTTTACTGTTAACAACAGAGGATGAGATTTAAAAAGAGAGATTAGCCTGCATATGTAATAAAGCATAGCTAGAAAATAACATTTTAAATACTATTATTGCTATGGAAGTGGAAGATAGACCATAAGAAGGATGTCTATAACATACAGTTATTCAAAATAGACAGATTATTGAAGGAATTTACCATCAGATAGGCTTTGCACATGGTTAATTATAATTAAAAAATGACAATAAAGAGGAATCTGTAATTACTCACTAGACTTAATAAATTGTGTACACAAACATTGTACAGAAAGAAAAAAAAAGTGAAAAGTATGACATTAAAGTATATATTCATATATCATTCCATATGGAAAACTATGGAAATCTGAAAACAAGTATACAAAAACGAATATCGAATAAGACGAATAAACTCATACATATATGAGGACAGTAAAAAAAAAAAAAAAGAACGAATAATCAACCATACAAAAAAGGAAACCCCTAGGTCTACTGAAGGCATGGGATCTCACAAATGCTCCTCTCTTCTCTCAAGCAAGAAATGTCTTCTTGTGTATTCCCTTTGAGTACAGCACAGTTGTGTTGTTTGGAATTCAGATCTGCCCAGTTCCCATCACTGATCCCAGCCCAGTAGAGATCAGATTCACCAGTTACACATAGTCTCCGAGCAAGAAATTCCTGCGTGACAAACATCATATTATAGTATTTATTCTATTTTATCATATATATATATATGATCATTTTTATCAAACTTGTATATTTAAGTTCAGTAATTTCACTTAAATAACAATTAATAGGTAATTATCATTGCCATTTAAGTGAAATCACTTAACTTAAATATACAAGTTTGATAAAAATCATCATTAAAGAAGAAAATTTCAAATGGCATTTAGAGGCTTTTGCATCTGAACTCTTCATATATTTTAGTAATATTACTGTTTTGCAAATGTTTTGGTGAAAACACAGTGTGGGGTTTCACACCTTGATCCACTTCACATTTGTTTTTCTTTTAAAAACATTGATTTCATTCATAATTTACAATGATATCTTGTGTATGGCTTAATCAATTAAAATATATTTTAGAAGAACAATATTTTATGTGACCACTTGCCTCAACTTTGTAACTGTTTCACACCTGACCCACTTCTCTCACATTTGTTCTTTTTAACACATGCACAATGTAGGGATAATACAGAGATTTTTACGTATACCTTCTCCTCTGTGTTGTTAATAAAGACCAGATCACCACCCAGATCCTGGCAGTGCTTTCTGCTGGAGCTCCAGGTCTTGTTGTGGTTGGAGAAAACATAGAAGCTGCCGTTGCCTTTTAACCACTGCTCTGGCAAATCTACAGAGACAGTGGGGGGGAGGAAACAAGATTGTACGTCTGTGGTTTTACAAGAAGCACATTTGTAAGTTAGAAAAAGCGGTAACCCTGCTGACCTGCACCTTTACATACTTTAAATGGGGTTCTAAAATATTTTGGAATGACTCATTTTTAAAAACACAAGAATAGACATAAGACTCAGACAGAATGTGAACAGAATCACCGAGCATTCAAGACTGTTATTTTACTGATAAAAAAAGGCGCCTCAGGCAATTAATTGCAGATTTTGAAGATTATCATCCAGCTCTTGTGTATGTTGAAAAACAAGACATAGTTTTACCTGGGCAGTAATCAAAAGAGCTCCATTCCTCATACGTGCACCCTGGACTACCTTCATTTTCTGAATAGGGATGTGAGGAATGAAGAAAATCAAAGATTACTTAAAGTCACAAAGAAATCAAAATTGACCACACTCAACAAATATTTAAGCCTGTTTTTAAAAGCACAATATGTAAGATTTTTTTTTAAATTAAAATCTCCAAAAACCACTAGAACAATGTTATATTTTGTTGTGTACATTATCCCAAATGTTTCCAACAATGTTTAAATCCAGAGAAATCAGCTATTTTACCAATTGTAACATCCTGTGTGATTCACATCACCCGTCAATGACGTAATATATCCGCGTAACCCTTAATTTCTGCTTTATATTGTGTTTTATTAGACTGTTTTACAGATCAACAGTTTGGATAATATATTTATCAACTGAAAACTTATATAGCTCAACAACGGTTAGTCTTATTCGCCATTCGAGCGACTCGCTCGTATGTATTCTGAATGGCAGATTCTACGCTTACGAGACTACTTGATTAGTTGGTAAATGTAATTACGTGTTAATGAGCACATATAATTTTGAAAGAAAAAGTGCTCTTTTTTTTTGCCAAGAATCAACTTAAAAAGTTACAGTGTAGCTTCGTGAAAATGATAACTGCGTCAGGCTGAAACTAGCAAAAGACACTTGCGTCGCGATTGCCGCTGCATAGCATCTGGTGTATGATAGGGCCCTATGTAGGTCATGTTCCTATGACTTTAGGAAATTGTCAGTCGAATATCAAATAACATTTGAACATATACGGATGAATGATTTACCTGAAATTGAGCAGTTTGTTACTGGCTCACAATGCAACAACATATTTTTGTCTTTATTGAAATCTGCAAAAGTAAGAACAGTGAAATAAATAAAAAAATGTATGTAACTAAATGTAAATATACCTCTGATACTGTATGCAACATAATGGTTCCTGTAAAATATGAGGATACTTACACAAATATGCCAGCCCCCAATTTACAAGCAGAGACAGGAGGAGGAAAGCAGCAATAATGGCAAAGATAGGTCTACATTTCTTCTCTTTGTTAGATTTCCTATCTACAAAATAAAATACATTTTAGAAAAATCTTTAGAAATAATTTGCACCAACAGAGAGTTGTTAAATATATTTGTATGTCCAAAAATAGTATAGCCTGGATGTCTAAAAACAGCATTTGCATCAAGTAAGTGTACATTGTTTAAGCTTCTGACACAGATTGATAAAACTGTTGCTATGGTTTGATTAGGCTACCTCATAATTTGCTAAATACATATTTAGCAAACTTTAATTTGTTTTAAAACTGTTTGAAAACTCGGATGAAACGTTATATATACTTATTTTTAAAGAATAAAGGTTTTACCATTTTCTTAAACCTCTTTTGGGCTCAAAGAAACTTGGTTTTGTACTACACACACTTAACATAAATTTAGAACCACAACCACAAGGAGAAAAAGAATCAAGTACTTACTTCCACGTGAATTATTTTTCATCCATCTAGTGTTGTCATAAATATGATCAGACATGTCATGTTTAGGCATTGCTGTGTCAAACAGAGAAGTGTGCACTGTGCAGCAAGAGAGGTGGTGAAGTGACATTAGGCTCAATGAAGACACTCATACCAACCCAGTGTCATTTCCTGTTAACATTATGGGTTATCATGCTGGTTGCTTTCTAGATACAGTATATCTATAGATTTTTTTTCTCTGTCTTGTCTCTGCATATATTACATAATTATGTATAAGCCTATCTATATAGTCACTATAAAAAAGACAATATAAAAAAACTTGTGTGTTAACTCGAGTGTACTGTATTAAAGGCACACTATGCAAGATTGTACATCAATATAACAGCTTCAAAGTAATTTCGGTGGTAAACAAACTCATAGTAGGGGGAATCATCCTCGTAGTAAACCTTGAGGGAGACGCCACTGGAAAAAACAGGCTATGAGTGCAGAGACTAGTCTATGGCAGAGACGATCTGCGTGAGTGGTATTTACGACAGAAACGTTAAATACAAGTACTCCACAGCGACTCTAGGGGTCGCTGTTTGATAAAAACAGAATTCCTGCATAGTGTGCCTTAAATGTTTCTAAATAATGATAAAATGTAGATAAGACACTCAACAATAAAAACTTTAACCACTTGCACCCTGAAGGCATTTTAGTATTAATTGTTGGAATATTCAAATAATTCAATTGAAATGAAAACCATTTATTTAAGTTGAACTTAACCAAATCATTCAAGTTAAATGAACACCATTGATTCTAGTTAGATGTACAAGGTTTTACTTGTTTCACTCAGATGGAACCACTTTCCATGATTGAATCATGTTCAGCCAAAAAACTAATTTTTGAGGGTAGATATTTTTATATCATATTTGCACAACTCATTAGTTGCCCAACAGCATCATTGGCTGCATCTGAAATACTCTATCACCACTGGTCATATGAAATGTTTTTATTTGTTCAGTTAATTTGTCCTTGCCGGTTCAGACAAATTTAGTCAAGACTCACCTTTCAAGATTCATACTTCATCCAAAGGTATTTGCAAATGCTGGGGCTTATTCTTTGCCTTATTATTGGAAAAACATCAGTAATTACTCAGTATTATCAGTTAATAATTAGTTACTGTCCTTTATTTAAATCACTAAACTTACTATATCTTCTTATAAATTAAGTTCATCTTTTTATATATAGGACTTGTATGACTTAAGGCAGTTTTCATTTTCATGAAGTGATCAAGCTTTTTTCCCCTTCATAACAATACGTTTATTCTGCCTTATATAATTGTGTTGTATGGTTTGCATTATTTTAATTGTCCTTTTTTACTTTATCATCTTTATTTGTATTGTCTGTCGGGGGCTTGCAGAAAGCATATTTCACTACCTAAGGATATTCAAATGACCAATAGAAACTTTTATTAAGTAAATATTTATTAATAACATGGAATCTCACAAATGCTTCTCTCCTTCCTCAAGCACAAAACATCTCCCCATCTCGACTCAGCAATTCGTCCATTCATTACAACACAATCTTCCCCCAGAGGATTGTCCGCTGATTTGTGATCATCAGGGGGCATTGCCCAGAAACTGACAAATAAATAAAATCATCAATAAATAAATAAATCATTTAGGGTGTAAAGCTGCATAAAAATCTATATATCCAAGCAGGTTCCAAATTGAAAGGGACATTTTAAAGGAGTAGTTCACTTTAAAAAAATAAAAATAAAAAAAAATAAAAATTGCCGATAATTTACTCAGCCCCATGTTCATCTTGTTTTTCTTTCTTCAGTCGAAAAGAAATGAAGAGTTCAGATGCAAAAGCCTCTAAATGCCATTTGAAATTTTCTTCTTTAATGATGATTTTTATCAAACTTGTATATTTAAGTTCAGTAATTTCACTTAAATGGCAATGATAATTACCTATTAATTGTTATTTTGAAATTGAAATTACTGAACTTAAATATACATGTTTGATAAAAATCATCATTAAAGAAGAAAATTTCAAATGGCATTTAGAGGCTTTTGCATCTGAACTCTTCAAATCAAGGTTTTTGATGAAAACATTCCAGGATTTTTCTCCATATAATGCACTTCAATGGGAACCAAACGGTTCAAGGTCCAAATGACAGTTTAAGTGCAAACTGCAAACTGTTCAAAGGACTTTAAACGACACCAGACAATGAATAAGGGTCGTATGATATCTAGTTTTAAGTTTTATAAGCACAAATGCTCGCCTTGCTCTGTTCTGTGATGTGTGTTCGTGACTCTCCTGTTCGAAATCATTCATCAAAATGAACAAATCTTTTTTTGAGTGATTTCGTTAATTTCGTTCATTGATTGAACCAAACGACTCGAAGAGAAGATTTGTTCATTTTGATGAACGAGTTCAAACAGGGCAAGGCGAGTATTTGTGCTTATAAAACTTAAAAAGTTTTTTTTTTAAATGACACATCATTTCGCTAGATAAGACCCTTATTCATCGTCTGGTGTCGTTTAAAGCCCTTTGAAGCTGCTCTGAAACTGTCATTTGGACCTTGAACCGTTTGGTTCCCATTGAAGTCCATTATATGGAGAAAAATCCTGGAATGTTTTCATCAAAACCTTAATTTCTTTTCGACTGAAGAAAGAAAGACATGGACATCTTGGATGACATGGGGGTGAGTAAATTATCAGCAAAACTTTTTTTAAGTGAACTTAAACATCAGATACATTTATTAACACAGACATTTAAAATAATACTTGCCTAAGATGAACCTCGGAGTCGTCCACCCACAACCAAACACCTTCTTTGCGGCTATCAGTCAGACCAATCCAATACAATGTTTGTGCGCCAATAATGCGTATATGGTTTGCGAGAAATTTCTACAATAGAAAGTTGTCATGAAAAGATGGTGCAGGCTAATAGATCCATAACTATACCCTGCATCATTCTCACATCATTCTCTAGATCACAGCTGATTGGTTACCCACCTTCCATAGCTCCACCTATATAGATCTGGTATAGGTCATTCATGTACACTATATTGCATGTCTTACTCGCTCACAGCGTGTGTGTCATATCTTCAGCAGCAGACAAAATAAATCAACTCTGTTCATCATTACCATGCCCAACATTCCTACTAGAGACATCTGCATCTTTCATCTTAAATGTGATGTTCTAATGATGTCATATTATATATCTATACCTGTTCCTCACTGCTGTTGATGATGACCAGGTCTCCACCCAGATCCTGACAGCGTTCTCTGCTGCTGTTCCAGTCCATGGTATCATTGGAGAAAACATAGAATCTGCCCTTGTCCTGGACCCACTTCGCAGGGAAATCTTGAGAATCAGGGAAATGTTTAACATCAGTGCCCTAAACTAAATTTTTAATTATATATTCGATATAGTGTGGGGTACAAAACTGTTATGTGTAACATGGGTAGTGTACATTTTTTTTTATTACTCTACATGTCTGAAAATATTCCAGTACTAAACTATTTGATGTACGTTTCTAATGTGTTCATGCTAGATTGATTTGCCTTTTTTTGGACAGTGCTGTATTTTGGAGCTGTTTTCCATGTCCTTGTGAAAAATCAGTTTGATGTGGGCATTGTCGTCAACATCTAACATAAAAACAAAGAAAATTAAAAATCGTATTCTGAATGAAGTTACTGTCTTATTTAAACAGAGAGAATGTGGAGTTCGTCTACCTGAATAAGAGCAGGGTGTTACTGGTTCACAACTCAAAAGCTGTTCTGGGCCATTGCTGTAATCTGTAATACAAGAAAGATCGCAGAGCCTACTGTAATATTACAGCTTTAGTATTACAATATATTTACAGTAGTAAGTATTTAGGGTTATATGAACAACTAAAACAACTATTTCGAAGTTCTATGAAATATAAGTTGTGTACAAATGCATGCGAGTTAGAAGATTGAGTCACACTTGAATTAGAATTAGAGTTTTTTCCCCCACAATTTAGAGACTAAATAAATAAAAAAAGTTTTTTATAGGTTCATAAAACGTTGTGTAGTCTATAAGAAACTACAGAAAACCATTACAAAACAATTTATGACCAGATACAGAAAATAATATTCTCTAATTTAAAAAACAAATTAAAGTCCCTTACTTGTGGCACCATTTCATTTACATTTTGCCACAAATACATTTTATTTATTTTTTATCAAAGTGAGTTGTTCACTAAGGAGATAATAGTGTTAATGAAGAACATGTTTTGGGTAACACTTTACAATAAGATGTCATTAGTTAACATTAGATAATGCATTAACTAACATAATCCAACACTGACCAATAGATTTTGTTACAGTATTTATTAATCTATGTTAATGTTAATAAATACAAATCCACTGTTCATTGTTTATTCATGTCAGTTCTCCGTGCATTAACTAATGTTAACAAATACAACATTTGATTTAAAAAATGTATTAGTAAATGTTGAAATTAACATTAAATGCTGTAGAAGTATTGTTCGTTCGTCATGTTAACTAAAGTTGTTAATCTAATATTACCTAATGAAGTGTTACCCATATTAGTAATTAATCATGTGAGGAAAATATAGCTGGATTGTTGCAAATGTAAAAAAAATAAAAATAAATAAATAAATACTACTGCTGATACTACTACACTCTAAAAAATGCTGGGTTGTTTTAACCCAACTTTGGGTCAAATATGGACTAACCCAGCCGTTGGGTTAAATTTTTACATTACATTTTTAACCCAACATTTCGGGTTTGTCCATATTTGACCCAAAATTGGGTTAAAACAACCCAGCATTTTTTAGAGTGTACTACTAATACTAATACTAATAATAATAATAATAATATATGATAATGATGATAATAATAATAATAATAATAATATGTGTATGTAAAAACATGAGGATACCCACACAGGTAAGCCAAAGCTGCATTTGCCAGCAGAGAGAGGAAGAAGAGAACAGAGAGAAGACCGACCACACAGACCCCATCTGTCTTATCATTGACACACTCCTTCTCTGAAAATACAGTATTAGAAGAGAAATTAATAGCGTTTGAAATAAATAAGTAAATAAACAAATCATCTCTCTTATCAACAGACTTTCTATCAACAGACAAAAACAAGTTCAGTGTATATCTTAATAATAATAAAAAAAATCAATACAATAAAAAGTTAAAGTGAAATGAGGCTGTTGAAACAAATCATTTGCGAAATAGCACTTACTTCTATCGCCATGAGCTGGTCTTGAGATGGCTCTTGGAGTAGTGTTGGAATAAAAAGCTTCAGACATCTTCTAAGAAATGAGAACTGAAGAGAGGATCTGGTAAAATATTCTTGCCAGGGGTTAGTAGTGATGTTTCCTGCCATCATTTCCTGTCACTTGGTTAGTACAGTAGTTGTTGGGGACATCATCTCAAACAATAGCTGATAAAAAAAAATCATCTGTGGTCAATGCTTCTTGAACGCTCGCTTTTTATGTTTCATGCCATTGGTTTTCCCTCATGGTTGGAATATCTTACTCATAGAAACATGCCAAAGAGTTTCCTTTTCACCCCTTTCTTACTGAACAGGGCCTCTTGCTGTACACAGTGCACACGGCGTGTTGGTGATAGAGCAGAAGCAAACACAGACCTTTAGACATACATGCCATTAAAACAAAAAAACATTCAACAATACATGTCACATATTTAGTCATTTGTTAGTTTGATTTCATTTTCATGGACTTTGAATTTGTTTATCATCAGTCACCTGTTTCCTTTGATTAAGTTTCCCACTCTTGTCAGTTTACCATGGGATTTCATTTGATCATCATCACACCTGTTCCTCTAGTTCATAATCATTGTCTAAAGTTGTCTGTTCATTGTCATGTTGATTACTTGTCAATATCCAGTTGTTTTTAGATAACGGTTATTAAGTATGAGGGACTTTTGTTGGTTCTTTTGGATCTTGGCATTTTACAATTGCTTTAACTCAGTTGAATGAGCCAGTTGAATGTACTGTAATTTAAGTTAAAATGACTTAACCATTAAAGTTGATTGTAAAATAAGGCAACTTTTCAGTTTGCAGTGTAGAATGATGATTGCAATACACATACATTTCTCTATATAAGCGCCCTCACCCTCAGATGACTTGGATGTGGTTACAAGAGGTAAAAACTATATAAATACTGTTCGTTTTCTCACACAAACCGCTCGTTTCGTGTCTTAGACAATCAATGTGTACTTACATTTACGAGATATTAAATCATGTTTAATTTGGACTTCTCTGTGCATGCTCTTTGAGGTGGTGACCATAGACCTCCATTATATGACTGACGGACAAGAACGGTTTGACCTAAAAATATAAAAATTGAAAATACTGTGGAAACAAAGACACTGACATCTTGGATGCCCTTGAGGTAAGCTAATACCTATCAAAATTTAATTTCAAAGTGATCTATCCCTTAAAGCATAACATATGAGCAAAGTTTAGTGACTGCCCAGGAGAATGGCTGCTGACTGTAATCAAAAACATTAACTAAATATTAATAACTGATTACATTGCAGTCAATGTGCTTTATTTGCTGTGACCTTTTTTTTCTATGCCTTTTTGTGTGATACAATAAAACCCATATTTAATGATACGCTGGAGTTTGCCTTTTTTGCCAAATAATGTAATTTAATACTAAAGCCAAGTTTAGTGTTTGCTTTTTCCCAATATAACAAACTCCTCATATTTTAATTTAGTCAAACCTGAAGTGTCATTAAAAGGAAATACTGTGCAAATATCCCCTTCTGGACATCACTTTTGGCCACTACTGTATATTTTTTGCGAGTCCTTTTACTTTTGGTAGCATTGGTTAATCCACCAGGGGGCAAAAGACATGCAGTAAGATATATGCCCAAAGAAATATGAATATATATTTGAGTGTTAAATGGCCCACGAAACATCTTAGAACTGGAGACTGGACATGGAAAAGATGTTAAATAGAAGCTTTAAAAATATTAAAATTATATATTTGGCAAATACATTATAAGCACGAATGCTTTAGTGCTGTTTCATGTCTTTGCATTCATTCATTTATTAATTGATGCTGTAAAGAAAGTGCATAATATTTTAAAGACAATGACATATGCGCAATTTGGCCAGTGCATTTAACAATAACAACAAAAAGAATGCAAATGTATTATTTATAAAGAGCTACACAGATTCTGCAGTGTAATCATAGGCTTTAAAATATACAGGAACAGTGATATTAAAAGGTCATGAAAGACGCTTTAGCATTGATCAAGAACAAGGAATCTCACAAATGCTTCTTTCCTTTTTCAAGCAAGAAATATCTCCCCATTTTTCTCCTCTTAAGTATCCATTTAAGACAGCACAGTCTTCACCCAAGGGATCATGTGCATCATGATCGTCAGTAGGGAAGATCCACCATCTGACAGGACAAAATAAGTGTGTAAAAAAATGTCAAAAATCCATATGACCTTTAAATAACTTGTACCATCAAACCAAGGCCATTTAAAGCACATCAGATTTCGAAATAAAACGGTACTTACGAGAGGTTGCTGTTTAAGGGGGTGTTGTCCACCCAAAGCCACGTCCCCTCAGTCTGGCGGTCAGTCAGACCAATCCAGTGGAGCACCAATGCATTAGAACTGACTGATTGCGGAGCAAGAAATTCCTAAAAAAAAGACATATGGCTGAAATATGTCATTATGTACAATGCAAATATGACATTTTGTACAGTGCAACCCAGGTAAAGTAGGCCAAAAATTAGCAAACAATTGTGTTTTGCATGGTTTTTAGACCTATGCAGCTTCTCGTTCAGAGTGGTTGCTGCCTCAAGTCAATAGATACTCACCCTTAGGTTTCTATAATCGTAATTTAAAAAAAAAAATAGGTAGATCATTCATTGTCCATGAAACTCTCCAAGAAATCGTAGCTTTAAAGGGTTAGTTCACCCCAAAATGAAAATTCTGTCAGTATTCACTCATCATGTTGTTCCAACCCCGTAAGATTTTGGTTCATCTTCGGATCACAAACTAAGAACTTTTTGATTAAATCTGAGAAAGGTCGTGCAACACTCTCTCATTTTCCCCTGAGGCGAGAGAAATCTGCTATTTACCTTTTTCACTTCCTCCTACAATGACGCAAAAATCTTAATTTTATGTCATTGTAGGAGGAAGTGTTAAAGTGGGGATATCTGTAAAGACTACAAGCACTAGAGCTCACCCTTTCAAACCCGCCCATAGGGGGGTTGGACCTAATGCGCTAACAGACCAATCACAGATCAGTGCCAGTGCGTTTGATTTCACCGGCAGAAACGTTTCGAAAATATGGACGAAAGCTACTGAATACACAGACGGATGCATTATGGAGGATTGGGATTACACATAGTGTCAGCCATCTTTTTTGGAAGCTAAGCTAGCAGGCTCTTGTTCTGTGGAGAAAGCCGAGTAGTAACTTTAGGGGTTACCGTCCTCTTTTTCCCGTACGTCTGGGCGCCGATATCTGGGATTCAGCTTTTGCTTTCTACAGCTGCCATGCATTGTTTACATGTACAGCTTTTATTTCAATCTAACTGAATTCATTCTGATTGGTGAATATGAATGTAACGTTAGTGTTTACATGAACGCTAAACAAGTGATCGGTTGATGTGCGTTTTAACATTGCTAAGAAAATTCCCTCCGTTGAAAGATACGAGACCAGTAACTTAAGACTCACAGCTATCGCTCATCGTTACTCACGCCACCGGCCTCGCGTCGTTCTCCACATGGCCGTAGACTCATCCTGCTCGCCACAGTAAACATGATGAACGCCGACCTTAGAACACAAAAGCCGAATCCAGGACATTGTGGGCGATCTCGAAACATATTTTTGGGCAGACTCATCACGGAGACTCAATAGACTAGCCTAGGCTTGTTGTTTACCTACTGCGTGGTTACCGGTAGGCGTGGCCTCCTAGGGCAGCGAAGCAAGTGCATTCTGGGAGTTGTTGTCTTTCATCCACATAAGCCAAAAATACATTTTCTGTCTTTTTCTCAGTCTAGAAAGCTCCAAATTCAAAAATAATTTCACATTTCTTCTACATAAATGACCCATTTTAAATACACATTCATCCCTCCAGAGGTGGAGTGACCCTTTAAGTTTATCAAGTGACGAGAACACTTTTAGTGTGCAAAAAACAAACAAAAATAACGACTTTATTCAATTTCCTTCTCTGTTGGCCTACGTTTTCACATAGTGCAACTGCGCAGCTGTCTTCAAGGTTGTAAGTCACACGTAGACTTAAGATTGAGCCACTGTAGTCACTTGGACTATTTTAACGATGTCTTTAACTTTTCGCGGCCAGCAAGTTTCGATCCCTTAAAAAACCACTACGGTCCAGCACTCAGATTTAATCAAAAATATTTTAGTTTGTGTTTCGAAGATGAACGAAAGTCTCACGGGGTTGGAACAACATGAGGGTGAGTAAATACGGACAGAATTTTTATTTTGGGGTAAACTAACCCTTTAACAATACCACTAATTGTTTAAATTCAATTTCTCTATCTATACCTGTTCCTCACTGCTGTTGATGATGACCAGGTCTCCACCCAGATCCTGACAGCGTTCTCTGCTGTTGTCCCAGTCCATGGTATCATTGGAGAAAACATAGAATCTGCCCTTGTCCTGGACCCACTTCGCAGGGAAATCTTGAGAATCAGGGAAATGTTTAACATCAGTGCCCTAAACTAAATTTTTAATTATATATTCGATATAGTGTGGGGTACAAAACTGTTCTGTGTAACATGGGTAGTGTACATTTTTTTATTACTCTACATGTCTGAAAATATTCCAGTGTTTACTAAACTATTTGATGTACGTTTCTAATGTGTTCATGCATACTGCATAGAGTAATAAATTGATTTGCCTTTTTTTGGACAGTGCTGTATTTTGGAGCTGTTTTCCATGTCCTTGTGAAAAATCAGTTTGATGTGGGCATTGTCGTCAACATCTAACATAAAAACAAAGAAAATTAAAAATCGTATTCTGAAAGTTACTGTCTTATTTAAACAGAGAGAATGTGGAGTTCGTCTACCTGAATAAGAGCAGGGTGTTACTGGTTCACAACTCAAAAGCTGTTCTGGGCCATTGCTGTAATCTGTAATACAAGAAAGATCGCAGAGCCTACTGTAATATCACAGCTTTAGTATTACAATATATTTACAGTAGTAAGTATTTAGGGTTATATGAACAACTAAAACAACTATTTCGAAGTTCTATGAAATGTAAGTTGTGTAAAAATACATGTGAGTTAGAAGATTGAGTCACACTTGAATTAGAACAATTGATTTAAGACTAAATTAGAGTTCCGCCCCCACAATTTAGAGACTAAATAAATAAAAAAGTTTTTTTATAGGTTCATAAAACGTTGTGTAGTCTATAAGAAACTACAGAAAACCATTACAAAACAATTTATGACCAGATACAGAAAATAATATTCTCTAATTTAAAAAACAAATTAAAGTCCCTTACTTGTGGCACCGTTTCATTAACACTTAGCCACAAATACATTGTATGTATTTACATTTATCAAAGTGAGTTGTTTAATAAGGCGATAATAGTGTCAGTGAAGAACATGTTTTGGGTAACACTTAACTAACATAATCCAACACTGACCAATAGATTTTGTTACAGTATTTATTAATCTATGTTAATGTTAATAAATACAAATCCACTGTTCATTGTTTATTCATGTCAGTTCTCAGTGCATTAACTAATGTTAACAAATACAACATTTGATTTAAAAAATGTATTAGTAAATGTTGAAATTAACATTAAATGCTGTAGAAGTATTGTTCGTTCGTCATGTTAACTAAAGTTGTTAATCTAATATTACCTAATGAAACTTTAATGTAAAGTGTTACCCATTTTAGTAATTAATCATGTGAGGAAAATATAGCTGGATTGTTGCAAATGTAAAAAATAAAATAAAAATAAATAAATACTACTGCTGATACTACTACTACTACTAATAATAATAATAATATATGATAATGATGATGATAATAATAATAATAATAATAATATGCGTATGTAAAAACATGAGGATACCCACACAGAAAAGCCAAAGCTGCATTTGCCAGCAGAGAGAGGAAGAAGAGAACAGAGAGAAGAACGACCACACAGACCCCATCTGTCTTATCATTGACACACTCCTCCTCTGAAAATACATTATTAGAAGAGAAATTAATAGCGTTTAAAATAAATGAGTAAATAAACAAATCATCTCTCTTATCAACAGACTAAAACAAGTGTTGCGTTCATAATTTTGTTCAGTGTATATCTTAATAATAATAAAAAAATCAATACAATAAAAAGTTAAAGTGAAATGAGGCTGTTGAAACAAATCATTTGCGAAATAGCACTTACTTCTATCGCCATGAGCTGGTCTTGAGATGGCTCTTGGAGTAGTGTTGGAATAAAAAGCTTCAGACATCTTCTAAGAAATGAGAACTGAAGAGAGGATCTGGTTAAATATTCTAAATAGCCAGGGGTTAGTAGTGATGTTTCCTGCCATCATTTCCTGTCACTTGGTTAGTACAGTAGTTGTTGGGGACATCATCTCAAACAATAGCTGATAAAAAAAAATCATCTGTGGTCAATGCTTCTTGAACGCTCGCTTTTTATGTTTCATGCCATTGGTTTTCCCTCACACTCTAAAAAATGCTGGGTTGTTTTAACCCAACTTTGGGTCAAATATGGACTAACCCAGCCGTTGGGTTAAATTTTTACATTACATTTTTAACCCAACATTTCGGGTTTGTCCATATTTGACCCAAAATTGGGTTAAAACAACCCAGCATTTTTAGAGTGCATGGTTGGAATATCTTACTCATAGAAACATGCCAAAGAGTTTCCTTTTCACCCCTTTCTTACTGAACAGGGCCTCTTGCTGTACACAGTGCACACGGCGTGTTGGTGATAGAGCAGCAGCAAACACAGACCTTTAGACATACATGCCATTAAAACAAACAAAAAAAAACATTCAACAATACATGTCACATATTTAGTCATTTGTTAGTTTGATTTCATTTTCATGGACTTTGAAATTGTTTATCATCAGTCACCTGTTTCCTTTGATTAAGTTTCCCACTCTTGTCAGTTTACCATGGGATTTCATTTGATCATCATCACACCTGTTACTCTAGTTCATAATCATTGTCTAAAGTTGTCTGTCATGTTGATTACTTGTCAATATCCAGTTTTTTTTTTTTAGATAACGGTTATTACTGTAAGTATGAGGGACTTTTGTTGGTTCTTGGCAATTTACAATTGCTTTAACTCATCAATTTAAGCCAGTTACTGTAATTTTAGTTAAAATGACTTAACCATTAAAGTTGATTGTAAAATAAGGCAACTTTTTCAGTTTGCAGTGTAGAATGATGATTGCAATACACATACATTTCTCTATAGAAGCGCCCTCGCCCTCAGATGACTTGGATGTGGTTACAAGAGGTAAAAACTATATAAATAATGTTCGTTTTCTCACACAAACCGCTCGTTTCGTGTCTTAGACAATCAATGTGTACTTACATTTACGAGACATTAAATCATGTTTAATTTGGACTTCTCTGTGCATGCTCTTTGAGGTGGTGACCATAGACCTCCATTATATGACTGATAGACAAGAACGGTCTGACCTAAAAATATAAAAATTTAAAATACTGAGGAAACAAAGACACTGATATCTTGGATGCCCTTGAGGTAAGCTAATACCTATCAAAATTTAATTTCAAAGTGATCTATCCCTTTAAGCATAACACATGAGCAAAGTTTAGTGACTGCCCAGGAGAATGGCTGCTGACTGTAATCAAAAACATTAACTAAATATTAATAACTGATTACATTGCAGTCAATGTGCTTTATTTGCTGTGACCTTTTTTTTTTCAATGTCTTTTTTGTGTGATACAATAAAACCCATATTTAATGATACGCTGGAGTTTGCCTTTTTTGCCAAATAATGTAATTTAATACTAAAGCCAGTTTAGTGTTTTCTTTTTCCCAATATAACAAACTCCTCATATTTTAATTTAGTCAAACCTGAAGTGTCATTAAAAGGAAATACTGTGCAAATATCCCCTTCTGGACATCACTTTTGGCCACTACTGTTTATTTTTTGCGAGTCCTTTTACTTTTGGTAGCATTGGTTAATCCACCAGGGGGCAAAAGACATGCAGTAAGATATATGCCCAAAGAAATATGAATATATATTTGAGTGTTAAATGGCCCACGAAACATCTTAGAACTGGAGACTGGACATGGAAAAGATGTTAAATAGAAGCTTTAAAAATATTAAAATTATATATTTGGCAAATACATTATAAGCACGAATGCTTTAGTGCTGTTTCATGTCTTTGCATTCATTCATTTATTAATTGATGCTGTAAAGAAAGTGCATAATATTTTAAAGACAATGACATATGCGCAATTGGCCAGTGCATTTAACAATAACAACAAAAAGAATGCAAATGTATTATTTATAAAGAGCTACACAGATTCTGCAGTGTAATCATAGGCTTTAAAATATACAGGAACAGTGATATTAAAAGGTCATGAAAGACGCTTTAGCATTGATCAAGAACAAGGAATCTCACAAATGCTTCTTTCCTTTTTCAAGCAAGAAATATCTCCCCATTTTTCTCCTCTTAAATATCCATTTAAGACAGCACAGTCTTCACCCAAGGGATCATGTGTATCATGATCGTCAGGAGGGAAGATCCACCATCTGACAGGACAAAATAAGTGTGTAAAAAAATGTCAAAAATCCATATGACCTTTAAATAACTTGTACCATCAAACCAAGGCCATTTAAAGCACATCAGATTTCGAAATAAAACGGTACTTACGAGAGGTTGCTGTTTAAGGGGGTGTTGTCCACCCAAAGCCACGTCCCCTCAGTCTGGCGGTCAGTCAGACCAATCCAGTGGAGCACCAATGCATTAGAACTGACTGATTGCTGAGCAAGAAATTCCTAAAAAAAAGACATATGGCTGAAATATGTCATTATGTACAATGCAAATATGACATTTTGTACAGTGCAACCCAGGTAAAGTAGGCCAAAAATTAGCAAACAATTGTGTTTTGCATGGTTTTTAGACCTATGCAGCTTCTCGTTCAGAGTGGTTGCTGCCTCAAGTTAATAGATACCCACCCTTAGGTTTCTATAATCGTAATTTAAAAAAAAAAAAAAATTAGGTAGATCATTCATTTTCCATGCAACTCTCCAAGCAATCGTAGCTTTAAAGGGTTAGTTCACCCCAAAATGAAAATTCTGTCAGTATTCACTCATCATGTTGTTCCAACCCCATAAGATTTTGGTTCATCTTCGGAACACAAACTAAGATCTTTTTGATTAAATCTGAGAAAGGTCGTGCAACACTCTCTCATTTTCCCCTGAGGCGAGAGAAATCTGCTATTTACCTTTTTCACTTCCTCCTACAATGACGCAAAAATCTTAATTTTATGTCATTGTAGGAGGAAGTGTTAAAGTGGGGATATCTGTAAAGACTACAAGCACTAGAGCTCACCCTTTCAAACCCGCCCATAGGGGGGTTGGACCTAATGCGCTAACAGACCAATCACAGATCAGTGCCAGTGCGTTTGATTTCACCGGCAGAAACGTTTCGAAAATATGGACGAAGCTACTGAATACACAGACGGATGCATTATGGAGGATTGGGATTACTCATAGTGTCAGCCATCTTTTTTGGAAGCTAAGCTAGCAGGCTCTTGTTCTGTGGAGAACGCTGAGTAGTAACTTTAGGGCTTACCGTCCTCTTTTTCCCGTACATGTCCGGCCGCTGATCTCTGGGATTCAGCTTTTGCTTTCTACAGTTGCCATGCATTGTTTACATGTACAGCTTTTGTTTCAATCTAACTGAATTCATTCTGATTGGTGAATATGAATGTAACGTTAGTATTTACATGAACGCTAAACAAGTGATGGGTTGATGTGCGTTTTAACATTGCTAAGAAAATTCCCTCTGTGAAAGATACGAGACCAGTAACTTAAGTCTCACAGCTGTCGCTCATCGTTACTCACGCCACCGGCCTCGCGTCGTTCTCCACATGGCCGTAGACTCATCCTGCTCGCCACAGTAAACATGATGAACGCCGACCTTAGAACACAAAATCCGAATCCAGGACATTGTGGGCGATCTCGAAACATATTTTTGGGCAGACTCATCACGAAGACTCAATAGACTAGCCTAGGCTTGTTGTTTACCTACTGCGTGGTTACCGGTAGGCGTGGCCTCCTAGGGCAGCGAAGCAAGTGCATTCTGGGAGTTGTTGTCTTTCATCCACATAAGCCAAAAATACATTTTCTGTCTTTTTCTCAGTCTAGAAAGCTCCAAATTCAAAAATAATTTCACATTTCTTCTACATAAATGACCCATTTTAAATACACATTCATCTTTCCAGAGGTGGAGTGACCCTTTAAGTTTATCAAGTGACGAGAACACTTTTAGTGTGCAAAAAACAAACAAAAATTACAACTTTATTCAACTATTCATTTCCTTCTCTGTCGGCCTACGTTTTCACATAGTGCAACTGCGCAGCTGTCTTCAAGGTTGTAAGTCACACGTAGACGTAAGATTGAGCCACTGTAAATGGTAAATGGACTGCATTTATATAGCGCTTTCATAGACCTAATGGGCACCAAAGCGCTTTACATGTTGCCTCACATTCATCTATTCATACACCGACGGCGGTGTCAGCCATACAAGGCGCCATCCAGCTCGTCGGGAGCACCTGGGGTTAGGTGTTTTGCTCATGGACACCTCGACTCTTGGTCAGGTGGAACCAGGGATTGAACCACCAACCTTTTGGTTTCGGTTTTTCGGAACCTACATGAACCACTGAGCCACTGCCACCCCTGTAGTCACTTGGACTATTTTAACGATGTCTTTAACTTTTCGCGGCCGGCAAGTTTCGATCCCTTAAGAAACCTCTAAGGTCCAGCTCTCAGATTTAATCAAAAATAAACCAATAATCTTTAATCAATAATCGATATCAATAATCAATTTAATCAATAATCAACTTCGTTTGTGTTTCGAAGATGAACGAAAGTCTCACGGGGTTGGAACAACATGAGGGTGAGTAAATACGGACAGAATTTTTATTTTGGGGTGAACTAACCCTTTAACAAAACCACTAATTGTTTAAATTCAATTTCTCTATCTATACCTGTTCCTCACTGCTGTTGATGATGACCAGGTCTCCACCCAGATCCTGACAGCGTTCTCTGCTGCTGTTCCAGTCCATGGTATCATTGGAGAAAACATAGAATCTGCCCTTGTCCTGGACCCACTTCTCTGGCAAACCTGAATTGACAGGTTATTCGGTTATTCTTTTTTTATTTATATGTGCAAAGATTTTCATTAAACAGCAGAATTAATAATTGTCCAATTTAAAGAAACATACAAACATGCACAACCAATATATACAAAACATAAAAATTGCTGTTAACTCGAACATACACAGATAAAACACGCAGTAGCTCACATAATGATTGGTCAAATATGTTGAATAGCCTTAGAATAGACATACCTTTAAAAGTACAAGGGAGCGATGGCTTGTTAACTTCTGCAAATGTTTAAAAAGTCAATCAATTAATTTAAATGATAAATTAATTAGATATGAAATGCTTTCATTAATAATGGAAGAAGAAAATGTGTTTTACAAACCTAGATTTGAGTTGTTTGTCACTGGCTCACATCCCATTAACTGATTTGTGTCATTGGTGTAATCTGTGAAGCATAAAATAGTATTGAGAAACTGATACACAGTGCAAACACAACTGATACTCTGTCACATGAGTATACCCACACAGAAAAGCCAAAGCTGCATTTGCCAGCAGAGACAGGAAGAGGAGAACAGAGAGAAGAACGACCACACAGACCGCATCTCTCTTACCATTGACACACTCCTCCTCTGAAAATACATTATTAGAGAAGTTAATAGCCTTTGAAATAAATAAGTAAATAAACAAATCAATAGTTCTCTAAAGCATTTTCTGTCAGATCACAGGTTGTTTTGGCCAACCAAACACGGTCAACTCTCATTCCCAAAAGGGGATCCCACAGGGTCATGTCATGAGCCCGTTGAAATACTTATCCTTTCACAAAACTTATAATATATACAACTTATACTTATATAATATATAAATTAGGTTGGGAAAAAAAAACACTTACGTTGATCTTTCTCAGCTGATCTTGAATTGCGATTTTGATAAGTATTTGTGTAAATATTTTCAGGCATTTTGAGCCTACTGCTGATTTTCAAATAGAGAACATGCTCTGATTTGACTTGGTTTTTAAGGGGTTCAGCTGCTTGCATCATTTCCTGTCATAGTTTCCTGTCAGAAGTTTATTAGGTGTTTGGGATATCCAAACCCATTTAGGGTTATGGTTTTTATTCATGAGTATTTTTTCTCTAACATTTTTAAATTGTCAGATATAACTGACCGCCAGACTGAGGGGACGTGGCTATGCGGGTGGACAGTTTATCAATGACTGTGTTGTTCTAATATTTTGGCTAGCTGTGAATGGCAACATTAGCAAGATAAGAAAATACTAGTTTGTCAGCACTTATTTCATAGGCCTACCAGGGTACAATGGAAGAGAATAAATTGGCAAACAATCAGGAACTTTCATTTTCTGTCCATAATTATGCAATTTTAATTCCTGTTTGTGGTGTTTTTTGAAACAATGTGAATGTCCCCTCAATGCAGAAAATTAGGGATTTTAGAAACACGTATGCTGATTCAGCAACACTTTAAAGCGGTCACAGGACATTTATAACATTGGCCAATAAGACTGACCTTTCTAAATTCAAATGATACTCTTTTGAAAGATTCTTGCAAATGGTGTCAGCACAATAGTTTACCAGCATATACCCTTTGAGTAACCAGTATAATGGAAACTAGGGTGTTTTGTAACACTTTTTTACTTTAAAAGAATATTTTTGTATTGTATTTTAAACTTAAAACTTATTACTGTATTATAAACTGATAACATTTCCCATATATATATAAAACCCAATTCCATAAAAGTTGGGACACTGTACAAATTGTGAATAAAAACAGAATGCAATGATGTGGAAGTTTCAAATTTCAATATTATATTTAGAATACAACATAGATGACATATCAAATGTTGAAAGTGAGACATTTTGAATTGCCATGCCAAATATTGGCTCCTTTTGGATTTCATGAGAGCTACAAATTCCAAAAAAGTTGGGACAGGTAGCAATAAGAGGCCAGAAAAGTTAAATGTACATATAAGGAACAGCTGGAGGACCAATTTGCAACTTATTAGGTCAATTGGCAACATGATGGGGTATAAAAAGAGCCTCTCAGAGTGGCAGTGTCTCTCAGAAGTCAAGATGGGCAGAGGATCACCAATTCCCCCAATGCTGAGGCAAAAAATAGTGGAGCAATATCAGAAAGGAGTGTCTCAGAGAAAAATTGCAAAGAGTTTGAAGTTATCATCATCAATAGTGCATAATATCATCCAAAGATTCAGAGAATCTGGAACAATCTCTGTGCATAAGGGTCAAGGCCGGAAAACCATACTGAATGCCCGTGATCTTCGGGCCCTTAGACGGCACTGCATCACACACAGGAATGCTACTGTAATGGAAATCACAACATGGGCTCAAGAATACTTCCAGAAAACATTGTCAGTGAACACAATCCACCGTGCCATTCACCATTGCCAGCTAAAACTCTATAGGTCAAAAAAGAAGCCATATCTAAACGGGAACCAGAAGCGCAGGCGTTTTCTCTGGGCCAAGACTCATTTAAAGTGGACTCTAGCAAAGTGGAAAACTGTTCTGTGGTCAGACGAATCAAAATTTGAAGTTCTTTTTGGAAAACTGGGACGCCATGTCATCTGGACTAAAGAGGACAAGGACAACTCAAGTTGTTATCAGCGCTCAGTTCAGAAGCCTGCATCTCTGATAGTATGGGGTTGCATGAGTGCGTGTGGCATGGGCAGCTTACACATCTGGAAAGGCACCATCAATGCTGAAAGGTATATCCAAGTTCTAGAACAACATATGCTCCCATCCAGACATTGTCTCTTTCAGGGAAGACCTTGTATTTTCCAATAAGACAATGCCAAACCACATACTGCATCAATTACAACATCATGGCTGCGTAGAAGAAGGATCCGGGTACTGAAATGGCCAGCCTGCAGTCCAGATCTTTCACCCATAGAAAACATTTGGCGCATCATAAAGAGGAAGATGCAACAAAGAAGACCTAAGACAGTTGAGCAGCTAGAAGCCTTTATTAGACAAGAATGGGACAACATTCCTATTGCTAAACTTGAGCAACTTGTCTCCTCAGTCCCCAGACGTTTGCAGACTGTTATTAAAAGAAGAGGGGATGCCACACAGTGGTAAAAATGGCCTTGTCCCAACTTTTTTGAGATGTGTTGATGCCATGAAATATAAAATCAACTTATTTTTCCCTTAAAATTATGCATTTTCTCAGTTTAAACATTTGATATGTCATCTATGTTGTATTCTAAATATAATATTGAAATTTGAAACTTCCACATCATTGCATTCTGTTTTTATTCACAATGTACAGTGTCCCAACTTTTATGGAATTGGGTTTGTATATATATATATATATATATATATATACACTCACCGGCCACTTTATTAGGTACCCCATGTTAGTAACGGGTTGGACCCCCTTTTGCCTTCAGAACTGCCTCAATTCTTCGTGGCATAGATTCAACAAGGTGCTGGAAGCATTCCTCAGGGAGTTTGGTCCATATTGACACGATGGCATCACACAGTTGCCGCAGATTTGTCGGCTGTACATCCATGATGCGAATCTCCCGTTCCACCACATCCCAAAGATGCTCTATTGGATTGAGATCTGGTGACTGTGGAGGCCATTTGAGTACAGCGAACTCATTGTCATGTTCAAGAAACCAGTCTGAGATGATTCCAGCTTTATGACATGGCGCATTATCCTGCTGAAAGTAGCCATCAGAAGTTGGGTACATTGTGGTCATAAAGGGATGGACATGGTCAGCAACAATACTCAGGTAGGCTGTGGCGTTGCAACGATGCTCAATTGGTACCAAGGGGCCCAAAGAGTGCCAAGAAAATATTTCCCACACCATGACACCACCACCACCAGCCTGAACCGTTGATACAAGGCAGGATGGATCCATGCTTTCATGTTGTAGACGCCAAATTCTGACCCTACCATCCGATTGTCGCAGCAGAAATCGAGACTCATCAGACCAGTCAACGTTTTTCCAATCTTCTATTGTCCAATTTCGATGAGCTTGTGCAAATAGTAGCCTCAGTTTCCTGTTCTTAGCTGAAAGGAGTGGCACCCGGTGTGGTCTTCTGCTGCTGTAGCCCATCTGCCTCAAAGTTCGACGTACTGTGCGTTCAGAGATGCTCTTCTGCCCACCTTGGTTGTAACGGGTGGTTATTTGAGTCACTGTTGCCCTTCTATCAGCTCGAACCAGTCTGGCCATTCTCCTCTGACCTCTGGCATCAACAAGGCATTTCCGCCCACAGAACTGCCGCTCACTGGATGTTTTTTTCTTTTTCGGACCATTCTCTGTAAACCCTAGAGATGGTTGTGCGTGAAAATCCCAGTAGATTAGCAGTTTCTGAAATACTCAGACCAGCCCTTCTGGCACCAACAATCATGCCACGTTCAAAGTCACTCAAATCACCTTTCTTCCCCATACTGATGCTCGGTTTGAACTGCAGGAGATTGTCTTGACCATGTCTACATGCCTAAATGCACTGAGTTGCCGCCATGTGATTGGCTGCTTAGAAATTAAGTGTTAACGAGCAGTTGGACAGGTGTACCTAATAAAGTGGCCGGTGAGTGTATATATATATATATATATATTTGCCGCAAATTAAAGCCGTTTTGAAACCCATTTATAAATCTAATATATTATAAAGAAAGAGTAAAATAAACATTAAATATGGCATTTGACTATTTTTGTATGAGATTTATAAAAAGTCAAAGTGCCTAATCCTATTGCTGAAAAAAACATCAATATGTTAATATAATTCACACATTATTTTACATTAATTCTACCTGTACATACTACGTACCTACTATAGTAATTATAAAGACTGGGCAATTACAATAAAATATAAAAAAAAAATGCTTAACCAAAATTAATCAATGCTTAAGCAATATTAAAACTATTTTGAAGTCTCCACTCAAGTGATTCTTAAGTGGAATATGGGAAAAAAGTGTAATGTTTGGATCCTCTGAGATGGACATTAATAGCAGGTGTAAATGGTCCGTTTAAGTAATTAAAAAATGGAAATTGTAGTCTTTTCTAGCCTATTATGATTATATTATATATATATATATATATATATATATATATATATATACATATAAATTAAACTGTTTTTTCGAACAAGAACAAACATTCTAAAGATAGAAATGGTGCCCTCACGCCAGTATATGTGATCGAAGAGAAGTCGATGTGAGGGGGAAGTTATTCTGATTAAAGAGGTTAAGAGCACATGAATTAAAAAAAAAAAAAATGTGCACAGATCATCTATGAAATACTACAGTTTTTCATTAAAAATAAGAATCGTCAAATTAGATTTCATTGTGACTTTAAACTGTCAGGGACACGAGATCAATCAGCATGACAGCTCTGGTCTGTCATCGTTCGTTTATTTGCACTTAAGTATGAAATATAGAATATTGTGAGTGCAATAAATGTGGATTTCATCCACCTTTGTTTCTGTCCCACATCCCAGTAACTGATCTGTTCCCCTGCTGTAAACCGCAAAAACAAAAAATAAAATAATCAAGTGATACTATGAAAATAATGTATAGTGTAAAAGTAAAAATGTACCACATGGTTTCGTTTGTGTGTAAATGACATTTGTGGATACTTACACAGGTGTGAAAACACACCATTAGCCAGCAGAGACAAGAAGAGGAAAACAGTCAGAAGAACCCGAATACTAATACTCGATCTGTTACCTACAGAAAACACATTAAACATGTATCGAAAACAGACACATGGGACACAAATCAACACAGTTCGGCCAGGAGAGTTGCCCCCCAGGTTTCTTTCTCTCCATTTCTGTCACCTGATGGAGTTTGGGTTCTTTGTTACTGCCGCTTTTTTCATTGCTTAATGTTCAGTAATATTATCCACTGACTGCATTGACACAATTGGATGGATAGATAGATAGATCGATAGATAGATAGGTAATATCTAACATGTGACTGCTGATTGCTTAAATCACAAGGATTAACAGAACAATGCTCCTCGACCCTACTGAGCTTTTGACTGATATTGGACATGGCTAGACTTAAAATTCCCTACACAAAAAACTAAAAACATATGTGTATAGAAAACAACAGCATTTATAGCATGCAGAAATAATGTTTATTCTGATCTACCATGACTGAAAAGATGTGATATCAATCGATCACAGGCTACAAACTCAGAAATAACAAACCACAAACCCAACTGTTCACAGCAGCTGCTAGTTTTTATTTAGCACAAAAAAAAAAATTATAATAATACACGTTGATATCTTTCACTCCATCATAAAAACCTAAAGACCCGTTTTCAGTTGCTTCCATTGTATTTTCCACAACCTGCTTCCTCAAATTACATACTGTGTTCAAAACCACAATTTTACGTAGATACTGCCAATTACTCATAAGGTTGTACATGGGGATGCCAGATATTGGATTTTGGCCGATATTTTCAAACTAATTTTGCCTGATGCCGATACCGATGTATTTGTTTTGTGTGTTAAAAAAGCTTAGGCCTATTAAAGCTTCTATTAAAGTTCCCAGTCAAGAGCAGTGAGTGATTTCCTCTTTGTGTTTTGTTGTTTTATTAACATTAAAGGGATAGTTCTCCCAAAAATTGTAATTGTCATTTACTCTCTCAAGTTTTAAACCCAAATAAACGCCTTTAAAAATAAAAGTTATTTGGAAGAATGTGGCTAACCAAACAGTTGCTGTACTCCAGTGACTTCCATAGTACATTTAAGCACAAGTAAGAAATGAATACAGGTTACGGAGTAAATAATGACAGAACTTTTATTTCTGGGTGCAGTATCTCTTTAAAGGCATATTATAGATACCGTCCCTTTAAGAGCTGCACGTGAAGCATCTAATAACGCATTTGACAAGCAGATTTTCTTAGTTTGATTTCACTTTAGACAAACAACTTAATGCAAACCTTGAGTGTATTTGACAGTATTAGCGCAATAAGACTCGAAAGGTAACTTAGTACAGTATAGGATTTGTGAGCGTCGGGTGTAACGTTAACGTAACCTACGCGCTCAGAAATGCACGTTAGAACAGCGCATCAGAACGTGAATGACATGTTTGACTAGCAAGACACACACGCAAATAATGAACTTTTGTGAATTGCAGTGTCCCGTGAGTGAAACTCTACCTCTGCGTTTACACGTGTCATGTGAGTGAACGTCGCGTTGTACAGTATGTTGTGATGAAAGCGCCACAATTGAACTGATAGAATGCACGACACTATGATTTTCCTTCAAAAGCAGATCGTGGAGACATTTTAATAGTACACGATCACAAAACCGTGATTATCGCACACCCCTAGTTGGAAGTTTAAGTTGTTGGCGCTCATGCCTCGTTCACGGCCGTCACGTGCGGACAGGAAACACGCCACATAGTGGCATGGCTCATCGGCAGTGATATTCATATCTGATAGTAATTTTAAGCTTTTATCGGCCGATACATGCTGTCCCGATATCATCGTGCATCCCTAGTTGTACTGCTTTGATCTAATTCCATGTGTTGGACAGATCATGTGATAAATAAAAGTTAGGGCATATGCTTACACCACAATCAGTATATTCTCCAATACTTTTAGAGCTGTACAACTTTATGAGCAGGCATAATCTATCATCCACAAGACAAATCATTTCATTTTTAACGCATCTCAGTTCCCACACCCCTCCGTTCAAAACGGTTTCCTCAAAAACACCGTTATTATTGCTAATTTATGATGAACCCGCTATCTGCCACGTGTTAATTGTAGTCCCAACCACCGTCAAATTGTGGATCGATTATGGTATTTCTCATTGCTTCCTCGTTTATTTACACAGGTGCTTTTCTGTTGGCAAAACCGTGAAAGAGGATCACAGGCAATTAGAGACAAATAAGCAATAAACTGATTAGAGAGAACAAATTAAAAGCAATAACAAAGCAAAACCAAGACAAAAAGATCTCACTCACTGCGTACCGCATCCATCAGTTGGTCAACGTTTGTCAAAAGAAAATAGAGACGAGGCTTCCATGGCAAAAAACTGTTTAAGATGTGCGAAGGAGAGAATGACCACAGGAAAATCATTGACAGCAGCCCTTGTCATGTCCACTTGGGATTTTTATTATCTCATTGGCTGTTTTCTAGGAACTTTCATGTGTCTTTGATTGTTGCATGTTCTTTTCTTAAACACTGAGGAAATTAACATTTTCATCCTGTTTTTTTTGTTTGTTTTTTTTGCAAAAAAAAAGCACCTCCCATTAGATAGGGAGATTAAAATCACTTTATACTGAACGAGTTGAATCTACCGATGCAATTAGCGTGACACTTATGCATCTGGGTTCATCATGAACATGGTAATTACAAATCAGCGTGTGTGTGTGCGCACCTTTGTTAACAATCAGAACAGATTAAGGTTCCTCATCTCTGATGATGGTAACTACAATGGCTTTAGGTCCATGCGCAGAGAGAGAATAAGAAGATAAGTGAGGGAAAGGGAGAGAGAAAAAAAAAGGAGGAAAGAGAAGAAAATCTTCTCAGTCTGGCAGCAGTAGTGCAGGTCCAAAAGGTCAAAGTTCAAACTTAAAAATGAGCGGTGAATACTCCTTCCTAAACCAGGAAGTCCACTGGTATCTGTCAGGTGGTCAGTGCGTGATGTCATCAATCAGCCTCGCTGTCATGCGAGACAGAGGTCGTGGATGGTGAAATGGGTCACTGCAGAACCAAACCCACCTACAAAAAATGAATGATAATTAAATATTATATAACTGCTCATTAATGCAAATATCTAGTCAGCCAATCACATGGCAACTCAATTCATTTAGCAATGCAGGCATGGTCAAGACGATCTGCTGATTTAAGTGACTTCGAACATGGTTGTTGGTGCCAGACGGGCTGGTCTGCGTATTTCAGAAACTGCTGATATATTGGGATTTTCACGCACAAGTTCAACCATCTCTAGGCCTAGGGTTTGCAGAGAATGGTTCAAATAAGAGAAAATATCCAGTGAGGGGCAAGTTCTGTGGGAGAAAATGCCGGATTGATGCTAGAGGACAGAGGAGAATGGCCGAACTGGTTTGAGCTCATAGAAAGGCAACAGTAACTCTGAACTCAAAACACATTAACATTTGAAGCAGATGGGTTACAACAGACGAAGGCCAGCACCTTGTTGAATTTATACCACAAAGAAACGAGGCAGTTCTGAAAGCAAAAGTGGGTCTAACATGATACTAGTAGAGTGTACCGCCGTTAGAAAAGGCTATAAATCTCCACCTCCAGCATCCACACACGCAATATAGCTTATACTAGCCGAGACTCCTCCTTTATGTGTACAGATGTGACAAAGACATGCTCGAATCTCCCGTGCAAATCCACCAGTACCACTGGAATTAAAAACATTATTACAAGCTTACCGCTTTGAATCGAGTTAAGGCAAGCAGATTGCGTTGAACACTGGCTGGTTATGTATTTTCTCAAATATGTATTTTTGTAAATACCTATTTGAGAAAATACACAAGTCAATTTTAAATAGAAAACCGTAGAAAGTGACATCTTGGTGTTTGGGACACAGACTGTGAAGTACTAATGCAACCTAGTGGCCAAATAATGTAACTTCAGCTTGATTCTGATTAAAAAAATATATATATATTTTTTTATAAAACTCTGGACTGACATCTGTACCTTTTCTGAGCCCATGCTGGGACATTTCCAATTGTAGAGGTAATACTGCAGGTTTCCATCTCCAATGCCAAACTTGAGCTTCTCCAAAAACGTCTTGTTCTCCATTAGGTCCAGTGCATTAAAGACATCAAATCCTTTCTGCAGGGAGAATGACACGAGACAAGCTTGAAGAAATCTGCTGATAGTTTAATGCTCCAGTAGTGCCTGCAAATTATACATTTCATACTACTGCATGTGTTCTTCTTAAACACAGGTTTGCATTTCATTTATGAATGGTTTGTTTTTGGGGGTGAGAAATTTGCACCAAACTATAGATAGGTAAACTAAGTAAGGCTGAAACAACTAAATGATAAAAAAAAATAAGAGAATATAATCAACAGAATTTGATTATCGATTAATTACACCTATTCAGGGAAAACATTCACCAAGTTTTATAATGTCTAACACAGCCCTGCGTCGCCACACACACACACACTTTCAGTGACTGACCGACTTGGCGAGAATCAGAGCGTCTCCCATCAGGTCCAGCAGGGTGGTGGAGGTGTGTACATTATAGAAAGAGTACGCTGCCTTCAGACTGCGATGCACAGGATGGTTCATGATGGTGGACGGCAGAGTGTAGAAACTCAGAATGTCAGTCACCTTCCCATCTGAACTCTACAACACAGTTGATTTGAAGGAACAGAAAGAAATAAAGAAATACACTGATTAACCACTCTGTATGTTAGAAATACTTTCATGAGTGATACCTCTAGGATTATACATGGCATGAATGTCCAGTGACTGTAATACCTCCACTATATAGGTGTCGATGATGTTCTCCTGAGGAAGCAGCCAGTGCTGGACCTCCTCAGGGCTCATGACAGGAACCAGGTTGAACTGACTCAGGTACTCATTCAGCAGGCGGTGAACCGCTGGGACGTCCTTTACAGTCATCGGCCTCAGGCCTGAAGTCTTAGGAGTCTAGATAAGAGAAACACACAATTAGAGAAAATGGAAAAGAGGAAACCTCCCAGACATCACCCAGGAAAGAAGACGGCACACACCTCTGGCAGTCGGTAGAGCTTCATTGTGCGTTGCATAGTCATGTTCCGACTCAGATGAGAGAACTTCACCTCAATCAGCTTTCGTGGGTTCAAAGACCGGTGCCAGTATCTACCACACAAATAAGAAAGGCAAAAAAATAAAAAATAAAAGTTAAATTTACAGCAGTAACTAATAGTAGGACACTAATGGCAATGTTGTTTGAATCATTACTTGATTTACTTTTTCCCATTTTGAGATTGACATTTTTACGAGAACTTTGGCACGTATACTTCCGTTCAAAAGTCTGAGGTCAGTAAGATTTTGAAATGTTTTTGAAAGAAGTCTCAAATCCATTTATTTAATCGAAACTACTGTATAACTGTAAAACATATTTGAGAACCCAAGAGGAAGGTATTTTTTTGATTTTGATAAAAGATTTTGAAGGCCGATACCGATACAAATATTTGATTGTTTTAAAATCCGATATTCCGATATATCGGTCCCATATTTTTTTCATTTCAGAAACGTGCAACAAAACATTAACAGATTTCCCTAATGTTATTTATTTGTAGTTTTTTTTAATGAGTTTTAACTAAAATAATATAATGCATTTTAAAAAGAAACTTGTTTCTTTTATTGTCACAACAGAACAGACTGTCGATTAGCTAGTGCCACTATTAGCTAGATAGTGGCATTAGCTAGCTTTGTGGTTAGCTAGTCTATGATGAGCCATAATTTAGCAATGGATTACGTCATACTGCAAATAGTAAAACATACATTTTCAATATAACAGGCCAAGGAGAGACGATACGTCTCATTGCTATAACTGTCACGCGTTATTAAAGAAATATTTCAGTCACATTGTCAAAAGTTAAAACGACAGTCAGTCGACTACACTGTAACAACGTAATGTAACTATTACTAGCTAATTCCGCTTCACTCTCGGCTTATTTAACAGCAGCAAAACTGGACATGATAGTCACAAACTTTGTCATGCATATTTGAGATAAGAGAACTGATGGGGATGTTCTTTTAATTGTTATTCAAGCAATGTATGTCTCGTGACATGAGTGTTGCCAATAGGAACGGTGTAGAGGGCCCTCTGGTGGACAAACTATACAACTCCAAAACACTCATGAGATGGTTCAAGATACAAGATTCAGATACCGATAGTTTGGAAAATGATAATATCGGCCTGCGGATATATTGGTCTGTCTCTAGTATAAGCCTTGCCAGTTACATATGAGAAAAAAAACAAACAAAAACAAACAACCAAAAAAAAAAATCGCAATTGAGGTAACTTGTTCGATTAATCGTGATTATGATTTTAGCCGAAATTGTCCAGCCCTATGTCCCATAGAAAACAGGCTCACTCTGCACATTACCAGCAGATATATGTCTTACCTGCAGGTGCCCACAGGTTTAGGCAGCACAACACCTGCGGTGTACACAGCCTGAAAGATGCCCTCCAGATTGACCCGTCTTGTGATCTCCCTGATGAGTACCGGAGCCACTCGTTTCGAGCGAAGTTTCTTATGCACACACAGAAAGTTGATCTCCACCATCTTCTTCTCTCTGGGGGGGGGGAATCAAAGAGCAGATATGAGTCAATTGAATTTATTGCATTTAAACCATTATTTACATTAGATACACTCATGACTGCTTACATGTCGTAGATGCGGATGTTGGCTGGAATGGCACTGATGAAACCAACTAGCTTTTGATTAGAGTTCACTCTCACTCCACAATGCCACTGAGGCAACCAACCTGGAGGACGCAGAGCCCTGGGACAAAAACACAGTACAGAGAAACTGAGGACAGATATCACATGACTTTTAGATGATAGCCAGCCTTTCAAGTTATCATAACCCATCCATCATTTTTCAAGCCATTCATTCTTACCAGAGCAGAAATTCAGGAGAGTAATCAAATCGAAACATATTGTCATCATCCTCCACATAGTTCTCGTTGAGGAGAGTGTACAACTCTTTCAGCTTCAGAGAGAAACAGAAAAGAGCTCGTTTCCAGGTGTATATTTGTATGTATACGAATTTGAGGGATAAATGTAATTGTTTGCGTGTTGTACCACGGCAGAATTTCCCAAATCGAGAGCGTCCCAGCTGAAGCCCTGAGGTAGGCTGTACGGTTCCTCTCGTATGTTATCTTTATCGGCCTCGATCCAGCCATGTGATGTCACAGTCTCTCCTACAAATGAACAAACGACAGACTCAGAATACACTGTGCCACGTGCTCATGAGTCTCAAGAAAACATGTTGTAAAGATGAAAATGTACACAACTAGAAAGAAAAAAATTAATGTCAGTCCAAGGAACAGGTATTCTAATGAAACTATTGTGAGTACAATTGCACAAATGATCAATACCAAGTTTAGGAACAGGCTGAGTGTCCCAGAACTGATAACTGCGACGCGTGGCCTCCTCCATGGTTTTAGCTGGACCTTGTCCCACTGAGAACAGCTCAATGGCCTTCTGGATCTCCTGCAACTTATCAGCAGGGAGGGAGTTGACCTGAGGAAGAGACAGAGGAAAAAAAATCCTCAAATGCTTACAAAAGTACTTTGGCTGTACCATGGTGCAGTGATGTAATCAATACAATGGTGTTTAGAAAGTAACCCAAGGTACTTCAAAGAATACCATGGTATTTAAGGCATTACTTGCACTGATATATGGGTCTAAATCTAAATATTATTAAAAAATATAATTGCACATAGACAAAGCAGTTGGGACAATGCGTGTAAAGAAAATCTTTGCTTTAAAGAAAATCTTTAAAAGAAAAAAGAACGAATGAGGTTCATTATTGTGTTACACTTCATGTTTGAGCTTCAGCAAGAACCAATGAGGTTCATTCTTGTGTGTTACGAATCACGTTTGAGCTTCAGCAAGAACCAATGAGATTCATTCTCGTGTTACACATCACATTTGAGCTTCTGAATCTGTTCACTGATCAATATTTCTATGTGAATAAAAGCCTAAATTCAATCTCTTTATCACATAAAGCGATTGTGTCTCATCAGAAAATTTGGACTAAACAGTTCAATTCACATGGATTAGTTTTAAGGTCTCTTTATGAGCTTATGCCAAAAAAAAAAAGGAAAATCATTTTGATAATTTCTTTAGAATACATTCAGCAGTGTTAATAAATTATTAGTGTTTTTAAAAGTTTGACTTTAAGGGATTTTGAGATGATAAATTTAAATAATCTTGTTAAACACACAGAGTCATAAAAACACACTCACTTTGGCCAACGGATCCTGTGCTACATCTTTTCCTCCAGCCTTGTCCTTGTTCTTTTTCTTTTGTTTCTTTTTCTTCTTCTTGGCACCTGTGTCACCCTTCTCTCTGCGGGTCAAATGAACTCAGTTGACATGGGCAGATATAATGAGAGGTCGTGTCCGCTCAGCACAAACTACAGCTGATGCAGGTGAAAGGGCAGCAGGCATCATCTCAATGGACGCATCACTGCTCCTGATGCATTCAGCAGTATTTCACGATGACAACCTCTCGTTAGAGTACAACAATACTACTTATAGGCTGGATTTTATTTTGACATTTCTAACATGAAAGCAAGAATTTTCACAGAACAAAGAGAAAAGTTTCCCAGAGATATAGGGATAGTTCAGACCTCCTGTTATCATTTCCTCACGTCGTTATAAACCTGTACAAGTTATTTTTTTCTTCTGTGGAACATAAAAGAAGATATTGTGAGGAATGTTTCAGTGTTTCTTTGTACATTCAATGGAGGTCAATAGACACCAAAATCAACCGGTTTCCAACATTTTTCAAAATAACGTCTTTTGTGTTCTGCAGAAGAAAGAAACTCATACAGGTTTGGAATGACGTGAGGGTGAAGAAATGGTGACAGAATCAAATTTTTGGGTGAACTATCCCTTTAATGAGCCTATTTATTTCAGTTGATAATATAGTGACGGAATATGCACACTGGTAGCATGTGCATGAAAAAGATCAAGCAGAATCTGAGCTTTAAAACAAAAAGATAAAACTGGGCATACTAAAACAAATAAGTAATGTCACCTCATCCCTGAACTACACAGGCACAAGAGTCAAGACCCACAACCGTAGTCGAGATGGAATGGGGCGAATTACAGAGAGACGTGCTGCTAATCCTATTAATGTCCACGGAGGGAGAGGTGACAGCGCTGAGCTACATTTGTTAATGGGGGACAGATGGTCTGTCACATGACCTGCAGAAAAAGCATGTTTTTGTGTGTTCGAGGGGTGATACGACAAAGACTGATGGATAAACAAGCACCTTTGTGACTATTGCTTTGACAGCCATCTATCCATCAGGGCTTCCCTTCTTTATCTCTGTATTACTTCATTAAATTTAAGCAAGCTGCAATACAGGATGTCCTCATAACATAACGGACATTAGTAGAGTAGTTTCAAATTATGCATGTTTTAGATGTCATATTACTTACTTACGTAGTTAATCATAGTACATTTAAGACAGTCAATTCTGTATTACAAGTTTTATTAATTGTTAAGTTTAAATATGCGAATGAGGCATAATTTAATTAAATATCACTAAGTGTCATACATTGGCAGAACAGAATTCACTGAATAAAACCAAGTTCAATGGTTGACAAATTAAAGTTTTTTTTACCCCTCCATAAATAAGAAAATACTGTAAACAGAAAGGAAATAAATCCCCAAGTTTGTTTTTACTAGAATGTAAATGATTATGTGATTTTTGGTAAACATTTTCCAGATTAATTAACAAATCTATCCCATGAAATTTAGACACGAATAAAATAAAAGAAAATGTTAATGGAAATATTTATTTACGTATTGTTAATATAACGGAAGAAAAACGACATTCATTGTATGAGGCGCAACATGACTACTACTTTATGATAATAAAGTGCAATTTTTCACTCTCTGTTTCCTAATACATTCGAGTCAGTCTCTGTACATGACCTTGAGGAACATAGTGGATAAGAAGCTGGTTATTGGGGCTTTATTACTATATTTTGGTGAACATATTAGCTCTTTGGTACTGAAAGTGAAACTCCATCGGGGAAAACGCCCGAGAGAGACAACAAATAGATAGCAATGTGATAAAACAAACCTTTAATGAAGCTTCACTTGCAACTAGCAGCAGTCAAGCTAACAAGACCACGACAAGACATCGTTTAGTGACAGCAAAACCAAATTACTTTCAACCTAGTGGCCACAAAGGCATGCATGAGCTGATTTGAAAGCGTTATTTGGTGGTAATTTAAAAATATTTGTCAGTTTAGGATTTATTAAACAGCATTTGAAATAGCGAGTTTAAACGGGATAGCTTATTCATTTACCATACCATGAATTATGGTTAGACTGTTAAAACACCTCGCACAAAAATGCCAATGATTCTACAGAACTGGCCATTTGGAACGGTCCTTTTGTTTGATTGACGGCGTCTGAGCCAATCGTTTTAAAGGTCCGTGCGTCAATCAAGGCGGCGAACCAATGGCGTAGGACCACAGGGCGGGCTAATATGCTGTTAGCGTGCCCCAGCCTAGCCGAACAAGGGCCCTGTCTTTTAGAGCCGTGAGGAAGAGTATTATACTTTTACGAGCTAACAATAAAATGAATGCACGCTCACCCATCATCAGAATGATGCTCTTCATTTTCACAATTGCTGCAATGTCCATGATCATCTTCTACCTCAGTTTCTTTCTCCAGCTGCGGTGCTGTCTCATTCTCATCCGCCATCTTTAATCAGGAAGTGAGGATCTCGCCCTGCGCTCTCACACCACGCAAAACTATTGGTGGACTGACGCAATGGCCGATGGGCTCTGTAGTTCTCTCGTTTTAAATCTATCTATCTGTCTATCTATATCCATCTATCCATCCATCCATTTGTATCTAAACACACAATAATTAGCTACAATTAGCTAGAGAAATATTAATATTAATTTATTTAAATACTGATTATCTATTTCAGTACAACCTAAGAAAAAAATGCATACACACACAGATAGGCTACAGTACTGTATGAACAACAAGACATTCAGATCAAGGGATGGTAGTTTTCTACTGTGAAACAGAAAATCTACAATTAAAACACGTTTGTGAAGAAGCAGTTGATATTAGCCTATATTATTTTATAGCCTAGTGCAAAAAACAGACCTTTGGAAACTCTTTAACTCAATTATCATGATTCCTCAATCTTAGTCATGAAATTAAGTATCTTGGGGCAAGTGTTAGTTGCCAGCAGGCCAAGAAGTGTACTTGTCTAAATTTGGACATCTTAGGACACTGAGCATTTACAATGCTTGCTTTTAGCTCTAAAAAATCATAATAAATAGATTAAATTAATAAAATCGATAAAATCTTCTGTCTCAGACATTGTGTTAAACACAAATTTCATCATTAGTCATGGTTATTTTAAAAATATTAGATATTTTAGATATATTATTTCTCAGAATTACCTAATTGGAACGCTGATAGTGTTAAAATCAATTAAAATACACTTAATAAAAACTTAATCAGTCATAAACCTTACTAAACAGTCCATATAGTTGCTATGCTTTCTGAATCCTTTCAATATGTTTTTTTTCCTACGCTTTCTTTATCTTGTCAGTATTCAGAATATCAAAACCAGCAACACAATTACAATATTCAAACATTAAAACAATTAAAGACAGCTCATTTCTATCTACATGCACATCCAATTATTGTCCAGAATCTCAAGATAGCTTACATTCAAAAAATGAAAAATATATTAAATAATTATAAAATGTGTTAAATATTCTAAATTTAAGGCTCAGACTCAATAGAATTCTGTCTCCATGGAAACAAATTCTATAAACAACACTGACTTGTAACTTCTAACAATAATTTCTTTAGCATATTTAGTTTCCACCATAACATGTCCATAACACGCTCCGACACCACAGATTAACAATAGAAAAAAAAGCCAAATGCAGGTCTACACTGACTTTCTTCAGATTGTTGCGCACAGAGTTTGTCCATATACATCCAATGTCATGTTTTTTATCAGGTGGTCTCATTCTGAAGAGTCACAGCACCTCGGCTGTGACTCTGAAGAGCTCGGCTCAGTGGCTTTTCCTTCAGTATTTCCCGGGAACAACTGTATGACAAAAGCATCAGGCTTTGCCTTTCCGCTCAGAAACAGTTTTAATTGGAACTCCCCGCCGCACCACCTTTACGTGGATGAAGAGAGTGGCAGGAGACAAACTGGAGCCGTCTGCTTTTAGCAGGTGAACATGACGATAACCTGGAGAATAACACAAAACACTTAAAATATGTGACAAAACAAGTCTAAAATAAAAGCAGTGTCACAAGTGTTCAAAGTAATAATGTGTACCAATCAAAGTCAAAGTTTCGAGAACATCAGGAATAATTCAAATGCGTTCCAGAACCTTCTTGTTGAACTTCAGATCTACACATTTTTTAAACATCACATGCTTTAGGCCAAAGACTAAGAAGCAGATTTCCATCGAACTAATCTTTCAGTGATCTGGAAACTATTCTTCTTCAGAAATGGCACAAATCCTACACAGTTAGAGACTTGAACAACAGCATTCCAAAAACGACTAGAGCTGTTTTGAAGGGAAAAGGTTAATCTGACCCTTTTTTATATATCCTTCTTATATCCTTGATAAAGATTCATGTTAGATGTTTCCAGTCTTGTGTTCTGACAAATTTTATATAGGCTCATACAGTAGTTTACCTAAAAGCATTTATCATTTTTTTATTTTCAATACTGTTTAAAGTCCCCGTGAACCGGAAGTTGCAAACGATTTTTCTCCAGTGCTGTGACGTATTTCCAGGTGAAACGGAATATTGAACAGAGGGCAGGGTTTTACTCTAGCGCTCCTCCTCTCCATCTCTCGCTCATAGCAAACTAACGGTTTGAGGGGAGTGGTTAAGCGTTTCCCCACCCAAGCTGTGAAACCTACGTCATCAGAAAAAGAAACCGTTCCAGACCGGAAGTAACTTTTCAGATTTTGATTAAAGATTACCAAAATAAAACATTTTTTAATATATATTTACTTGCACGGATTAATTGTTCACCACAAGACTAGTAATATGCGCTAACAAAGTAAATAGGTTCAATTTTGATTTCACAGGGACTTTAAACGTTTGGGGGTCAGTAATATTTAGCTGCAATTAATATCGTAAATAATATATTTTAAAATGTAATGAATTTGCAGTATCATTAGTCTTTAGTGTCACGTGATCCTTCAGAAATCATTTTGATATGATGATTTGCTGCTTAAGAAACATTTCTTATTATTATAAATGTTGAAAATAGTTGTTCTTGCTTAATATTTGAGTGGAAACCATGCTAAAAAAAAAATCCGGATTCAAAAGAACAGCATCTACTTGAAATATAACTTATTTTGTAACTTCATAAATGTCTTTACTCTCACTTTTGATTAACTGAATGTCTCCTTGCTGGAAAAAAGTATTTAAAAAATTTACTGACCCTAAACTTTTGAAGGACAGCTAGTGTTGGAAAATATAAAACACAAACAGTTCTGTCATGACAACTCTCGTAGTGATTGACACCCTGCTGCTGTACAATATAATGTACATGAATTACCCGTAGCAGATCTATACAGGTGGAGCTAGGGAAGGTGGAGGGTTTCTGAGCACGCTGCACTGAAAGGCAAATGCTACCCAAGTGTTTGAAGGTTGAGCAGCGAGCTCATTGGCTACTTAACCAATCAGCTGCGCCCTATAGACGAATCCGGCGAAACTACCGGAAGTAAGCGGGCGCCATTACTGAGCTGTTGCTGGGTAGCGTTGCGCCATTGCCTTCTATTGTTTTAGTTGCAACTTGCGTCCACTGGAATAAAAAGCTCGCGATTTACGACTGTCACTAACGTTACAACGTTATCCCTTGTATAATGTCGAGTGGGTAAACAGTTTCCGTTATAAATTGTTTCAATGGTGGCAGTAAAATTTCAATTTTGAAGAGAAAACATTGTGAATACCCCGGGTCAACTGCCCCTGTCTGGTGCCGTACGGTTTACACAGATTTCCTGGGCGAGTACAAGACGTGGACATTCGCGTATAATAACAATTATTTAATGACATAAGTAAAAAAATATAATAAACGTGTGATATAGTGATCAGCAATATCTCCTCTCTTGTTATTTTTTCTATTCAATTTACATGCTATGGTCATTAAATGGCTTTCCTGATCTGAATGTAACGTTATGTGACATAATTGTTCTCCTGCTGTTATATTGACCTCTTTCCATGGTTTAAAAACAGTAGTTGGTCGATATTATGTATACTTTCTAGCTGTAACGTTACCTTACCCATGCCCGTTGCAATGTAAAAATGAGATAAATAATGGACACAAATGAAAAACATGAAATTGTTTATTTGATTTCATTTATTTATTTATTTATTGTTGCCAAATGGACAGATCTTTTTTTAGTTTCCTCGGTAGCAAAAGTTAGCCTAGCTAGCTTGCCAAGCTATTTTCATAAATAATCTGTAAGATCGTTTGTACCTTCATCTGTGACTGGAGGCCAATGTCTAACATCATCAACCCAACAAGTCTGCCTGGCTGTAGCGATCATCGAGGGTGCGTTATCACCTTATCTCCGAGGTTTGTTTACATACCGGTGCATATGTCTATGCCGGTGTAACGGCTCAGTAATGGCGTCGCCACAAGATGGCAGCCTACACAAGTACGCTCGTCGGATTTGTCTATAGATAATGATGTGATTATGAACAGGCGAGTGAACGGACCTAGCCTGCACCATCTAGAGTTTAATGCCAGAACTTTGTATTTCTTCCAGCACACACCATGCATATGTTTAAATATTATACATGTCTAATAAAAACATATAATGTATACCCAGTGTTGTGCCTGAACACATTCAATGAACGCCTTCATATTTTGGGCAAACGTGAAATGAACGTACTGTTTTACTGCCTGAGGAACATTACTGTGAACTCGTTCATTCTAGTGTCTGTGAAGGCACTCTCGCTCAGTTTAACTTCGTACAATAGGTGCCAGATTTCTATAGAGCCTTAGAGACGAAAACCCGGCTAAAACACAAGTAAACAGGCCTTAATATGTAGAAAAAAAACAGCCAATCTGGCAACACCAGCCAGCAGTGTCGCTCCGCGGCCGCCGTAGACAAAGCAGCGAGCGAGGAGGCGTCGTATGATCATTTAAACGGGTTATGACGAGGTCGATGAGGATGGGAAAAATTTTGCCCGTCGATAAAATAATTGTTGTATGTGGTTGTATATGGGCTGTGGCAATATTAATAACAACAAAAAGCAGCTTGCAACATATGAAAAAAAAAAAGAACTACGAACTAGTTCATTTTTTGAAGTATGAACTATGAACTGAACTAGTTCATTTTAAAATGTGTGAACTGAACTTTTAACTAATTCATGTAGAAAGTGAACTTTCCCAACACTGCGTATACCACACCCACACACCCTTACCCACCCACTAACTAACACACACATACCTGTTCGCAGGCTGGTGAAGGGGAGGGTGAATTGGCCAATAAAATCGTTCTTAGATTTGTGGTCGTGATCTTCCACCATGAAACGCACCAAGGCCAGTTCAGGCACCTGCAGCTGAAAGCTCACAGTACAATCCCAGCGGGGGTTGAAACCTGCAGGGGGAGACAAACACACACACTCAATTTTCAAAATCTCTTGTCTTAATGACAAAATCCGTTGTCTGCACATCACAGGCAAAATAAATGTGCTATTACATGAAAA